AAATACACAGTGAATAACGAGTAAAAATAACATTGCTATATAAAGGGAGTACCGGTACGGAGTCGATGTGCAGCGGTACGGGGTAATTGAGGTAGCTATGTACATATAGGTAGGGGTAAAGTGACTAGGCAACAGGATAGATAATAGACAGTAGCAGCAGTGTATGTGGTGAGTGTGAAAGTGTGTGTGAGTGAGTGTGGCATCAGTATGCATGTGTGCGCCTGTTATATGTGTGTGGGCGTATGTAGTGTATGTATGTGTGTGTTGGGGTTTCAGTGTAAGTATATGTGAGTGTGTGGAAAGAGTCCAGTGTGTGTTCATAGAGTCAGTGCAAGAGAGTTAGTGCAAAAAAGGGTCAATGCAGATAGTCCAGGTAGCGATTTGATTAGCTATTTAGCAGTCTTGTTTAGCAGTCTTATGGCTTGGGAGTAGAAGCTGTTCACGGTCTTGTTGGTTCCAGACTTGTTGCACTGGTATCGCTTGCCATGCGGTTGCAGAGAGAACAGTATATTGCTTGGGTGGCTGGAGTCTTTGACAATTATTTTGGCCTTCCTCTGACACCGCCTGGTGTAGAGGTCCTGGATGGTACTGGGCCGTACTCACCAGCCTCTGTAGCGACTTGTGGTCGGGTGCCTTGCAGTTGCTGTACCAAGTGGTGATGCAGCCAGTCAAGATGCTCTCAATGGTGCAGTTGTAGAACTTTTGAGGATCTGACAGAGACAGTCAGACAGACACAGAGAGGTACATGACAGTTCTAACTGAATTTGTTGGAGAGGAAGATACAGTGAGGGAAAAAAGTATTTGATCCCCTGCTGATTTTATACATTTGCCCACTGACAAAGACATGATCAGTCTATAATTTTAATGGTAGGTTTATTTGAACAGTGAGAGACAGAATAACAACAACAAAATCCAGAAAAACGCATGTCAAAAATGTTATAAAATGATTTGCATTTTAATGAGGAAAATAAGTATTTGACCCCTCTGCAAAACATGACTTGGCCACCAGGTAGTTGGCCACCAGGTTTGCACACATCTCAGGAGGGATTTTGTTCCACTCCATTTTGCAGATCTTCTCCAAGTCATTAAGGTTTCGAGGCTGACGTTTGGCAACTCAAACCTTCAGTTCCCTCCACAGATTTTCTATGGGATTAAGGTCTGGAGACTGGCTAGGCCACTCTAGGACATTAATGTGCTTCTTCTTGAGCCACTCCTTTGTTGCCCTGGCCGTGTGTTTTGGGTCATTGTCATGCTGGAATACCCATCCACGACCCATTTTCAATGCCCTGGCTGAGGGAAGGAGGTTCTCACCCAAGATTTGATGGTACATGGCCCCGTCCATCGTCCCTTTGATGCTGTGAAGTTGTCCTGTCCCCTTAGCAGAAAAACACCCCCAAAGCATAATGTTTCCACCTCCATGTTTGACGGTGGGGATGGTGTTCTTCGGGTCATAGGCAGCATTCCTCCTCCTCCAAACACGGCGAGTTGAGTTGATGCCAAAGAGCTCGATTTTGGTCTCATCTGACCACAACACTTTCACCCAGTTCTCCTCTGAATCATTCAGATGTTCATTGGCAAACTTCAGACGGCCCTGTATATGTGCTTTCTTGAGCAGGGGGACCTTGCGGGCGCTGCAGGATTTCAGTCCTTCACGGCGTAGTGTGTTACCAATTGTTTTCTTGGTGACTATGGTCCCAGCTGCCTTGAGATCATTGACAATATCCTCCTGTTTAGTTCTGAGCTGATTCCTCACCGTTCTCATGATCATTGCAACTCCACGAGGTAAGATCTTGCATGGAGCCCCAGGCCGAGGGAGATTGACAATTATTTTGTGTTTCTTCCATTTGCGAATAATCACACCAACTGTTGTCACCTTCTCACCAAGCTGCTTGGCGATGGTCTTGTAGCCCATTCCAGCCTTGTGTAGGTCTACAATCTTGTCCCTAACATCCTTGGAGAACTCTTTGGTCTTGGCCATGGTGGAGAGTTTGGAATCTGATTGATTGATTGCTTCTGTGGACAGGTGTCTTTTATACAGGTAACAAACTGAGATTAGGAGCACTCCCTTTAAGAGTGTGCTCCTAATCTCAGCTCGTTACCTGTATAAAAGACACCTGGGAGCCAGAAATCTTTCTGATTGAGAGGGGGTCAAATACTTATTTCCCTCATTAAAATGCAAATCAATTTATAACATTTTTGACATGCGTTTTTCTGGATTTTTTTGTTGTTATTCTGTCTCTCACTGTTCAAATAAACCTACCATTAAAATTATAGACTGATCATGTCTTTGTCAGTGGGCAAACGTACAAAATCAGCAGGGGATCAAATACTTTTTTCCCTCACTGTAAATTGTCATTACTGTGACAAAATGAACAGCTATTTCACTCTGTGTTTTTATTTAATGTTAGCAATTCTGTTATTCCAAAATAAATACATTCCCATAAACTAATATCTTTCAGCATCCTGTGAGAGATAAACAGCAGAGAATACAGCAGTAATTTCCTTAATAAAGTTTGTTTCGCTTCTCAAAGTTATAACTGTGAGAGACAATCACTGAGGGTGGATCTCAGGCTTTCCCGTGATATTTACCATCCAGGAGTTAGTGAAGTTGTCACAGAATTATCCTGAACACTATTTCAAAAGCAGAGTCTGCTTGCTTGTGTTCAACTAGAATTAGCTGCCAGTGTGGAGATTATGGGGGATTAGAACAAAGATACACAAACATCAACTAACTTGCAAAAATACTAATCCTACTGAGCTCAAACAGGGCAACTAAGACTCCTTTTAATGAGATTTGAAAAGAAAAGACAAAAGGCTGCTGGAGCAGAATAGCCTGTCATAATTGGCTCAGAGGTGATGCAGTTTGGTGGTGGTTTAATCTGTTAAACCGTATTTTCTCCTCATCCTCCACCTCCAGTGACCCTAGGCTAGGTGAGGCATCCCTGTCTCCCTAACTCCCTCACTGCATCATTACCAGGGGCCCTCATTTATAAACGGGTTGGTATGCATGGATTTGATCATATATAAATTGTTCATGGATATTACAAAAGGTGTCCCACAGGGGTCAGTACTGAGACCTGTTTTCTTTACTATTTATAAAAATGATAATGGTCTATCTGTTAACTTGTAATATTCATCTGTATGCAAACAACACTGTTATGTACGTCATTGCCCCAACTGTTGACCAGGCTTTGTTAGAGCTGCACAAAGCAAAAGGGGACCATTGCGCTCTCCAGAAGCTTGGCTAGTGTGTAAAACCCGTGAATTCAGACAAACAAAAGGTGTGATGGGTACGCACTCAAAAAGATGTCGCATAAAGCGGACTTATTTTTATTATTTTTGTATTGTTTTCACTGCATCAGGGATAGCCTACACAGATGTTTTGGCTTTGCAGCCTTCTTCAGTGTATAGGTACAAGAAGGCTGCAAAGCTGAAATGTCTGTGTACGATATCCCTGATGCAGTAAAAAAAATAGGAAGTAAGCTTTATGCGACATCTTTTTGAGTGCGGACCCATCACACCTTTTGTATGTTAGAGCTGCAATCTGACCTTGTTACCTTACAGAAAGCCCTGGTCGGCTTAAAACGTGTACTTATTGCGGGCAAGATTAAATACACGTTGTTCTCTAGTTCTCACAAGAATGTTTCAGATGGACTACATATTTATTCATTGGACGGTTCTCCCATTGATCGGGTACCCGCCTACAAATATCTGGCCATTTGGATTGACAAAGACTTAATGCTTAAAAAAAAACATACGGATGAGCTAGTTAAAAGGCTACATTTTAAAGCCAATTATTTTTTAGAAATAGATCTTGCCTCTCCCTAAATAGCAGGAAGCAGATTGAACAGTCAACCTTCCTACCAGTTCTTGATTATGGTGACACCATTTACCAGAATGCAGCAGTCACTACTCTTAAACCTTTGGATGCCGTCTACCGCAGCGCCATTCGTTTTAGCACTGGTGACAGTTTTAATATCCACCACTGCATCCTGTATCAAAAGGTTGGCTGGTCCTCATTAACGTCCCGTAGATCAATTCATTACTCCCTTTTTGTTTACAAAGCCCTACTACACAAGCTTACAACTTACCTAACTGCGTTGTTAAAGTATTTAAAAAAACATGATACCAAATCCGCTCACAGGGTTGGTTAACTCTTGAGATTCCTCTGGTCTCCACCGAATTAGGTAAATCATCTTTTAGTTTTAATGCACCTCATTGCTGGAACCAACTGTAAAATACACTGCAATTGGACACTGATGCTGCTTGGGACATTTTTATATTGATTGGGGAACTATTTGCTGAGGAATGTGGCTGTTTTCTTGGTTGTTTATTGTGTTGTACTTTAGTTTGTTTTCTGATATTGATTTGGTCTATGAATTGTCTGTGCTGGGCTCCTTTGCGAAAGAGACCCTGGTCTCAATGGTGACTCCCTGTTTAAATAGAGGTCAAATAAAAAAATATAGACATTACACAAACCACATTTCTTCTCACATTTTAAGAAATTATTGTATGCAGAATGAGGATCAAGACTATGTATTGTACATAACAAATGGACTTTAATATCATACATTGCCTGGGTTTTATTTGTGAGTAATACAAAACATATTTGATGATATATACAACAATATAAAATTATAAAACATCACACAACCAAATAAATACAAATTCCAGGTGAGTTTTTAGTTTGATCATAAACTGCCAACTTCATGAGTTTGTTCCACAGTATACAGGACTGTTTTGTGCTTTGTTTTAATCTTATAAAAAAAGACAGACTTTAATAGATAAAATACAGTATTATTGGTTCTAAGAAAAACAATTATACAAATATTATACATATATTGGTCATGTACAGATCATAATCTTTGGAATTGTGCTGTATATTACAAATTATTTTGAAGAAACGAAAGCCATGGGCATTGAGCATCCTAATAGTCAGTGTGGTGGTTCCATTAGGAGTTTCATTGTCTTGTTTCAGCCCAGCGTCTTCAGTGCATAGTTCACAGTCCCCCATCAGCCTCGTGGAATTGGGAGCTGAAAAACACCATACATATTTTGACCACACTTATTCCACCGTGCATTCATACAGTCTTGAAATAGACCAGCCAATGCAAAACACTGGAAAGGCCCCCATCAATAAGAGATTTCTGACTTTCAGGCGTAAGCTTGGTGCTCAGCTTTCAAATGATATTCCTAATTCCTCTCTTGACTCCAGTCACAGTAAGTATTGGGGTGATGTATCTGCTTACCTTATGGGAACACAGAACCCCTGAATATCCTTTCCTGCAGGCACAGACATTAGGGCGAATACAACGGCTCCCGTAAAGACACTTCTGTTCACAGAGTGCTGTAGAAATTACAGAGAAATCACAATGTAGAAATGACAAATTTGAAATGAAAATCACAATGCAGAGGAGAGAGAGAGAGAGAGAGAGAGAGAGAGAGAGAGAGAGAGAGAGAGAGAGAGAGAGAGAGAGAGAGAGAGAGAGAGAGGCAGCAGGTGAGGGACAAGGCCTAAATCAGCCTAGCATCCTAATAACGACATTGGCATAATGACAGAGCTGACACTAATCTCTCTCTACTCATATTAACACCCTGAGGATTCTGGGTAAGTCCCAGAAAGGGGCCAAAATGGAGCCATGACAACATAGTTACCATAATCATCTCATCAAACCTCTGAATCATTGCCATGCATAGCTAAATGCGTACACTGGGACTGAGTCTGCCTTTGAATTTAAGACAGAAATGACTTTATTATACACTTGAATACCCCTGTGTGGTCTGAATTCTCTCTGCTTCTTGTTCTGAGTTTATAGATTTTATTGCGCCGTATACTTGGGAGATTTACTTACAGCCATTAGTGGTTTGATAGAAATAAAGAAATAAGGCTGAGGCAGAGTAAATAGATAAACAGAAATGATGAATCATCTTTATGGATGGTGACTTCACTTTAAAGGGAGTTAAGTACTTCCGTTCCTCTCATGACTCCCGAGTCATTCTTCAAAGTCATGTATTGGCTGGTTAATGCTGGAATGCTGAACAAGCTTATGCAGGAACTGTTAGTGGAACTCCGATGAGACGTAGCTGTTAGTGTTTGTGTGTGTAACAAACACACAGCTGATTTTTAATGTGGTTGTGGTTCTTGTTGTTGTTGTTGCTGCTACGACCAGGTGATAAAAGTTGTTAACGGAGAGCTTCTTAAGCATGGTGGTGGTGAGAGTGAACTGACGAGGGACGTTTTAGAGACATATAAATGACAATAAAAGAGAACTGTTGTAAAATATACTGTGTCTGTAAAATGTATATGGTATGTAAAAGCTGGAAGTAGAAGCCTAAGTGTTGTTGTCAATTAGTTTACTCCAATTACGGGAGGGGTGGTAGGGTTGGGGGAAAATATATAGGAACATATATTTAAAAAATATACATCTACAAAAATATCTGCAGTATAATAATAATAATATGCCATTTAGCAGACGCTTTTATCCAAAGCGACTTACAGTCATGCGTGCATACATTTTTGTGTATGGGTGGTCCCGGGGATCAAACCCACTACCTTGGCGTTACAAGCGCCGTGCTCTACCAGCTGAGCTACAGAGGACCACAGTATTAAAGCTGATCTACCTCCTTAGAAAATAAATAAATAAAATAAAAAATAAACGTCAATAAAGATGTTTATCAGCGGTAACTCTGGGGGAATAACCACTGTCTAAATTAGTATCTCATAGTTCTCCCGAGTGGCGCAGTGGTCTAAGGCACTGCATCGCAGTGCTAGCTGTGCCACTAGAGATCCTGGTTCGAATCCATTCCCTCTGTCGTAGCCGGCCGCGACCGGGAGACCCATGGGGTGGCGCGCAATTGGCCCAGCGTCGTCCAGGGTAGGGGAGGGAATGGCCGGCAGGGATGTAGCTCAGTTGATAGAGCATGGCGTTGTGGGTTTGATTCCCACAGGGGGTATGAAAAAATAAATAATGTATGCACTAACTGTAAGTCGCTCTGGATAAGAGCGTCTGCTAAATGACTAAAATGTAAATGTAATGTATCATAAACCAGCCCAGGACTGTGTAGAGCTGGTCTCATGAGTCAACACCAGAGGAGGCTGGTGGGAGGATCTATAGCAGGACAGGCTCCTTGTAATGGCTGGAACGGTATCAAACATATGGAAACCACAGGTTTAACGCCGTTTCATTCAAGCCATTACAATGAGCCCGTCCTCCTATAGCTCCCCCCACCAGCCTCCTCTGGTCTACACCTAACAATGTAATTGTAGTAGAGACCTGGCCAACGCTAGACACACATAACAGGGGAAGGAGACAGAACACTTTTCACAGAGCGAGTACCACTCTAGGGTGGTGGGAGGCAATTAACAGATGATTTCAGATAGTTAACCTAAACACACCACTCTCTTCGGAGAGGATGTAAGTGTGTGTGTGTGTAGGCGTACTTACGGACTTGGCACAGCATGCCCTGCCAGCCTGGAAGACAGTGGCAGGTGTTATGGCCAATACACTCTCCTCCATTCAGACACTTCTGTAGACAAGTGGCTGGGGAGAGACAACACAACACCAATCAATTCACAAACCACTGCTAATGAATGAGTTATGTATGGCTTATGAATGTTCTAAAGGTATTGTTATGAATGTGTTATGAAGTCCTTATGTAGGTACCATTTAAATAAATCGATTTTAAATCAAATCTTTTGGTATGTTATAATTGTGTTCATATTGTGCTGTAAACAGGCTGGTATAAAGTGGTTTACAAGCTGTTTACATTCTATGTGACTACCTGCTGCTTTTAAATGCTAGTTTGTGATAGCATGACACAGCCTGCCATCGGTGAACCACTAAACATCCCAAACACCGTGATGAATTGTTTCCATACGCTCTCGCCTCCACTGCTAGCATGGAAGCATCTGTTTACAGGTAGTGGTGCAACTGTTTAACTCCTACGTGAGCCTGCTTACGTTTATCGCACCGCTTTCCTCTCCATCCAGATGGACAGTCACACACATCTGGACCCACGCACCTCCCTCCGTTCATACACATGGGCTCACATACACCTGGATAAGGGAGTGAGGGAGGGAGGGAGACTAAAACTTACCAACTGAGCTCATACATATTCACCAGAATAATTATCTACAGTATCTCACATGACAGAGATAGATTTTCAACTGACCCATGCATTTACTGTACCTGATATGCTTAATTACTTACAGCCATTAGTGGTTTGATAGAAATAAAGAAATAAGGCTGAGGCAGAGTAAATACACTGCTCAAAAAAATAAAGGGAACACTTAAACAACACAATGTAACTCCAAGTCAATCACACTTCTGTGAAATCAAACTGTCCACTTAGGAAGCGACACTGATTTACAATACATTTCACATGCTGTTGTGCAAATGGAATAGACAACAGGTGGAAATTATAGGCAATTAGCAAGACACCCCCAATAAAGAAGTGGTTCTGCAGGTGGTGACCACAGACCACTTCTCAGTTCCTGTGCTTCCTGGCTGATGTTTTGGTCACTTTTGAATGCTGGCGGTGCTTTCACTCTAGTGGTAGCATGAGACGGAGTCTACAACCCACACATGTGGCTCAGGTAGTGCAGCTCGTCCAGGATGGCACATCAATGCGAGCTGTGGCAAGAAGGTTTGCTGTGTCTGTCAGCGTAGTGTGCAGAGCATGGAGGCGCTACCAGGAGACGTGGAGGAGGCCGTAGGAGGGCAACAACCCAGCAGCAGGACCGCTACCTCCAGCTTTGTGCAAGGAGGAGCAGGAGGAGCACTGCCAGAGCCCTGCAAAATGACCTCCAGCAGGCCACAAATGTGCATGTGTCTGCTCAAACAGTCAGAAACAGACTCCATGAGGGTGGTATGAGGGCCCGACGTCCACAGGTGGGGGTTGTGCTTACAGCCCAACACCGTGCAGGACATTTGGCATTTGCCAGAGAACACCAAGATTGGCAAATTAACCACTGGCGCCCTGTGCTCTTCACAGATGAAAGCAGGTTCACACTGAGCACATGTGACAGACGTGACAGAGTCTGGAGACGCCGTGGAGAACGTTCTGCTGCCTGCAACATCCTCCAACATGACCGGTTTGGCGGTGGGTCAGTCATGGTGTGGGGTGGCATTTCTTTGGGGGGCCGCACAGCCCTCCATGTGCTCGCCAGAGGTAGCCTGACTGCCATTAGGTACCGAGATGAGATCCTCAGACCCCTTGTGAGACCATATGCTGGTGCGGTTGGCCCTGGGTTCCTCCTAACGCAAGACAATGCTAGACCTCATGTGGCTGGAGTGTGTCAGCAGTTCCTTCAAGAGGAAGGCATTGATGCTATGGACTGGCCCGCCCGTTCCCCAGACCTGAATCCAATTGAGCACATCTGGGACATCATGTCTCGCTCCATCCACCAACGCCACGTTGCACCACAGACTGTCCAGGAGTTGGCGGATGCTTTAGTCCAGGTCTGGGAGGAGATCCCTCAGGAGACCATCCGCCACCTCATCAGGAGCATGCCCAGGCGTTGTAGGGAGGTCATACAGGCACGTGGAGGCCACACACACTACCGAGCCTCATTTTGACTTGTTTTAAGGACATTACATTAAAGTTGGATCAGCCTGTAGTGTGGTTTTCCACTTTAATTTTGAGGGTGACTCCAAATCCAGACCTCCATGGGTTGATAAATTTGATTTCCATTGATAATTTTTGTGTGATTTTGTTGTCAGCACATTCAACTATGTAAAGAAAAAAGTATTTAATAAGATTATTTCATTCATTCAGATCTAGGATGTGTCGTTTAAGTGTTCCCTTTATTTTTTTGAGCAGTGTATATAAACAGAAATGATGAATCATCTTTATGGATATGCAGTGGAGAGGACAAAGATGTTCTACAATGAGCACATTCCTGAAGCTATCACCGCACTAATGACCCATTGTAGCAAATTGGTAATGTATAGCTAAATTAAAACCTTCACGTAAAAGCCCCTGCATGCATCCCTATTGTTAGTCAATAGCACTCCATAGCATCAATTTGACTATTCCCTGTCTCCACATGAAGCTCTGAAATGTTGGTTCCTGCTCCCTCGGGCCTGCCTCTTACTGAGTGCATCCATCAAATGCTTCCCTCTTTCCATATGGCTCAATTTACCCGCCAATATGCTGTACATTAACAAGGCTCTGGAATAACTGGCTCCACTGTGTTGAGGGCACTTTGTCAGATTGACACACATATGGTGGTGGGTAATAGATGATGATGATGAGGAGGAGAAGGAGTAGAGGAGGAAGAGAGGAGAGGCAGGAGGTGGAGGAAGAGGAGGCGGATGAGGAGCAGGTGGAGGGGCGGGCAGTGGAGGAGGAGGTGGCGTGGCGTGGCTTTACTCACTTTTTTCACAGCGCCATCCGGTGTATCCCTCGGCGCAGGAGCAGACGCTGTTTCTCATGCACACGCCCCCGTTCTTACAGGGAGGGCTACAGACAGCTGGGAAACAGCAAGAGATAGAGAGAGAGGGCAGAGATGGAGAAAGAGAGAGGTGGGGAGCGATGGGGGGGGAGAGAGAGAGAGAGAGAGAGAGAGAGAGAGAGAGAGAGAGAGAGAGAGAGAGAGAGAGAGAGAGAGAGAGAGAGAGAGAGATGGGCGGGTGGTTATGGGTGGTGGGAGAGAGATAGAGAGTGAGAGAGAAAAAGAGATGTGGTGGAGTGAGAGAGAAAGAGAGAGAGAGGGGTGGGAGAGAAAGAGATGCAACATTTCAAAAAAGGTGGAGGCCTCACTCCACCATTGATTGATACAGCAGTCCGTCCAAAGCTGAGGCATCACGATAAATGAGGGACAAAAAGAGTCCACAGTAAACACTTACTTAGAGAAATGCCTTGATAATTGGACACAGTGGAACTCTGCCAGAGCCCTTGATGGACTCCTTCAAATCAAACCTAAACCCCTGTCAATCTATCGGATTAGTTTTCCTTTCATTCAACCAGTAAATACACAAGTAAAAGCTCCCACAGCGGGCCCATGACTCTGTGTGTTGTCAGGACAGTATATGGACAAGGACATTGTGTGTGTGTGGCTCAGTTGGTAAGAGCGTGATGCTAGCAATGCCAAGGTTGTGGATTCCATTCCCGCAGGGACCACATACAAAAAATGTATGCAGCCACTTTACTGTAAGTCACATTGGATAAAAGTGTCTCCTAAGTGCAACAATTATATTAAGAGTGTATTTTACCGTTTTGACACTGGGCGCCGTAGAAGCCCTGGGGACAGCCACAGGTGTTCGGACGAAGACAAGTTCCTCCGTTCAGACACATAGGGGAGCACACAGCTAGAGGACAGACACTTAGAACAATCAACCAATAAATCAACTGACCAATCAATCAATCAAATGTGTTTATGAAGCCCTTCATACATCTACAGGTGTCACACAGTGCTTTACAGTAACCCGACCTAGACCCCAAAGAGCAAGCAGAAGGACAGAACACACCAGGAAGAGTAGCTGCTGCATGAGCAACAGCTAATGGAGATCGTAATAAACTAAAGACACTGTCCAGGACTAGAGCTCTACCTGTCTCACAGGAGGGTCCGGTCCAGCCAGGCAGACAGGCACACTCATCAGGAGACACACACTCTCCTCCATTGTGACAGTGACGGTTACACACCACTGCGGAACAGATAGATGGGATAGAGTGAGCAACACAGAGGTACGATATAATTATAAGGTTCTATCTGCATTTCTGTCAAAACAGAGTTATTGACATAGCCTTGTTCTCTACAATGTTCTCTACCTATATAGTATATCCCAATTCATGTTGTTAAGTTAAAATGAATACAAGATAAAACATTGTTCACACCATTCAAACCTCATTGAGGGTTCGGAATTTTAAAGCTAATTATCTCAGAATCATCTTTTGGCAGATAGAACCATATAATTCCAAGGTCACGATATTACTAGACCTTTATAACTCTAGCGACATAGTTCTATTTCATTCTGTGGGGAGGAGGGACACAGCATTAGCATTAATACCATTGGTTTGCCATTCAAAGTCCAATCCAATTTCAATGTGACTAACCTGACAAAGTTCCACTCTTGGAATAAAAGCCTAATTAAAGGTATGTGGTGGAGCAGTCATGTGTGTGAGTGTCCTACTTCATTTGAACAATGTGTGAGTGATGGCATATTCCATTTGCATGATGAATGATTTGTGATGATGTGTGTTGAACTCACTGGTCTCACATCTGGGGCCCACGAAGCCGTAGGGACAGGAGCAGGTGCTGGGTCCCACGCATGTTCCTCCGTGCTCACAGGGCAGACTGCACAGAGCTGTGGTTGGGGATGTTATGAATGTGTTATGCATGGGTTATGAATGTGTTTTGTGTTCTTATGTAGGTACCCTTCAAATAAAGTGTTAATGGGGAAATAGGCCAGGCTTTGCCCTCACATTTCTTCATCAGTCAGCTAGGACTAGGAAGCAGTGTCTCAATACGGCTTGGCTTATTCTCATCGCCATTGCATTGGTGGGGTGGACTCTGACTCTGAGCTGTAGGTGGCAGTAGAGTTTCAAGCCTCTGTCATTAATGTCTCAGACCAGCTCGAGGGAGGGCTTATCAAATGCCCACAACTGCTTAATTAGGTCTGCACTGACAAGCACGCAAGCACACACCGAAATGTCCAGTACCGGACATGGACCGGCCTTCTTCCAGCAGTGCTTTCCTGTCTTTTAGTGATAAGCTTGCTTTCTCTAAGCTCCTGTCTATAGTCTGACACAGCACACAGAGACAGTTCTGATGGGCCCTAACAAGAACAGATAGGCCTCGTCCCAAATTGCACCCTAATTCCTACATAGCGCACTACGTTTGACCAGATCCCTATGAGCAAATGTGCCATTTGGGACGCAGCCATATAATTACCTGTCTCACACATCTCCCCGTGGTTGCCTTTCAGGCACTCACACACCCCAGGGGCGACGCACTGGCCTCCGTTCCTACACTCTGGTTTACAGATCGCTGAGGAGAAGGTCGTAAAGACATCAAACGATATAAAAGGCCTGTCAGGTTTAGCAATGCATGGGAATCAAAAACAACAATATCAGGATGATGTGGTATTTTGAGAGACTAAGACAGAGAGAGAGAGAGAGAGAGAGAGAGAGAGAGAGAGAGAGAGAGAGAGAGAGAGAGAGGAGAGAGAGAGAGAGAGAGAGAGAGAGAGAGAGAGAGAGAGAGAGAGAGAGAGAGAGAGTGTTACCTGTTTGACAGTTGGTTCCGGCGTAGCCTGGTTTACAGCGGCATGTGTTGGGAGCGGCACACTCCATGTTCTTGCCACACGCATGCCTGCACACAGCTGGAGATAACAGGCAGGCAGGCGACACACACACACAAACACACACAAACACACACAGAGGCAGCACCATAGGCCAATTATTACAAGTTGCTTCCATCTATTCCAACTCCAACCTCCCTTACTGCATCTGTACAGAAACATCTGTCAACCCCATGCTGCTCTGGTACAGGGTGCACTTGAAAAACGACCATCATTAGTACGCATTTTGGAGAGGCTAGAGAAAGACATCACCTTCATTCATTGAAAAAGAGAGATGCGCAGGTGGTATTCAATACAGCCGATAAACAGCAATGGAAAGGGTCCTCTATAATGGACCAAAGATAATAGATAGTGTTTCTCAAAGCAGTAGCTCTTTCTCAAGAAGAACAATCAACCTTTCTCCAAGCACTAGCACTTTCTCAAGAAGACGGATCAACCTTAGGCCTACTTCACAAGCCTATTTTTTCGCCGTTTTTTGCACCTCGTTCCTTTTTGTCTTATTATCACATTATTCTGTTATCTTTTGTTTTTAAATAAATAAAATAACAATACCTCTGCATGTTCGTCCGTCTCCGGTGTATCCCAGGGGACACCCTCCACAGTGGAATCCCCCGTCCCTGTTGGGTTCACAGGGGACCCCTGGGAAACAGGGCATATCAGCGCAGGTCAGAGGCCGCTCCCGCTCCACTGCCACAGTATTACTGATCCTGGTCCCACGGTGGAGGTGGGGAGACGTGGCCCTGTGGAGGGGGGGAGTAAGGGGGGATGTGTGGTGGTCCCTCCGGGCAGGGGTGGTGAGGGTGAGAGAGGGCTGGGTGTCCTGTGGGTGGTCAGGTGGGTCAGAGGGGTCCGAGCCAGGCCCCGTCAGTGCTCCATCGGCGGAGAACTCGTACTCAGAGAGGGAGTAGGTAAAGGAGGAGAGGGCTGCGGTCAGCGGGGCCACAGCTTTAGGGAGGGTCCAGGGCTTGGTCAGGGTGGGCACCACTACCACATCAATGAGCTTCCCCTGGGCTGTCTTGGCTGAGGAATGGGGTGGAGTCAGCTTGGATTGGGGTGGAGTAACCTTGGGGTAGGTGGAGTGTGGAGGAGTAACCTTGGAAGAGGTGGCACTCCGCACGACACCTACAGACTCTCTGGTTGTCACCTTGAGTGAGGTAGCGCTGGCATTGGCACCGGTTTTGGCACGAGTCCTAGTGAGGGGACTGATGGCATGATGACTGCCCGTGGTGAGGCTGTGGGAACTCTCAGGTGACATAGGGGTGTGTCTAGGAAATAGGGGCGTGGCCACCTCCCTCCACCCAGTGATTGGCCCTCGGGCGGGTGAGAGGGGAGGGTGTGGGGGGCTCTGATAGGCTCCCCTGGAGACTGGCGAGGAGAAGGAGGAGAGACGTTTGACTGCGTGCCTGGGGGGCAGGGTGGGAAGGTGGAGTTGGGACACTTTACTGTTGCCATGGTGGTAGGGTTTGCTGCTCTTGGCTAGTGTCAGCTGCTGCTGGGTCAGGTGAGGGTTACCTGAGGAGAGATGGGGAGATGATGATGATGTGACACAAAAAAACTCAATGCCTATAAGGTTATACTCTAAAGGAGTTATTCGCCTGTCCCCATTGGAGAACCCCTTTTAGTTCCAAGTAGAACTCTTTTGGGTTTCATGTAGAACCCTCTACGGAAAGGGTTTTACATGGAACTCAAAAGGGTTCTACCTGGAACCAAAAAGGGTTCTTCAAAGGCTTCTCCTATGGGGAAAGCTGTAGGGTTAGGGTTGTGGAAGAGGCTAGGGTTGAACTGAAATGTAGATAAGCTGGACTCTCTAAATAAAGTATTACAGCAGTATAGAATGTAATTACATCATCAGACACAGTGAAAGACAAAACAAAGATTTGGTAATAATCTGTTAACAGCTGCTATAAACACTGATGTTGACACAGAACATGGTTGGAACGGAATCAAGGCCACCATTGGACACCTCATGGGAACAATAAAGCTATTAAAATTCAAATTGAAATTAAATGTGTTATGGGTGTGGGGTCTAGATAAATATTACCCGACACCAGTGTTAATGACATATTGAGAGACGCCACCCAACGCTTCACTGATTTATTTTCCCCTACTGACACTGACTGGTAACGTCACCTGTATTGAAACCTCACAAAAGATGGCCAAATCACTTCATAGAGGAATCTAATACACAGTGAGGGAATTATAAACCAAATGAATAGTTTGGAACTTATTGTCACTGTCAGAAGGCGTCATGATAAATGTTGTATCCCCCCCCACACACACACACACGCACGAACGCATGCACACACACACACACACAACCACACAAACACACACACTGAAGCAGCTGGACTCAAAGGGAACTGACTGTGTAGAAAGTCAGGACAACAGGGTTGGGTATTAAACAGTTATTTGATTTAGAAATGTGGCGGCACAAATTATGAGATGCACTAAAAGGATTTATTTACTACAATTATGAAAAATGTCATCACACTGGCTGGGTAAAGAAACAAAGGCATGAACAATGTAGACTAGTCTGTGCTCTTCAAAACAACCCAGCATGGGTCCTATCCACTCAATAGTAGGACTGACTACTTTAACTTTCACTCTTAATAAAATATGTTTTATTTTTCACATCATCATGAAAGATGAATGCATGAGAAAAGCATATTCCACTGAAATGAATTCATCATCTGGAAGTGCATGCTGTTGACTTGGACAGTGTACACATAGGGACAGAGAGTCCAAAGAAGGAAGGGACAAATACAAATGATAAAACAGAACTAAGCTGAGAGGAGAAGATGGAGCGCAAAGCTTTCCACATTTCACTGATCTACAAAAAAACTTGATGATGATTAGCATATTGAGCTTATTAATAGGGCAGCCTGGCCTCAGAGCCATACGAAGCATACTATATGTATTTTTATGGACCCCCAAGACGTATGATATGTTCTAATGGTCTAGGGACAACTGTAGCATTTTAGCTAACCCCTTTCCTAACCTTTTTTAGTTATCCTTTTACGTAAATTATCCTAACCTTTGTCGTTAGTTCTCCTAACCAACAACGTAATTATGTAAAATATATATATCTAAAGTGTGATATGTAAAATGTATGTATATGTAGCAAAAAAGCTGTAAAAACCAAAAAAGATATATTTGTGTCCTCCGAAGAGGGTGGATGGGTTAATAAAATCATTATCCTTGGTTGTTAGGATGCAACAAGCAACCTGGTCTCAGAGAAAGACGTATAATACTATAGGTCCTCCAAGATGATTGATAAGTTACTTCATCCAATTCGTATGCTATTGTACGACCGGGTAAAATATTTGATGCTATACGTCCTCTAATTTGTCTGATATTGTACAACCGCAATTCCATTCCATGTAACCTAACATAACTAAATATAGCATACTAAATGGAGGAAACACATTTACATACCAAATCTTATGAATTGCCCTCAGACCAGGTTGAATAGGGAGGTAAAGGCAGTTGAGGACAATTCACACCATGTCAGATTGTTTCCAAATAGTTTTCCAACAGTGACAGTAGAAAAACTACTAAAAAGCCAATGTGTGGTGCATGTACTAATGTATTTAGATAGCCTGGTGCCAGATCTGGGACCAGGCTAGTAGATATGGCCAGGGAGGTGGTGAAACACTTCCAGCCGAAGTCTTACCACGAGCGGTTTTGGTGCAGGTGCGTCCGTTGCCATGGAGGGGCGGTGGGCAGCGCCCACAGACATAGCCCGTGTAGGGCAGACGTCGGTCGATGCACTGGACCCCCAGGAAGCATGGTCGGCTGGCACACGTACCGGTCACATTGCTGTTGTTCCCTGCATGGGATGATAGCCCTAGGCCTGGAACAAAGAATCACTGTTATCAGCCCCAGGACATTATTTATGAATGAATTCCTCTCCCCCTAGCCTTCACATGAACAGCGATGTTCACCATTTGTTTATGCTCAGCGGGATGCTGTAATCAGTTGTCAATGCCTCTGCATCGGCCACACCATGCTCTCATCGTTTGCATATTTCATGATTAGTCATAATTCAAATAGACTCAGCCCCGTAGATGTAAACAGCTCACAAATACCACCTACGTACAGTTGCCTACCTGGGAGTTATATTCAACACTGCCTGACAAATTTTATGTGGCAGAACTCGCAGTTAAATCCAAAGCTGCTACAGCTGCTAATTGCTCAAATGTCTTTGATTAAAATGCAAAGTCTTGGAAGACCAATTATATAAAGGTACTTTATAACCAAATTAGGGCTGTGGAGAAACTCTTAGTTGGCACTTTGTGTTTTGATGGCAGGAGGCTCATTACGGTGCTTCAGGATGAAAGTCTCTGAGTAATTGATTGATACGCTACCAAGGTCAGAACCCCCTTGGAGCGAGAGAGAGCGAGATGTGTGTGTGTGTGAGACCCCGACTGTGTCCCCTGTCTTCACCTCCAGACCCGCCCTCACCCCCAATCCAGCTGCATCAGCTTCTCTCTACCCATAGGCCTTCACTCCCCTCCTGGGCTCCCCTCTCTCCCCCACCCACAAAGAAGAGTGATGAAAATGCCAATCGCCCTATTAGTTTTAAACAAAGATGTTTCCTTTAGAACTAAAACTGCTGGTGTTATTAGCACTTTTAGATGGATTCTTTGTCCCATAACTTTGTCCTTGTCCTTTGCTTCGCACCTTGTAGTGGCACCACATCAAACCACCACATCATCAAAAGTGCATTATGGCTAGACTATGCTGTATTGTATTGGTATTGTACATTTATCCGCATATCTCTATTCTATGACGGATCTATGGAAGAGAGCAGACTGAGACAGAATGACTGTCATTGCAGTGCAGTTAGAAGCTTTGAAACGTGACACTGACAACCTTTCTCTTTTTCCTATTTGCGTGCCACAAAGCATTTCTTCTCCTCTCTCTCGCTAATAAAGCGTTTCATCTTCACGGGGACAAAAGAGGAAAAAGAACGGACCATCTGTCTTTTATTAAGAAGTGATTTATCAGCGTTATGACTCCACATATCAAGGCTTATTGCCTGTGAATTTTGTCTCATTTTCGACTAGGGCAGCAGAATCCACTCAGACAATGGGTGGTTTTATCGGAACGACGGGGCCGACGGGAGATGACATATTTTGCTGTGTGCCTTTCAATCCCATCTCCAGCCTTTTAGTGTGATGATGATGACAGGCAATTTTGCAAGGCCGCTAACTGGGCTGGCTATAGCTGCCAATGCCAATGAGGTGTTCAGTCGCGGAGTAATGTGACACCCCTGATGGACTATTATAGGAGCCTTGGTGTTAAACAGCCTTTTGTAGGCGATCTGAGTATCAGACAGAGGCTTTGGGAAATACGGGGTATGGTAGTAGGTGCCAGGCGCACCGGTTTGTGTCAAGAACTGTAATGCTGCTTGCTTTTTCACGCTCAACAGTTTCCCATGTGTATCAAGAATGGTCTATCACCCAACTGTGGGAAGCATTGGAGTCAACACGGGCCAGCATCCCTGTGGAACACTTTCGATACCTTGTAGAGTCCATGCCACAACGAATTGAGACTATTCTGCGGGCAAAAGGGGAGGGTGGGCGGGGGTGGGGGAGGTCAACTCAATATTAGGAAGGTGTTCCTAATGTTTGGTATACTCAGGGTACTTGCCAGTTTTTTGTCCATTCTTAGACGGTGTATGTACAGCTGGGGCCTTGGCACGTGCCCTGTTGGTCTCTCGAAGTCCAGGCATGTTGGTTTGTGGGAGTCCAGGCTTGTTGGTCGGTGGGATTCCAGGTCTGCCAGTGTCCATCCTGGGTGGATTGTGTTGGTCTGGTCTGTTGATGAGTGAGGTCTTAGAGGTGGTGGTGGTAGTGGTGGTAGTGGTGGTAGGGACAGTGGTGGGTCCAATGCTGGGGACAATGGGAATCGACCGTACAGGTGCTGTTGTGTAGAGACAGATATGGACACATGGAGAGAGTAAGAGGTGGGCTTCATAACATGTCAGTGCTTTTATGATGCTGGGAGAGAGATCGATAGAGGACACTTCAGGTTCAGGGCCAGAAGTTGTTTTGAATATACATTTCATAGAAACCTGAGTTCTCACACACTTTTCAAGAATGTTGGACGACAGTTTATCAAAAATTTTCATCCCACACCTACACCACTAGAAATCACAGCTCCTCAATAGATCTATGAGCAGCAGAATCGTAAAAAAATAAATAAAAGCAGAAAGAAAGGAAAGCAGAGCCCGAGGAGCAGGAGGAGAGAGAGAGACTGTGTGATTGATGACAGCAGAGCAGAGAAACGGCAAGTGAAATAAACCTGACAGTGTAACTCCTGCAGAGGCGGTATGGAACTGAAATAAACAAAGCAGAGAATCACTCAGCCGAAACTCATCACTCAGAGGGAGAAAAAGATTAGGGAGAGGGAAAGGCTAAGACGCTTAGAAAATAAAAGAGGGATGTTGGTGGAAACATGGCATGGCTTTTTGGGAGAAAATGGTGACTAAGTGTGTGCATGTGTGTGTATATGTGTGTGTATGTGTGTGTGTGTGTACATGTGCGTACGTGCGTACGTGCGTGCCTGCATGAATGCGTGTGTGTGCATGTGGTTAACTCCTGGGGAATTCAAGCGGTTTACCCTGAACTACAGAAACAAACGTCTCCTGAATGAAAATTGGATGATTAATCAGAAACAAACAGCCCTCTAGGTGCAGGTATATGTGTGTTTTATGGATGGTGCCCCAGCTTAGCCCCTGTTCCCCTCGCCCTGTGGCCCAGGCGGTAGATCCCTCTGTATTCAGCCAGGCCATGCTCCTTCCATGCTCTCCCAGGCCCCACACTTCACCTCACCTTACATTGCCTTACCTCACCTCACCTCAGCTCTGTGGCCCAGGCGATAGATCACACTCTATTCCACCAGATCATGCTCCTCTTCCATCTCCCTGCTGCTAGCCAGGCCCCTTACCTCATCACTCTGTATTCAGCCATGCTCCTTCCTCTCAGCCCTACTCTCTGCTCCCTCCTCTGTACCCTTCCAAGTTCCCACATCTCACCTCAGCTCTAATGGCCTTTGTCAGTTAGCTGTCAACAGAGAGAGGCACACCTGAGGTGCTGCTGCAGCTCTCTGAGCCTGGGGCCAGGTGACAGGATACACTATGCTCTGCTCTCCCTCAGAGGGGAAGTGCTTCACCAATTAACTCAGCTCAACAACCCTCCCCTAACCCCCACAAAAATGAAGAAAAGAGAACACATACAAAATAAATTATGGGAGGGAAGGGGGAGAGGGGAGAGAAGGGGTGAGCCATCACCTGCCCTCTGGTTTCCATTGAACATGCATCCATGTTGGTTATCATGTGAGTGGTTCAAAGTGCAGTGGCAACTATTCCCATTATTGTGTGTGTAATGATATCCAGATATGGGAATTCTCTGAAATGCTTAGCTGGAATGTCTCATTGTTCCTGTTTGTCTTGTCAATGATAATAGTGCTTGTCTGGTCTTCCCACAGTTACAGGTGCATGCAGCGTTACGTTTCCATACAGTTCAATATTACAGGTGGGAGAAAGTTGCAAGTACCTCTGGAACATCTTTGCAACATTTCTTATATTCATATCAAATCAATCCCTTTTCTATATTGATAAACAAGGCCCACAGTCTGTTTGTATGGAAGTGAATTGGCTAATTGATACAATAGTGTAGTAGCACCAGTGATTTGATTGACCATGCCTACCTGTTGATGTAAAAAGTGTTGATAAATACATTTGATTGATTGACCATGCCTACCTGTGCAGGTGGTCCCATCTCTCAGCATGCCGTGGGGGCAGCCTCCACACCTGTAGGAGCCGAAGCTGTTGAAGCACTGGACTCCAGGCAAGCAGGGCATCCTCTCACACTCATTCACATCCTCCTGACAGGTAGCACCTACACAGAGTCACAGAGACAGACAGACATTATTACAACAGACAACACAAAGACAGACTGCCAAAGGCTATTACTACAACAGGTAGCCCTTACACGCACAAAGACAGAAAGCCAAGGTCTGAGCCAAGCTCACAGACAGAGACAAAAAGCCAAGGAAGCCCATTACAACAACAAACAGAGAGATCATGTATTTTCAGCCAGTGATGTGCGGTCAGCGTAGGCACAATGAATGAAAAAATAACTATATACATTTTTACCAATAATCATTTTGTCATCTTCATGTTTTTTCTGCATGATAAAATCGATTTGCACAAGGAGGCAAGAGGAAAGGCCTTTCTCCTACCTCTCAAACTCAAACCCATTGACATGACTTGTGTATGCATGTTTCTACCTTATACTGCCAGCTAATGGACGCCGAAAGGCAAGTTATTCATTTTCACTGCACTCAACTAATAAATGCGCATGCAAAAGGATATGGGACAGGCAGGAGGACAGCCAGCTCCTGCCTATGGACGTCACACATAACCTGCCTGTTACGTTCGTTTTCCTGCTAGTTAAAGTAAACTGATCAGGATGGCTAACATATTGCATCTGAAACAGTTTTCGAAGTTGGATTTTCTAGCGAAACAGCGGGTGATAAGGGATGGAAGACCAACACCTGAGCTTAGGGACCTACATCAAAGGAAGGGACAGAAAATAACACAATCATTTCAATATGAGTGGTATCAACGGAAAGACTGGCTCTGTGGCTGCGCTGCTAGCAGCCGACTCTACTGCTTCCCTTGCCTGCTTCTTCACCCGCGACAGCGTGTAGACAAGAGCCGGTTACTGCGAATTGAGCAACTTGCATTTAGCACGAAACTAGCATGAGAAATCTGTGTCTCATATCCAAAGCCAGATAGTTCTTAAAACAGTTGGCAATGAATGAACAACGGAGATTGAACATCAGCATGCACAAAAAGAGAACCGAGAGATTTTGAAAGACCTAGCTAATTAATGCAACGTCATGCTACCTAGGTAAACAGGAGTTGGCATTTTGTGGCAACGATGAGAGTGCCAGCTCATCAAACAGGCCCAAGGGCAACTATGTGGAACTATTAAACCGTTAGCAACCCATTTAGAGAGCTTTTTGCTCATGGCCTATGATGGAATGTTCAATGTACAATTGTTTCTTCCGTGTTCTGCAGAACAAAGTGATGGATATGGGTTTCTGCTTTACCAGAATCAGAATCACAATGAAAGCACTGGAACGGCAGCGACACAACTTTGATAGTTTCTATGAGCGATTCAAGCAGAGATGCAATTAACTGGGCCTGGCAGAAAGCGAAACTCATAGTAAACAGCCGATCAGAGTAGAGAGGGGGCTAATCTACTATAATTTAATGGACAATATCAATGTTCAGATGACAGCTTGTGTAACACGTGGGATACAAACCCAGGTCTCCCACGGGAGCAACCAACATCTTAGACCAATAGGAAATTCCCTATTGGGCAGACACTGGTTTTGAAGTTTGTAGGAGGATTACCCCATCATGTGACCATGACCATTACACCAGGTTTGACCACTTTGGTGAATTTAATTTCCTTGGCTTAGTGGTCTGCAAAAACGTATAAACAATGTCACAAAGGATCGACACCAGCAAACAAGAGCCTGTCAAAATATGCCAAGTACTTTGATTTCATTAAGGCTGATCTTGTCGGATTGTACAGTTCACAAATGGTACGAGACAAATCACCTGGACAGCTCCTCAGCATGACCTGACACAGATTGTCCCCGAGGCGACAAAGTTACTGCAGCTGGTCCTCACTAAACCAGCCACAACAGCATCCGTTGAGAGGTCATTTTCTATGCTGAAACGGATAAAGAAATACAGTCGAAACTGAACCGATCAAGGACGACTCTCATCCCTTACCATCATCTCCATCACACTGAGACCAACTTTTAAAACTGAGGGCCAACAGGGAGGAGTGTTACAGTTCAGTCACTGATGTCTTTACCCAGAAGGATAGACGGATGGACTTCGTTTACAAGTGCAATTTACAAAGTGTATTTACAGTAGTGCCGTCTACTATTATTATATTACATGTCTATTGTGTAAGTACAGTATATCTCTCAGTCAGTATTGCTGACTACTAGGCATGTTGTGTCTGTAGCGCTGTCTACAAGCAGGCCTACTCCTTGGCATTTGTGTTGACGTCGGTGGTACTGAAAGTCGCCTGTTTGTGCAAGGCAGTAGTTGAGAGGGGCAAAAGCTACTAGGGCCTGTGAATGTGTGTCTAATGGTTAAAGCCTGATGCTGTTTGATGATTGGTTGTGGTTGTTTGATGGTTAACTATTTTTCTTTTTTTTTTTCTTTTTTTGCGGGTAGATCAGCTTTAATATTGCAGATATATTGTAACTTCCATCAATGTAATTGTCTGCATCACTTCCAATCCCCCATATGTTTTTTTTCGTTTTTTTCTCGCGCATATATATATATATATATATATATATATATATATATATACATACATATACACATACATACACACATATATATATATATATATATATATATATATATATATATATATAACATACATACATATATACATACATACATACATATCCTTTAAAAATATATATATTTCCCTTTATTACTTTCCAACCCCACCATCCCCTCCCTAATTGGAGTAAACTAGTGAACAACAATGCTTAGGCCTCTACTTCATGCTTATACATACTATATACATTTTATGGACACAGTCACTAATTATATTTTGTTTGTTTTTACTCCTGAACTTCCTCCGATCATTTTCATGATGTCCATCTGGTATGCTTCTATATGCCATATCTTTCTAACTGTGCTCTTTCACAAAAGCTCACAATATATAACCTATATACTTATTATGGACACAGCATGTCTTACACTAGTTATCTTGTTGTTATTAGTTGTTATTAGTCCCATCCCAGCTCCATTCAACACCGCCCATCTATCTCTTAACACCATCCATATTGGATTTCTATTTGCCATATATTTTTCAACTGTACTGTGATGTTTTACAAAAGTTCTGAACCTTTCTATTCTCATTGTTTCTACAGTTTGTGAATTGAAAATAAACATCTTTGCTAAAAGTATTATTATATTATTGATCGATTGACTATGACTTTTCAGATCACCCAGTAGTGCTATCTGCAGGGTCAATTCCATGCAAATATTGCAATCCTTCAGCCATTCCTGGACCTGTGTCCAGAAACAAGCTACAAATGGACAGTACCAAAACAAATGATCTAATGATTCTGTCTCTTCACAGCCAAATCTGCAGAGCTGGGAAGATTGTATCCCCCATACAAATAACATTCTATTGGTAGCAAGAATTTTCTATAATAATTTAAATTGAAAAATTCTAAGTTTTGAATCCGGCGTCGTTTTGCGTATCAGTTCATAAACACTATGCCATGGAATCGGTATGTCAAAAATCTCTTCCCAACTATTTTGCAATCTATATGGGACGGCTGTCAATCTTTTGGTCCTTAAATTAAACTGGTAAACTTTTTTATTTATTACAATTTTCTTTAACCAATTATGTTCTTTAATGCAAGGCCGACAGACAAGTTCCTTACTTTTTCCTCCTTCCACTTTCCTCTTCTATTTTTGTGGTAATGCTGCAATTATTTGGTTGTAATTTTGGGTAGAGCAGACATTTCCATATGTTTTTGTTAGCTGCATGTGCGACATAACTCCACCATTCCTACCGATAATATCATTTACGAAGATTATACCTTTTTTAAACATTTTCAAAAAAAATAACGTTTTTTTTATCAATTAGTATATTTGAGTTTAACCACAAATTTATTATTATTATTATTATTATTTTTTTTTTCACCTTTATTTAACCAGGTAAGCCAGTTGAGAACAAGTTCTCATTTACAACTGCGACCTGGCCAAGATAAAGCAAAGCAGTGCGATAAAAACAACAACACAGAGTTACATATGGGGTAAAACAAAGTCAAAAATACAACAGAAATAAATATATATACAGTGTGTGCAAATGTAGCAAGTTATGGAGGTAAGGCAATACATAGGCTATAGTGCAAAATAATTACAATTAGTATTAACACTGGAATGATAGATGTGCAAGAGATGATGTGCAAATAGAGATACTGGGGTACAAATGAGCAAAATAAATAACAATATAGGGATGAGGTAGTTGGGCGGGCTAATTTCAGATGGGCTGTGTACAGGTGCAGTGATCGGTAAGGTGCTCTGACAACTGATGCTTAAAGTTAGTGAGGGAGATAAGAGTCTCCAGCTTCAGAGATTTTTGCAATTTGTTCCAGTCATTGGCAGCAGAGAACTGGAAGGAATGGCGGCCAAAGGAGGTGTTGGCTTTGGGGATGACCAGTGAGATATACCTGCTGGAGCGCATACTACGGGTGGGTGTTGCTATGGTGACCAATGAGCTAAGATAAGGCGGGGATTTGCCTAGCAGTGATTTATAGATGGCCTGGAGCCAGTGGGTTTGGCGACGAATATGTAGTGAGGACCAGCCAACAAGAGCGTACAGGTCACAGTGGTGGGTAGTATATGGGGCTTTGGAGACAAAACGGATGGCACTGTGATAGACTACATCCAATTTGCTGAGTAGAGTGTTGGAGGCTATTTTGTAAATGACATCGCCGAAGTCAAGGATCGGTAGGATAGTCAGTTTTACGAGGGCATGTTTGGCAGCATGAGTGAAGGAGGCTTTGTTGCGAAATAGGAAACCGATTCTAGATTTAACTTTGGATTGGAGATTCTTAATGTGAGTCTGGAAGGAGAGTTTACAGTCTAACCAGACACCTAGATATTTGTAGTTGTCCACATACTCTAGGTCAGACCCGTCGAGAGTAGTGATTCTAGTCGGGTAGGCGGGTGCAAGCAGCGTTTGGTTGAAGAGCATGCATTTAGTTTTACTAGTATTTGTTGCAATATTTGTTCTGTCATTTCTGGAGGATGAAATTGAAATTGCAACCAACTTTCTATGGCTTGTTTTAGAAATAGTGATATTTGGGAGATGATTTTCTTTTCAAATACCTGAAAGTGAGGGGTTGTAATCTGAATAAAGGGAAAAAGTCCCTTCTTGAACATTGGGTGAGACAATCTTACTAGTTTGCTAGAGAACCAGTTCGGATTTAAGTATAATTTGTGTATGACTGAAGCTTTTAGTGATAGGTCTAATGCTTTAATATTTAATAATGTTTGTCCTCCTAATTCATATTTAGTATATAAATAGGCCCGTTTAATTTTGTCTGGCTTGCCGTTCCAAATAAAATGGAATATTTTTTTCTCATATAATTTAAAAAACTGTTCGCTAGGCGTAGGCAAGACCATAAGCAAATAGGTAAACTGGGATAATACTAAAGAGATAATCAGGGTGATTTTTCCACAAATTGACAGGTAGTTACATTTCCATGGTAGCAAGATCTTATCTATTTTTGCTAACTTTCTATTATTGTTTTTTGGAGTGAGATCATTTATTTAATTTGGGATATGTATTCTGAGTATATCCACATCACCATCAGACCATTTTATTGGTAAACTACATGGTAATGTAAACATTTTATTTTTTAGTTATACAATATGTAATATAGTACATTTATCATAATTTGGTTGTAATCCAGAGAGGTTAGAAAATGTATCTAGATCCTCTATGAGGCTGTGGAGGGATTCAAGTTGTGGATTTAAAAGAAAACATGAATCGTCAGCGTACAATGACACCTTTGTTTTTAAGCCCTGGATTTCTAATCCCTTGATATTATTGTTGGATCTGATTTTAATAGCTAACATCTCGATGGCAATAATAAATAGATATGCCGATAGTGGACAACCTTGTTTCACTCCTCTTGACAGTTTAAAACTTTCTGAGAAATAGCCATTATTTACTATTTTACACCTAGGGTTACTATACATGATTTTAACCCAATTTATAAGAGATTGTCCAAAATTGAAATGCTCCAGGCATTTATATATAAACCCCAGTCATACTTTATCAAATGCCTTTTCGAAGTCTGCTATGAATAGTAGGCCTGGTTTCCCAGATTTTCCATAGTGTTCTATTGTTTCCAGTACTTGCCTTATATTATCTCCAATGTATCGCCCATGTAAAAAACCTGTCTGACTAGAATGAATAATGTCCGACAATACCTTTTTAATTCTATGCGCTATACATTTTGCAAGAATTTTTGCATCACAACACTAAAGTGTAAGGGGCCGGCAATTTTTTAAATGGACTGGATCTTTATATTTTCCACTTGTATCCTGTTTCAGTAATAATGAAATCAGGCCTTCTTCTTGAGTGTCTGATAATCTACCATTTACATAGGAGTGGTTAAAACATGCTAATAACGGTCCTCTGAGTATATCAAAAAAGGTTTGGTATACCTCGACTGGTATGCCATCCAACCCTGGAGTTTTCCCGGACTTAAAGTCTTTAATTGCATCCAGAAGTTACTCCTCTGTAATTTCACCTTCACATGAGTCTTTCTGTATGGCTGTTAATGTTACATTATCAATAGAAAAACAATCTCTACATTTTGCTTCAGTTAGAGGAGATGGAGGCGACTGAAATGAAAACATTTGCTTAAAGTACTTTGTTTCCTCCTTCAAAATATAATTTGGTGAATCATGGGTGACTCCGTCATTTGTAACCAGTTTCAATCAATTATTTTTGGTAGCGTTCCTATGTTGAAGATTAAAAAATAATTTGGTGCATTTTTCCCCATATTCCATCCAGTTTGCTTTATTTTTATAATATATTACACTTGATCTTTCTTGAATAAGTTTCTCCATTTATTTTTGTTTTTCCTCTAATCTATCTGTTCTGTTAGACCTTCTATTTCCTTTGTTAGTGTGGACTCTTTTGACCTAAATTGCTTTTGTTTTCAAGATGAGTACTGAATTGCATGGCCTCTAAAGGCACATTTAAAGGTGTCCAATACAATAAGGGGATTTGCTGTACCTATGTTATGTCGGAAAAAATCTGTTATAAATTCCTCTGTCCTAGTTAAAAACAAGTTATCATCTAATAGGCTTTGATTAAATGTCCAATATCCTCGCCCACGTGGAGACTCAGTAAGAGTAAAGTATATGCCAATTATATGATGCTGTTTGATGATTGGTTGTGGTTGTTTGATGGTTGTCTTTGTGATCGTGTCATACCGATAAACACCATAGCAAAAATCTGCTTTATGAGTGTGTGTGCATGTGTGAGTGAGTGACGGGGACCAGTGGGGCTCAATAGAAAGTGCCTACACGGCCTCAGACCTCAACGCACGTCACTATTTTCAGCTACTCCCGACCCTCACCTCACCTCAACCCTGACCTTTCACCACTTAATAGCTACACACACAGCCTAGAGGGAGTGATCAGGATGTTTGGAACTAGCCAACCACTGTTTGTTAACCCACCGCAGCACAGTTCTGTGTTTTCAGCAGGGGTTATGAATACAGTGCAAATACCACTAAAACTGGGATCTTTGCTTCTGCTAGTGGTGAATGGGGAGGGGGAAATGTATCAGATCTCTGGCAGTGTCAATACACACTTACGGGTTTCTCTCTCTTTGTGTGTGTGCGCGCTCTCGTGTGTTCCTGTAGCCTACCTCTAAGGCCTGCAGGGCATTCACAGAGGAATCCATCGACGGTATCATCACACACCCCTCCACCGCACGGAGCCGACAGACATGCGTCAATGTCCTCCTGACACAGGCCCCCTCCTATCCCCTTGGGACACACACACAGGTACTCTCCGCTGCCCGCCGGGAAGGCCACGTTGGTCACACACGTCCCGCCGTTCAAACACCCACAAGGCTTCACAGCCACCTGAAGAGACAGATGTACAGACAGAAGGACAGAGAGACTGCTGTTACATACATAGCTTTCAACATAGCCAATTAAATGCCATCATACTCAGCCTGTTATATGAACAGAATAGTTTCATATGGTCTGCTTAATCACAGCGTATGGCTATTTTCATTTTCACTTTCCCTAGATCCTCAACTCTTCTCACTGCTAATAAAGAGATAAATACCTACTCTGACTCCACAATACCCTCAGTCAGAAAACCACCATCTGCTTCCAGCTCTCTGATAATCATGGAAAGAGAGCCTTGTATTACTGTTTTATACCATGGGAGTTGATTATCAGCATCATATCACTGTCTTCTTTATTACTGTCAGTGTCAAGCCAGACCTGGGCTCACAAGGTAAGCTGCAGATACTTTAGTTGTCTCACAGCTTTGGGGTAAACTGTTTTATTACCACATGACCAACTATGGGCATGAGCCTGGGAATGTGAAAACCATGGGTTGTAAACTTGTCACACATATCCCATGGTAACCAGTGCCCTCTCCAGCTCTAAGCAGACAGACATCACGTCAACAGAGGATAGGCATGTGTGGAGCTGTGGAGTGGAGAGAGACACATCCGTGATAAATGCATATGTTGACTGAGGTCTGTTTGAGGTCTGTTTTCAGGCTTTGGGGGCTAAACTGTGGTACACCACCCACCCAGGGAGGGAGAGAAAGAGGGAGGTAGGAAGCTTCAATAAACTGTTTACAAGTCAATCCCTCCCTCTCCCCACCTCCTTCCCCCTCCTCTCTCCATCCCTCCCCTCTCCCCCCCGTCCTTTTCTCCCCCCTGCCCCCCTCTCCTCCCACTTCTCTCACCTCGACAATGTAGCTGCTCTGGGCATTGCACTCGTCGGATAGCGTGAACTCGAAGCTCTGCCGATCCTTCCCCTGCATCTCCACCGGATGGACTTTCCAGATGAGAAGGCCGGCGGGGGAGAGCGAGGCTTCAGGAGGGCCCTGCTCCATGAGAAAGAGGAGCGCCGAGCCCTCGGGGTCTGCCGCCGTGAACTGGAACACAAAGTTCTCCCCCACGAAGGTGCTGAGGCCCCCCTGAGGCTGGTGCAGGTTGGGGGGCTGGTTGACTGGGGGTAGGGGGGAGAGGGAGAGAGAGTGATACAGAGAGAGAGATAGAGAGAAGGAGAGACAAAAGATAAAACAGAAGAAAGTATTCTCTTTTTATCCACCGTGGTTGACAGGCAGTATTCATATTGTACTCCAGCTTATTGATAGGGTAGTTCTGAGCACACAGGGGAATTGAGGGGGAGCTAGTGTACTGTAGTCTACTGCAGACAGCATCACTGACACTGTGAAGCCCCAAAAGGCTGTCACAACACGTTAGTGTCAGGGGTGGGATGTAGGGAGGGAAGGAGAAAGGGAGCGAGATAGAGGGAGAGAGAGGGGTGGGATGGCGGGAGGGAGGGAGAGGAAGAGGAAGGGATGAAGGGTAGGAGGGAGATGGAGGGGTACAGTTTCTCTACAGGGACACAGAGACATGTGAAGACAGGCTCCTCTGTTGCAGAGTGCTGTTAGACAGGTCCTGACAGGTATAGAAACAGAGCCCTTGCAGATGGCCTGCTCTCCTTTGATCTAACACTGGGACAGAGACTGATGACACAGCTAATGGGACCAGGCACCTTCCTCAGAGCTGAGACCCAATGACAGACAGTAACACAGGGACAGGCTGCTTCAGAAACACACAGCCCCTAAGAAGAGAGAAAGACAGAACCTGTGCAAGGTCTACTAAGAGACTATTTTCTCATATGTGTGTGTGTGTTATTGTGCGTGTGTGTGTGTGTTTGTGCATGTGCATGGGTGTGTTTGCAAGTATAATCCAACAATATAACCTTCAAAGGGAAATCTGTTCAAAGCCCATAAATGAAACTTCCTGACCTATAACTCAACTAAAAGAGAATCACTTCGTCTGAGTCATAAAAGTCATAAAACTCCAAAGCTCTCCACTCCATCAAAAGTGCCTTGTGCCAATCATGATCAATCTTGTCTGACTGTCCATTATTAATCCCTATTACCCTATTAGACGGTGTTAATGAAGTGAACCATGCGGCGTAAAGATATGGGAAGCATCTGTAGCCCTGGGTGGGTGGGTGTGCTGCAGGCGGGTAGGCAGACTGAAAATATACCTGAGGAGGAGTAGAAAGAGGCGGGGGGAGAGGAGGGAAGGAGGGAGGGAGAGAGAGGGGGAGAGAGAGAGAAAGAGGGAGGGAGGGAGGGAGGAGGGAGGGAGGGAGGAGGAGGAGGGAGGGGGATAGGGGTTTGTGCTTGTTTCTTTTTCTTGTCTTTCGTTTCTTTTAGCTTTCTTCTCTTATCTGTCTCTCCTCTCTATACCAGTGTGTCAGCTCCCCTCCAAGTGAAAATGTATGACTGTGGCAAGGGCACTGCTATCTATCGTTTCCTTCCCTCATTCCTCAAGACGGTCACCTTCCACTTTAGTCTTGGGGAGAATCTGAATTGCATTTCTATGATCCTTCGCGTCTTCTCTCCTCGCCTCCTTCTCAAAAATCATTGGATGAGAAGGTCAGAGGTACAACATGTTGATCCCATTGACAACATGTTGATCCTTTTTCAAACCTTACATGCCAATCACGATCACCATAGCTGTTTGCAGTCTGTTGTATCAGTGTGGAGTTTGAGACTTTTCAAGCATATTTTGTTCCACAATTTTCAGCAGTCATTTTCAATTGAGTATGCATATAGACTGATTTGATTTACCTTCATTTACGGACCATGTGAATTTGGATGTGTTTGGGTTACAGAGGAGGCAGGGGCTGGCGGGATTGGAGTCTCCTTCAGCAAAACACATTCCATCTATATTACACGTCCTCTCCTGACAGAGAGAGAGGGAGAGAAAGAGAGAGAGAGAGAGAGAGAGAGAGAGAGAGAGGTGAAAGAGACAGACAGACAGACAGACAGACAGACAGACAGACAGACAGACATACAGACAGACAGACAGACAGACAGACAGACAGACAGACAGACAGACAGACAGACAGACAGACAGACAGACAGACAGACAGAAAAAAGAAAGAAAGAAAGAAAGAAAGAAAGAAAGAAAGAAAGAAAGAAAGAAAGAAAGAAAGAAAGAAAGAAAGAAAGAAAGAAAGAAAGAAAGACATTCACTGTTACTACATTTACTGAGATAAGAAATAGGAATACAAAGGTGCAGAGATGAACTAGTACACATTTATGAAGCAACTATTTTTAAAGTGTCAGGCAATATGAGCTTCTCCATTTATAGCACTAGGACATATCTGAGCCTCTCTCTGGGGACCATAGAAGAAGATCACAGCAGGAAATGAACAGAAAACAAACACTAACAAATCCATCTCTTCCGAACGTAACTCAATTTTATTAAAACATCATTGGCAGGAGCTACAGTAATCCCCTGTGTGTGTGTGCTTGCGTTCCAATGTGTGTGTCTGTATGTGTGTGTGTGTATGCGTGCGTGCGTAAGTGTGTGTGTGTGTACTGTATGCTGTGTGTGGGGAGGACATTCATAACATCTGTCGTTTAGAATAGACATCCATGGACGTAGGGAGCTCTGAAAGTGATGTTGTGAGTGTCTGTTTTAGTCATCCCAGAGACAACTGGTATTCCAGAGCTTGGTTTCCACTGTACAGTAAACCCAAGAGTAAAGATGTACAACAATACTTCACTAAACATGTTGGACAACATGTTCAACAAGTACCCTGCAGACATTACGAGACGGCCTGTTTTTCACTTCTCTTCATAGGAATATCTTATGTCTTACTCAGTGGTAAAGAGTTTTCATAATACTGCATGGTTTTTAAGGGAAAAGTATGTGTGTTTGTGTGTGTGTACGTGTGTGGTTGTGCATGCATGTGTGTTTGTGTGGTGTATAGTAGTTACCTTTAACTTACAGAGTCCGGAGTGGGTTGGTTCACACACCTGGCACACACCATCGTAGATTGTTAGCACCTTGGGCTCACTGTACTGAGAGCCGTCATTGGTCACCTGAGACAGGAAGGAACAATACTGTAACCAACCAACACTCAACACACTCTAGTCCTAACCAATGGAGTTCAGACATTCATATCATATAGGAGGGCTTCCTTGTCTTGAGCTTGGTTTGGATGGTCAAATGGTTTGGTGGTTTAGCTAAGTAAATCATTTAATATGATTACATAAGTTTGAAGCTCATATACTAAAAAAATTCAAAAATAAAATTGATATAGGATTTGAAATTCATGCTGATGCACACTTGGACATTTTCACAGCATCCAATACAAATATACCTCACACTTCTAAGGGACGGGTGACTCAAACTCCCCTAAACCTTGTAGATTAATGGCAAAGCCAGGGCTAAGGTAGGTGATATTGGACTCATCCTCTAAGCCCACTAACCCAGGCTCACATCATCCACTTCAGCACGCAGACCTGACTTTGGGCTAACCTTGGGGGTGAGGAGAGAAGCCCCACGGCTCTGTCTCCTACATTGAGATTTATGCTAATGTCTTCTAATACAGCAGTAAACAAACAGCGATCCCAAACCACTCAGGGACATGCTGGAACATGATATATAGGCTATATACCAGGCAAGGAGAAGGTCAGGAACAGGGCAAAGCAGAATACTTCAAGTTGACTTTGAAAAAGTGAGCCATAATCACAGTTTCTTGCAAGGAAATGAGGTGACTTTCCATGTGCTTTAGTAAAATGAATGATGAAATGAATTAACTTTATTGAGCTAACTTTACCAGATGGGAAATACTGTACATAACTTTACCTTGACTTCCCAGCGAGCGTAGGGTTTGTCATCCAGCATAAAGTCTACAGCGTTGACAGTCATCATGCTGTTCAGTGAGGGGATGGAACAGTCTAAAGCCTTGGAGCTCAGGAAGGTAGCTCTGGTCCTCTGCTTCTCTCCCGGAACCCGCTCACCATTCAGGTACTAGAGGAGATAGATAGATAGATAGATAGATAGATAGATAGACAGACAGACAGACAGACAGACAGACAGACAGACAGGACAGACCAGACAAGACCAGACAGACAGACAGACAGACAGACAGACAGACAGACAGACAGACAGACAGACAGACAGACAGACAGACAGGAAAGACAGACAGAAGACAGACAGACAGACAGACAGACAGATAGATAGATAGATAGATAGATAGATAGATAGATAGATAGATAGATAGATAGATAGATAGATAGATAGATAGATAGATAGATAGATAGATAGACAGAGCATGGGAATAATATGTGTCTAATGTGTAAGCAATTGATAAGTCTCTAATTACAATGTTGATAATGACTGAACCCCAGCCTGTAGAGTAGTAGTTTGATAGACCAACACACTATCACAGTTTATTTTGAAATAGACAATTCGTGACATGTGTATTACACGTTTTTCATCACAGCGCATTTGGTGTGTATTACACGATTTTCTTTCTTCATAACGCATTGGTGTACATTACATGAATTCCAATTTGTTGTGGCTAACGTTAGCTAGTCTAGCTAGGTGGATCATGTTAGCTAGGCTAAGGGTTAAGGTTAGGGGTTAAGGTTAGGTTTAGGGGTTGAGGTTAGTTAAAATGCTAGCTAAGCAGTTAACAGGTTAGGTTTAGGAGTTAGGATAAAGGGTTAAGGTTAGGGTTAGGGAAAGGGTTAGCTAACATGCTAAGTAGTTGTAAAGTAGCTAAAAAGTAGTAAGTAGTTGCAAAGTAACTAATTAGCGAAAATGCTAAAGTTATCCGTGATGAGATTCGAACACACAGTCTTTGGGTTGCTAGACGTTCGCGTTATATGCCAACCCATCCTCCCCGACCAACCTCCCTCCTATCGTTTTTGCCTTAAGTAACCTACTGTCTTTATCTGTGATTGAAATGCACTGTATACAAAATCGTATACTGCACATGAAAAGATTGTGTCTATTTCACAATAATCTGTGATACTGGGTTGGTTAGACAGACCCAATCACCCACCACCTTCTGCCTATTCACATAGATGATATTGGAGTCCTGTTGTGAACTAGCAGTTTACCAGTCTGTCTGAGAGATGATTATAAGGCCTACTGCAATGAGCCCTCCTCCTATGATCGGAAAAGGGAATCTAGAGCACCATAGTTTTGCTGAACTTTTTCAATTAAAAAAGACTGGTTTGGATCCTCAGAGAGATTTCACCATCCCGTCTGTGTTTTCTGTGTTCCCCACTGTGTTTAGTACAGCAACACTCTGGGCTGTGTCCTTATATGACCGTGACCATTGTCTGAGTTATTTTTCTCACCATCAGTCGTGTGAGGTGGCAGCCCAGGTTGGGAGAGTCGATGAAGCCGAGGCCGAAGACCCGTACGCTGCGACAGTCGAATGCTCTGATGTCACACAGACCACTGTTCTCCAGGTCTGTCAACTCTACGGGCTGACCTTAGGACAGAGGAAAGAGGGATGGGAGGGGAGAGAAGAAGAGAGAGGGATCATCAGAGTGGAAAGAAGGACTAAAATATGTTTAAATGAGGAAGCTCCAAATAGAAAGGCTCAATATGCAAGTTTAGTGCAATACAAGCCCACTCGCTGACAAACCAAAATGGAAGATTCACCAATTCAAGGGTAATGTATGATGTGACAAAATGGCACGTTGTCCTTGACTACAACACAGTTAGTAAATTCACAGAGACAGTCGCAATAAATACAGCAGCAGCCAGACACAAAGTCATAGCATTGGGAGGTCATGTTCAAGTACATTGTCATGAAGCAGCAAACTGTTTTATAATACCTGCCAGAATGAGTTTAACATTTGGAAAAAGTCACTTTGACTCTGTCTGCATAAAGTACAGTACTAGTATGTCTGCCTTCTTTGATTCTAGTTTGATTCTACTTTCTACAGAAAACAATGTCATTAGTGATATTAAACTCTTGAAGTCAGTTGCATTTGCTTGAATAAGGTAAGACGCTATCCCCACAACAGAACGGCAGAAAATCAACACAAAAGAGGAGACAATTCCCCTTCAATTTCCCCTCCCTGATCTGTGGCCCAGGGGTAGACTTGATGCTCGCCTGGGATCAGTTGAGCTATTAGCTGGATTTATTGGTGCGCCCTGCCGTGTTCCCCTAGGACCCTGATTCAAGATCAGCTACTATAAATCACACAACACACAGAGAGAGGTCACGGGTGGATGCCCGGACCCCTACCTGGTGATGAACAGCATCCTACTGGGGGCCAGTATGAAAATGTATGGACTCACTAACTGTAAGTCGCTCTGGATAAGAGCGTCTGCTAAATGACTAAAATGTAAATGTAATACCAGAGTAGGAGTACTGATCTAGGGTCAGTTTTACCTTTTAGATTATAATTATATGGACCATAGGGACCTGATCCTAGATCAGCACTCCTATGTGGATGTGGATTGGGGTTACTCACTGTATCTAATATTAAAAAGAACTTGAGAGTGCAGTAGTCTAATGTTTTAGACTAAACTACAACATGACCAATAAACTGATTAAATCCAATTTAAAGATATTTTGATGCCAACATGCCCAACCTCTGAGCAGCTTTCAAGGGGAAGATAGGTTCTGAATACTCACTGATAGCCAGACTGCAGTCGTAGAAGCTGTGGCCAGGATAGCACTGACAACCCCAATCAGTGCACTGGCCATTCCCGTTGCAGAAGTTGGGGCAGCGCAGTGCGGTGAGTACCGTCCCAACGATCCCCTCAACCCCCTCCATCCCGACCCTGGCCATAGACCCCCCCAGCTCCAGGGCCCTCTGGGTCCGGTTCTCCAGTAGCCTCTTCTCACACTCGTTCTCCAGGTAGGGCACCAGAGCTTCCTCCCAGGCCAGGTCATCCTACAACATCAAGTTCAAGAAGTTCAAGTTTAACTGCACTCACATAGCAGTCAATGGAAACTGAAATCCATGAGCATACTGTACAATTGGTATTTGTCTATATAAATGCATATTTATGACTTGACAAAAGGACAGACAAGACCTATACTAACAAGTTACAATATCAACAATGGTAGTGTCCAAAATGGCACCATATTCCCTAGCCCTATGGGCTCTGGTCAAAAGTAGTGCACTATATAGGGAATAGGGTGCCATTTCAGATGCAGACACAAACAGAAATACCTTGAGCTGCAGGTCCAGGATGCACAGGTCCACTGCCTCATCTAGCCTCCGGCCCAGCAGCTCTCTACACACTGTTCCCACCGTGGAGTTCCCCAGGGCTAGCTGGCACACCTCCAGGGCCTTGACCGAGGTAAGCCCACTGGGGGTGGGCCACACGGGCTGGGCCACTGGTCGCTCTGCAGACAGGTGGTGGTCCTCAGGGAAGAAATAGGCTAAGCTCTCCAGGTCTGCTTGGCTCAGGGACTGAGAGGTGAAGATGGTCTGGAACTCGTACAGCGCCTAATAATGACAATAGTAATAATAATAATAACGATAATGACAATAATAACAATAGAACAATTATTAAATAATATCAAGGGCCATTCAAATAACCTCAAGGACACTATACAACAAGAAAAACAAAAAGAGAGGAAAAAATAAACACCTGTCTCTTTGTCTTGGGCCTGATGTCGTCTACGGCAACCAGGAAGTCTCTTCTGAGCTCCCTGTCAATCTCTCGCTCACTCTTATCACCGTGGTCCCCAAACCCACCATAGTCTACCATCTCGGAACTTGGCTGTTTGTGTATCTCCATAGGCAGAGCTGGGCCGTTCAGGATGGACTCTCCCTGGTGGTCACTTTGTTCTGGCTCAGAGCTCTTAATGTACTCAGAGGTAGTGTCCACCCAGGGAAAGACAGAGGTGTAATCCACGTTGTCGTGAGACTGGCACTGGGCCTGGTGCTGGGGCGACGAGGGGTTAAAGTTATAGTGGCTATCTCCGGTGTGGCCCGTGGCGAAATGCAGAGACATGCTGTAGCCCTCCTGACACCGACAGAAAGGCCGTAGTACCTCCACCCCCATTACAGGGGGCATGGTGTCAAATAAGCTCTCCCCCGCGGCTAGCCTGACACAAAGAAGAAACAGAGGGATATGGATCAGACAATGAGCTATCTCATCAGACTCTGAATTAAAGTAAGCCTTGGGGATAACACAGGATTTGATAAAGGCTTTCTTTTCTCATGCCAGCTAAAATAGAAAAGATAACCCAAGGTTATTATGGAAAAACAATTTACTTACAAACTAAATGACCAAAAGGACAGGGGTGGGTGACTGAACAGTTACAAGCTCAGGGGACCCCTCTCAGATCTATATAGAATCATTAATAGTTACCTCCATTCCTCCACAAAGCGTTCTTGTTCAGTGCTCCCATAGGTGGTCCCATCAGGTCCATGGAAGTCGTTGTGACCGTTCCGGTCGAATGTCCCACAGAGTCCCATTGTTCTGCTGTAGTCCACACTGGGAGCTCTGATTGACAGGCTCATCCCCCAATCACTGACGTCTGCCCTCACAAAGGCCCCAGATGGAAAGATCAACTACAAAAGGAATAAAAAGGGATAAAAGCGTCTGCTAAATGTCATATATTATTATATTATTATAATATTATTATATATTATAAAAGTATGCGTTAACCTTTATTACAACCAGAAGCCAGATCTTAATGCAAATTATAGAATGAGTTCACTCAATGTTTTATTGCGTGGATCAGTATACTACACAGAGGGACTCAAAACAACAACAATCTCCAAATCTTTCTATCTATAGAACTAGTGTTGGACATTACATTACATCAATCGTACAGTGTTGCAGATTGCCCCTAGCAGAAAGGTGTTTTTCCATGACTTGTAAAAGTCGTATCATTCAATATTGGGCTCAGTGGGCTCACAAACTCACACATCCCCAAACCTGTCTAGACAGTGAGAGGAAACAGCCCATAAAAGTGGCGGTAATGACTTTAGTAAAAAAGCATGAGCTGACGCATACCCAAAAATGCTTGTACATGTGCTGACTACACGAGAGAAAACTGTACAAAAAGAAAGAAAGTCGCACAAGCTATATATGCTCCCAACAATTTAATGGGTAAACCTACTTGGTAAAATTAATAACTTTAAATTAACCAATACCTACTGTAATTTTCTTCCCCTGGTGAGATTCATGGATCTTGATCCGATACTGACTGGAGCCGCTGGTCCCACTGGATCCACTGTTATATCCTCCCAGGTTCTTCAGAGAGAGCTGGGGCCTGGTCTCCTGAAGCTGACCGTTACACATATCCAGCGTGACCACCTTAAGGACCACAAAATGAAAATAGGTAATTGACTGTTATCCTAATAGTTTTCTACTGTATTTACAAGCTGTATATATGTTTTTTTTTTTACCCTAAAAGCGTCAACATATTTTTTGCTTAAAAGCGCCAATTGAGGTAATCTTTTACCCCAAATTGGTAATGATTGCAAAGAGACACTGCCTGTCAAGCAGTATCACTTTTTATTTTATGAACCTTTTGTAAATGGTTTAAATTCCCAAAAATAAGCATATATATATATATTTTTAAATCATACATTTACAGTCAAATGTGATATTTCAAAATATACGTTTTTGTATGTTTTTCATGTTTTTAAGAGATACTTTGATCAATTTCATCCATAGCCACTTGTTATGAACATTTGTCTGTTATTCATTCAAAGTGTTGTATTTCTATGGTACTCAGAGGCTGAAAAATTGGCGATTGAGCCACCAATATGGGCGATATAGGCGATATGGGCGCCAGTGCCATAAGACGTTCAGCTCTAACTCTGGAACGCTATGGGCTATCAACACAGGTCAATTTGCATATAAAAGATGAGACTCTCGAATTGGTATAGAGATATTGAATGAAAGCACATTTATTTTTTTGTTATAGTGGCTGCCACACCCTCTCAGGGGCCAAATTTGGGAAGGCTCCATATCTATATCTTTTCAGGGTACATACATCTACCTCTATGCCAAATTTGGTGCTTTTATCACAAAGTTTACTATTGAGTCCCATTTACAGCACAACTAGTATTCAAAAGAGTGATTATGTTTCATTCCTCCATTTGACCTCTGTTAGCACTTTTAGGGTTAATATTCTAATAAATTAAATCAATCTATCAATCATTCATTCAATCAATCAGTGATTTCCCCAAAGCATCTTGCCTGCTCAATGTGTAAATGGATGGTTTTAAACTGTAGTGCTTTGTGTTTTATGTTGTAAATGTGTCTGTATTAAACGTTTTGTGCTGCTGATTTGGCCAGGTCTCTTGTAAAATTGATTTTTAATCTCAATGAGACTAACTTGGTAAAATAAAAATAACAAAAAAATTCAAGCAATCAACCTCGTTTCCCTCCATGGCCGCCACTCCACAGTTACAGGACACAGCGTAATGGCGGCTACCACAGTCCCACTGACGAGCCTGGACCTCGAACACTCGGTGGAGGCTCTTGTAGAGGACGAAGGTACCCGTCTGCTGGTTCTCATAGCGTCTAGTGGGGAGAAACAGGTCTTAAAACAGTGCTGATAAATTGGACTGATATCATTGCTGTGATGTTCATACTTAAAATACCAAAACAACATTTATGTATGCTTGTGAAAACATTTGCGAAAATTTGTTAGAATTGAACATTTGCATCAAATAAGTTATTTTAAAGTTATTTTACTGGCAAGTTCAAATAAATAGTAAGAACTAGTTTCCAATAATTATCATATAAAAACACTTTTCCATCTAATCAAGCAAAAAGGGGCTTTTGATTATGGGTACTTGAGATTGCATAAACACGATGAAGGTGAAGCAATGATTTTAAAATAATTAGGATTGAAAAAGTTATATCCATTTAGAAGGTTATGGACTGGTCACCTTCGGACCTGTTTGGTCTGAAAAACATTTTAAACATATTTTTCTCTGATTAGCGGGTGTTTTTTGTAATGTTTTCAAGTACCAGCTTTGACCAAACTCTCATGTAGTGACCTGTGAGAGGATAGTTAATAATAATAATTACAGTAAAGAACTTAATCAGTTAGCAGGAGGTGGAGTGGTGATTTAAATAGCTCTTCTTGATCATTAAAATCGGCCAAAACAAATCATGTGGGGGCAGAAATTTTTTATAAAAAAAAGCATAACAAATGAGATTTTTTTTTAAACACACTGTATGTCAATGTACATGAAGTTCTATTGGGGGGAAAAATAATGGGGGATAATTCGATGTGAAATGTGAAGTGGGTACTCGTCTCCAAGTCTGTACGTAACACACTAATATTTCATAATAATAATAATATATGCCATTTAGCAGATGCTTTTATCCAAAGTGACATAAATCGTAAATCTAAAGTGATTTACATATGGGTGGTCCTAGGAATCCAACAAGTGAAATGCTCTACCAACTGAGCAACATAGGACACAGCATGCTAAACACAATGCCCCAGTTACCTACCTGCCATCCAATGTAATGATGTGTGGATCAGTCAGAGAGTAGCAGCTTGCAGTGGGAACATCTTGAACTGTGACCTGTAGAGGTATGAGGAACAAAACTTTGCGTGACCCACTCTGGTCGTGCTGATTAAAGTATAGGCAACAGCACATTCTGTAGCTTTCATGTGTGTGTGTGTGTGTGTGTGTGTGTGTGTGTGTGTGTGTGTGTGTGTGTGTGTGTGTGTGTGTGTGTCTGTGTGTGTGTGTGTGTGTCTGTGTTTTTGAATAACAGGCGAAATGCTTTCATGTCTCACTGGCTTAAACACTAAACACAGATGTGCCAAGCCTGACTGCATGACTGAGGGATGACACAACGCAGGGGAAGTCAGAAGGTTAGAAGGACACAACGGTTTTGCTACATGAGTAACGCTCAGATTTAGTTTCAACAAAAGAGTGGAAGAGCACGTGGAAAAGCAGTGTTAGTGATTTGTCGTTGGTTCATAACAGTCTTCTCTTTAACCATGTAAACACTGTGGTGCTATGTCATGCAGACATTTACTGCAGTTATGTTAGTGTTATAAGCATCTGTTCTGAGGCTTATAGCTACATTTTCTCTCTCTCTGACCTTGAGTGGGGTGGGGCTATAGCCCATCCGGAAGCAGGGTGCATAAAAAAGAGAATTAAAATATTGAGTGTTCTAATTCTAAAGTTCTAATTATGTTGTAGTGTTCTAATGTGTTCTAATTCTATGGGTCTCCCGGTCGGACCTTGAGGGGTGTGGGGCTGTATCTCCTCCAGAGGCGCGGTGCGTCAGAGCGTGGCGTGGCACTGAGGAGGCTGGGGCGGTTGCCGTCGCGGGTGAAGTCTGTGACGGCGGTGAGGGTGAGGCTGGCCCAGGCACACCCCTGGCTCCGGCTGCAGGCTGCAGTAGGCTGCAGCTCCACCTGGCAGGTTGACAGGGCCATGTTGGGGGCCTCCACGCTGGGACCCAGGCTGTCTGGGAGGGCAACAGGACACATAACAGGGTCTGGTTAGTAAATACCCCCACAGAGCTGCAAGACAGCTAGCCTGAATATGAAATCGATCCCTAGCCCCTAGATCTGTGAAAGGATTAGATGGGTGTAAACAAACAGGAAGTAATCACATGTTGAGTCTCTTGGTTTTAAACCTCTCTGGCGCTAGTACAGTAAGCACTGGCTCGCACAGAGATGGCATGATCATGGAAATTAGGCTATTCTAATTCTTACCTGAGTCACGGACGCTCAGAGTGAGAGGGACTCCACATGGTCGGCCGTGCTCTGTCCCGTAACAGGGGATAGGCACTGTACTGTGGATGGCTACAGCATGCTCTTTACCGTCCTCCGCAATCTGCAGCACATCTGGAACAAACTGCAGGGAGAGAGAGAGAGAGAGTACAGACACAGGTTCCTGGACTGTCTGGGCTCAATATTAATTTAATTTACAGCACGCGATGCAGTTCAGAAGGAGTTTAATGCTCACCAATGGATTATATACAATTTAGAGGTCAACCAACAACCATCTTTTTTAGTACATTGTATCAGTCATGATGGTTTACCTTAATTCCAGCATAGAAGCTCTCACTCTCTTTGGCCAGAGATTGTGTCCGGCTGGAGTTACCCAGGAACGTGGAAACACTGCAGGAGAACTGTAAAATAATAGTACATTAATAATGACATAAGTCGCCACTATCAAACGTTCACCAGGCCAGTCTGCGACAGAGCTGTCTATGACACAAATGAAACGGCATAATATTTTCCCTTAAAAAAAGCATAAGGCTTAGGGTCGTAAAAGCGGCCTTTCTAATTTGTTTTGGCTTGTATATGTAATTCATCCAAACATTTCACTGAGTCATATGGCGTGTAGGCTACATGAGCAATGTGTTAGGGCTGGAGCCGTTGTGTGTTTAAGTCAATCTTCAGTAAAGTAGTGACCCCTGATCTAGCCCAGCAGTGAGATCAGCATGTGGGGAACAGAGCCTGTTGAGTGTGGCCTGCCCTGCACTGCACAGCTTGTCATGGATATACACAACTAGTACCGCACGTAGCATCCATCCACACATGGCTTCACATGGCAGGGATATATGGTAATTTAGCAGACAAACCACTAATACAGTAATTGCTATCTTAAGTTTCAAGTTTTATTAGTTGCATACAGGATACACATGGTATACACCATCCAACGAAAGGCTTACTTGCAGGTCCCTTCTCGAAAATGCAACAACAGTAAGAAATAATAAAATATAAGAATATGAACATAAAGTCAATGGCAGTAGAATATAATAAACATTTGAGCATAAGTATAATACAGGAAGGCACAATTTATCGTCCAATATTTACACGTGTATCAGGGAAGGGGGGATTGGTGGGCAAGTGTTTAAATTGTGCAGTATTAACAATAGTAAATAACAGTCTGGTAGCAGCAGTTGTGATGTGTGTGTTGCATAAATGTACATTACATTACATTTACGTCATTTAGCAGACGCTCTTATCCAGAGCGACCCACAAATTGGTGCATTCACCTTATAGCCAGTGGGATAACCACTTTACAATATGTTTTTTTTGTGGTTTTTTTGGTGGGTGGGGTAAGAGGGGGGGGGGGGGGGGGGGGGTAGAAGGATTACTTTATCCTATCCCAGGTATTCCTTAAAGAGGTGGGGTTTCAAGTATGTGTGTGTGTAACAGTTGGTGGTCAGGAGTCTGAACCCTTTGGAGTTGGCACTGGTGTGAGGCAAGGGTGTGTGCTTGCGCCGGTCCTATTCAATGTCTTCCTCCTGTGTGTCACAACACTCCTGCACAAGGACATGGAAACAGAGTGGGGTGACCCTGGACGTCAGATTGAACGGGAACCTCTTCAACATTAAGAGGCTCCAAGCTGCCACAAAGCTCAAATCTGAACGCGTTCTTGAGCTCCAGTATGCGGATGATTGCGCTCTTATGGCACATACCCTAGAAGCTGTACAAGCCATGCTCACAGCAACTGTGAGAGCATACAGCAGAATGGGGCTGTCTGTTAACATCCCAAAAACAGAGATCCTATGTCAGTGGTGATCTGACCCTCCAACTGAAACATCCACATTCTCCATCTCAGACTCCTCACTGGCCATTGTACCACACTCTAAATATCTTGGAAGCAACAGCAACCTGCACCTACACACCAAAGTTGCAGTCTACCAGGCAGTGTGTATCTACACTCCTTTATGGATGTGAAAAATGGACAGTCTACAGGCAACAGTTAAAACAACTGGAGTCCTTTCACATAAAATGCCTCCAACGCATTTTGAAAGTGACCTGGCAGGACCGTGTTCCACACTCAGAGATCCTACAGAGAACCAACTGCAGGAGCATTGAAGCGTCCATCACACACCACCAGCTTAGATGGCTCAGTCATGCCACCCGGATGCCAGAGGATCGCCTGCCGCAAAAGATGCTGTACGGACAGCTACAACTGGGCCGTCGCTCAGCAGGTGGGCAGAAAAAGCGGATAAAGGACCAACTGAAGACATCACTAAAGAAATGTGGGATAAACCCTGCCTCCCTCGAGACTGTTTCTGCGGACTGTTCCATCTGGCGCGGCCTCTGCCATCTAGGAGTGACCATGCCGGCACCGGCCTCAACGGGACAGGTCTTTGTGTGCTCTGTCTGTGGCAGACAGTGTACAACCCGCATCGGATTATACTGTAAAGCCATCAGCGAACCCACAAGCAGTAGTTAAGTCATCATCGGATACGATGGACTACCTTAAGCAAGTAAGTGTGCGTGGATGTGTGGGTGTGTGTGTGTGAATGAGTGCATGTGTGCTAAGGTGTGGAGAGTCAGAGCAGGTGGTCAGTCCAGTTCAATTGTTCAGCAGTCTGATGGCTTGTAGATAGAAACTGTCTCTTAGTCTATTGTCCCACTGGCTATCATAAGTTGAATGCACCAATTTGTAAGTCGCTCTGGATAAGAGCATCTGCTAAATGATGTAAATGTAAATGTATCAGACCTCATGCTCCGATACTATCTGCAGTAAGGTAAGGGAGAGAACAGCTCGTGGCTGGGGTGATGGGGTCCTTGATGATGCTGCGGGACTTCCTCAGGCACCGTTTCTTGTAGATGTCCTGGATGGGTGGTAACATGGTGATGTACTGGGCCTTCTTCATCACCCGCTGGAGGGCCTTACGGTCATGGACAGAGCAATTCCCGCACCAGACTGTGATGCAACCGGTCAGGATGCTCTCAATGGTGCAACGGTAGTTTTTGGAGAGGACCTGGGGTAGCGTGCCAAATTTCTTAAGCCGCCTTAGAAAGTAGAGGCGCTGTTGCGCCCGCTTGACAACAGTGGTGTGGATGTGGACACGGAGGAACTTAAAACTGCTGACTCTCTCTACTGTAGTCCAGTTGATGTGGATCGGGCATGTTCCCTCCTCTGCTTCCTGAAGTCAACAATCAACTCCTTTTTGTTTTGCTGATGTTGAGGGAGAAGTTGTTTTCCTGGCACCACAATGCCAGGTCACTTACCTCCTCCCTAGAAGCTGACTCATCATTGTTGGTTATTAGGCCTACAACCGTGGTGTCATCAGCAAAATTGGGATCATGCAAAGTCATGCAGTCATGGGTGAACAGGGAGAGCAGCAGAGGGCTGAGGACACACCCCTGGGGGGCCTCTATGTTAAGAGTCAGTGTGGAGGAGGTGTTGTTGCCAATCCTCACAGCCTGTGGTCTGCCCTTCAGGAAGTCCAGGATCCAGTTGCAGAGGGTAGTGTCCAGACCCAGGGCTCTGAGCTTGGTGTCGAGCTTGGAGGGAACAATAGTGTTGAATGCTGAATTGTAGTCAATGAACAGCATTCTCACATAGGTGTTCCTCTAGTCCAAATGTCTTAGGGCCGTGTGAATAGCGATGGAAATGGCATCTTCCATGGATCTGTTGGAGCGGTAGACAAATTGGAGTGAGTCCAGTATGCCTGGCATGCTGGCCTTGATGTGGGCCATGACCAGCCTCTCGAAACACTTCATTATGACAGGAGTGAGTGAGAAAGAGCGATAGTCATTTTGGCATGTCACCTTGATTTTCTTGGGCACTGGGACTATGGTGGTCTCCTTGATGCAAGTGGGGACTACAGCTTGGGACAGGGACAGGTTGAAGAAGACTAATATCTAATATCTGTGTTAGAAGAAGAGCCTCAATACAACAGACCAATTGCATAGAAAGCATTTGATGGGAATCATGTGAAAGAGTCCTCCCAGCAATAAAAAGTAAGACAGACCAGCCCTACACTGAATCTGATTCAGCCCTCTTCCCTTCATGCCCTCCTTTCTCTTCCCTGACAATCTGACACACTTTCTTCTATCCTGTTTTTCTACATGTTGAACTCAGTCAGAAAGGTCAAGAGGTCAACAGGATCCATTGGTTAAGCCACCAAGGATGGTCAACCCCCATCACACAAACACACGTACGCTCACACACGCACACACACACACAAACACACACACAAACAAACACACACACACACACATCCACACACACACGTCTGTTAGACATTTTTACCGTCTCCCCCAGTCTGAAGTGGACTCCGTCCATCTCCACCAATGAGAAGGTCTCCATGATAGAATCTTTCCTGATCTCCACCTTCATATTGGATGCCAGGTGTCGGGCCCAGACCACCAGGTAACCCAAGGGGAGTCCCGAGGCCTTCACCCCACTGAAGGTGCATCGCAGGTGGACACTGCTACCCACCAGCTCTGGGGTGATCACAGGCTTGGAGGATAATGCAGGGAGACTTGCTGAGCAAGGGAAAGATGAGGGATGAACAAGAAGCTGATATCAATAAAGAATTACGATAAATGTGAATAACATTTCTTTGTGCTTGTTTTGGTTGTTTACCTTTGCAGCGCCCATTGACTTCCACCTCACCCAGTGGGCATAATTTAGGTCCAAATTCTGATATGACTAAAAACAAGAAAAATACAGTTAGACTTAGACGAACAGAGCAGCAGACATATCTGAAGGCTAATAACAAATTCCCAATTCCAGCGAAGCAGTCACCCATCACACCAAACTGACAGTGAGTCTCTAATTCTAATTCACCTTTGGCACAATATCCCATACACCCCTGGGTGGGTTGCAGGTAGTACAGGAGAAACTCCCCACAGTTGCGTACTGAGATGGGGATGCGGAAGAGGCAGCAGTCCTTGGTGCTCCCGTGGAAGAACTGCCAGGTGGCGCAGGCCGAGAGCTGGCGGACCTCCCCCGGGCGGGGCAACGAGCTATCAGTCAGAGACAGCCACACAGGCGCCTGGGTGCCACATCTGTTCATCTGGAGAGAGGACATTCAAAAAGCATCTCAGAGTAAGTGCTGGTCTAGGATCAGTTTTGCCTTTTAAATCGTAATGGATATGAGGGGGGACCTGATCCTAGATCAGCACTCCTACTCTGAGATGCTTTGTGAAAAAGCTTCCACCTGCTCTGTAGCTACTCATTATACAGTTTACACTCAACTTTTCACTGTCAACAAAAATCTAACTCAAAAAGCAAAAACTAAACACAGCTGTATTGAATGAGGTCAGAGTTGTATGGATTCATTTACATGGAAATTATGACTTGCATTGGTAACTACAGTTTGGATGTTTATAGAGAATAATCCTTATAATTCTCATAATACACCATGTTTTAAATATTGGATGCACAACATGTTTCCTCATGAAAACCACTTGATTAAGTACAATATCTCCTGTAGTCGACAAAGTAATTCATGAAAATCGCTTCCACTGTGAAGAGTTAATAGCTTTGCCTGTATCATTTTTTTAAATGGTAAATAAAACAGGCCCTACAATGAAGCCTTGTGGAACCCCTTTACATACTAGGGGCAAGATGGCATGGTTTAACAGCTTTAGCTTACTTCCACACAGCTGGTGGGCATCTCTGCAGGCTTGTTGTTAATGCTGAAGCGGTACCATCCTGGGGAGAGGGAGTGATCGCAGATCAGGTCCTGTATAGCAGTGTTCTGCAGGTCACTGGAGTCAAAGTCCACGCTGCGATACGGGTTCCTCAACGTGCGGTAACCTCCCGGGTAGCACTCTGGAGCTGGGGGAGACAAAGGGATGAAGGTTAGTAAGAAAACACCTTACATTCACAAGACACGTTTTATTTTTAAGACGAATGTATTTGGAACATAGGTGTCATTCTGGGTAGTTACTGAGATGTCAACCTGAACTGTGGAGGGAGGGATGGGAGGGAGGGAGCGGGGCATGATAGCAAAAACAGTAAGCAAAAAATGTAATTCCAGTGGCTCTATAACTTCAGTCAGTTCATTAAATGGTGGAACTAGAGTTAATTTACTGTAACCTTCAGAGGGAGAGATGAGGAGGATATATTCAAACAGGTAAAAATAACACACATTCATCTACCTAACTCCCCTCCTTTTTAAACTCTCCCCTGGAGGGTTAGACAATAAAGCCAGCGATCCATGACAGGGTCTGAACATAGCTCGCAGCTGAAGGCTAAAAATGGAGAGAAAAGGACTTTAAAGTCAGACCTCTCACATCCCATGTCTATTCAAGTGTCAGAGAACCTGCACCAATCTCACACTTCCCCGTCTGTAAATTGAAAATGGGTCAAAACGACTCGACTTCAGGATATCAGTCAGAGCTATGACAGAGGAATAGGAAGGCCCTTACTGTGTGTCTATCTAATGCAGAACATCCTATGGAAATCCTACCTTGGTGACTATATTATGAAATCTATTCTATATATCTTAAAAGCGTCTTGCTCTACGTGTTCACTATGATGTTGAATTATCAATTACAAAACAAGGCATGTTCCAAATATGTTACATATTTCGTATCATTTGGATGCAGCAACGGTCTGCCCCTCTGGGCTAATGATGAAGGTTTGTCCTGGGCTGAGAGTTCCCTAGAGACTATTTATGAGGTTACCCCCCTACCACTCTGTAAACTCTGATAAGGCCAATTTGACTAGGGTTTACCCAACAGCAACAGCCCGGTCTCACCACTTTGTCCTCGTCTCCTCTGAAAAACATAATTGTTTGGAAAACCTTTGACCTTAGTGCTTGGAGAGAATTAGTTCCCAGACACAGACACAGACAAGGTGTATGTATGCAGAGACAGAGGATTTGTAAATACAACACATGCTCTCAAATTTGGATGGCAAGGAAATATAACACATTTTCAGTGCGTCCCTCTGGACCTTGTTGAAGACTGAATGTGGCCCCTGGGGCAAAATGAGTTAGACACCCCTACTGTATAGAGTAACTTGTTTGGATGGAATAAATTAAGACTTCATCCAAAATGGCACCCTTTTCCCTACATAGTGCATTACTTTTGACCAGAGCCCTACAGATATGTGCATTATATAGGGAACAGGGTGGCATTTGAGACACAGACTAGGTGGCACACAACAACAGGCTCCCCAGCAGGAGTGTGGCATCATGGTCTGACCTATAACCCCAAGCCTGGTGCTGCTAGTGAAAGAATGCTTTGTTGTCTCATGAGGAGATGGCCATCAAAGTCCATTCTCAGGGCCATTGTTTAGTGGTTTAACTGAGACTCTCTGGCTACACACACACATGCATGCACACACACACGCACACGCACACACGTGCGCACTCACCCACACACACGGCGTGCTGTGGTGAACTAAAGGCTCAGGGCCCATTCACTGATTTATTTGTTGTGACAACCCTTCTGAATTAGCAAATGACCCGCTGATTGGATGTGGGAGAGGAGAGGAGAAACATCAAGGAACTAGTGCCTACTTTCCCTATTGGTATAACTACTAGTCCCCTGCACTGTAAACCTCAACGTGCTGTCATTACTCAAAACCTTTGAGGAAACCTGTTGCACTCAAAGAGATACTTCAGGATTTTGGCAAGGAGGCCCTTTATCTACTTCGCCAGAGTCAGATGAACTCATGGATACCATTTTATGTATCCGCGTGCAGGCAGTTTAAAGGAAGTTGCTAACTAGCGCTAGCGCAATTACTAACTAGCGTTAGCAAAATTACTGGAAGTCTATGGTATCTGCTAGCATTCTAACAGATACTTACAGACTTCCAGTCAATGTGCTAACGCTAGCGAAACTACATCTAACTTCATTCATATTTGGCACAGAGACGAAAAAAATTGTATTCACGAGTTCATCTGACTCTGGGGAAGTAGATAAAGGGCCTCATTGCCAAAATCACGAAGTATCGCTTTAATATATATGAGTACAGTCACTTAAAGTGATTTTGAAGTCATTACTCAAACTGACAGTAGCGGTGTGTGGGTAAAACCACTGGGGAAGCTAAGCCAAGCCAGGAAAAAAGCCATATTACAACCTACAGTACCAGTCAAAAGTTTGGACACACCTACTCATTCAAGGGTTTTTCTTGATTTTTACATCAAAACTATGAAATAACACATATGGAATCATGTAGTAACCAAAAAAAGTGTTAAACAAATCAAAATCTATTTTAAATTTGAGATTCTTCAAAGTAGCCACCCTTTGCCTTGATGACAGCTTTGCACACTCTTGGCATTCTCTCAAGCAGCTTCATGAGGTAGTCACCTGGAATGCATTTCAGTTAACAGGTGTGCCTTCTTAAAAGTTAATTTATGGAATTTCTTTCCTTCTTAATGCGTTTGAGCCAATCAGTTGTGTTGTGACAAGGTAAGGGTGGTATACAGAAGTTAGCCCTATTTGGTAAAAGACCATGTCCAAGATAAAGCAAAGCAGTGCGATAAAAACAACAACAACCCAGAGTTACACATGGGATAAAACAAAACATACAGTCAATAACAAAATAGAAAATATATATACAGTGTGTGCAAATGTAGTAAATTATGGAGGTAAGGCAATAAATATGCCATAATGCAAAATAATTACAATTTAGTATTAACACTGGAATGATAGAAGTGCAGAAGATGATGTGCAAATAGAGATACTGGGGTGCAAATGAGCAAAATAAATAACAATATGGGGATGAGGTAGTTGGGTGGGCTAATTACAGATGGGCTGTGTACAGGTGCTGTGATCGGTAAGCTGCTCTGACAACTGATGCTTAAAGTTAGTGAGGGAGATAAGAGTCTCCAGCTTCAGAGATTTTTGCAGTTCGTTCTAGTCATTAGCAGCAGAGAACTGGAAGGAATGGCGGCCAAAGGAGGTGTTGGCTTTGGGGATGACCAGTGAGATATACCTGCTGGAGCGCATACTACGCGTGGGCGTTGCTATGGTGAACAATGAGCTTAGATAAGGCAGGGATTTGCCTAGCAGTGATTTATAGATGACCTGGAGCCAGTGGGTTTGGCGACGAATATGTAGTGAGGGCCAGCCAACGAGAGCGAACAGGTCACAATGGTGGGTAGTATATGGGGCTTTGGTGACAAAACGGATGGCACTACATCCAATTTGCTGAGTAGAGTGTTGGAGGCTATTTTGTAAATGACATCGCCGAAGTCAAGGATCGGTAGGATAGTCAGTTTTACGAGGGCATGTTTGGCAGCATGAGTGAAGGATGCTTTGTTTGCGAAATAGGAAGCCGATTCTAGATTTAACTTTGGATTGGAGATGCTTAATGTGAGTCTGGAAGGAGAGTTTACGGTCTAACCTGACACCTAGGTATTTGTAGTTGTCCACATATTCTAAGTCAGACCCGCCGAGAGTAGTGATTCTAGTCGGGCAGGCGGGTGCAAGCAGCGTTCGATTGAAGAGCATGCATTTAGGTTTACTAGCGTTTAAGAGCAGTTGGAGGCTACGGAAGGAGTGTTGTATGGCACTGAAGCACGTTTGGAGGTTTGTTAACACAGTGTCCAATGAAGGGCCAGATGTATACAAAATGGTGTCGTCTGCATAGAGGTGGATCTGAGAGTCACCAGCAGCAAGAGCGACATCATTGATATACACAGAGAATAGAGTCGGCCCGAGAATTGAACCCTGTGGCACCCCCATAGAAACTGCCAGAGGTCCAGACAACAGGCCCTCCGATTTGACACATTGAACCCTATCTGAGAAGTAGTTGGTGAACCAGGCGAGGGAGTCATTTGAGAAACCAAGGCTATTTAGTCTGCCAATAAGAATGCGGTGATTGACAGAGTCGAAAGCCTTGGCCAGGTCGATGAAGACAGCTGCACAGTACTGTCTTTTATCGATCATGGTTATAATATCGTTTAGGACCTTTAGCGTGGCTGAGGTGCACCCATGACCAGCTCGGAAACCAGATTGCATAGCGGAGAAGGTACGGTGGGATTCGAAATGGACAGTGATCTGTTTGTTAAATTGGCTTTCAAATACTTTTGAAAGGCAGGGCAGGATGGATATAGGCCTGTAACAGTTTGGATCTAGAGTGTCACCCCCTTTGAAGAGGGGGATGACCGCGGCAGCTTTCCAATCTCTGGGGATCTCAGATGATACGAAAGAGAGGTTGAACAGGCTAGTAATAGGGGTTGCTACAATTTCGGCAGCTAATTTTAGAAAGAAAGGGTCCAGATTGTCTAGCCCAGCTGATTTGTAGGGGTCCAGATTTTGCAGCTCTTTCAGAACATCAGCTATCTGAATTTGGGTGAATGAGAAGCGGGGGTGGGGGGTTTGGGGGGCATGGGCAAGTTCCAGGGTGGGGGTGGGGAGAGCTGGTGGCCGGGGTAGGGGTAGCCAGGTGGAAAGCATGGCCAGCCGTAGCAAAATGCTTATTGAAATTCTCGATTATCGTTGATTTATCGGTGGTGACAGTGTTTCCTAGCCTCAGTGCAGTGGGCAGCTGGGAGGAGGTGCTCTTATTCTCCATGGAGTTTACAGTGTCCCAAAACCTTTTGGAGTTAGTGCTACAGGATGCACATTTCTGTTTGAAAAAGCTAGCCTTTGCTTTCCTAACTGATTGGGTATATTGGTTCCTGACTTCCCTGAAAGGTTGCATATTGCGGGGGCTGTTTGATGCTAATGCAGTACGCCACAGGATGTTTTTGTGCTGGTCAAGGGCAGTCAAGTCTGGGGTGAACCAGGGGCTATATCTGTTCTTAGTTCTGAATTTTTTGAATGGGGCATGCTTATTTAAGATGGAGAGGAAAGCACTTTTAAAGAACAACCAGGCATCCTCTACTGACGGAATGAGGTCAATATCCATCCAGGATACCCGGGCCAAGTCAATTAGAAAGTCCTGCTCGCTGAAGCATTTTAGGGAGTGTTTGACAGTGATGAGGGGTGGTCATTTGACCGCGGACCCATTTCGGACGCAGGCAATGAGGCAGTGATCGCTGAGATCCTGGTTGAAGACAGCGGAGGTGTATTTAGAGGGTCAATTAGTCAGGATGATATCTATGAGGGTGCCCATGTTTACGGATTTTGGGTTGTACCTGGTAGGTTCCTTGATCATTTGTGTGAGATTGAGGGCATCTAGTTTAAATTGTAGGACTGCCGGGGTGTTAAGCATATCCCAGTTTAGGTTACCAAGCAGTACGAACTCTGAGGATAGATGGGGGGCAATCAATTCACATATGGTGTCCAGGGCAGAGCTGGGGGCTGATGGGGGTCTGTAGCAAGCGGCACAGTGATAGACTTATTTCTGGAGAGGTGGATTTTTTTAAGTAGAAGCTCAAACTGTTTGGGCACAGACCTGGATAGTATGATAGAGCTCTGCAGGCTATCTCTACAGTAGATTGCAACTCCGCCCCCTTTGGCAGTTCTATCTAGACAGAAAATGTTGTAGTTAGGGATGGACATTTCAGAGTTTTTGGTGATCTTCCTAAGCCAGGATTCAGACACTGCTAGAACATTAGGGTTGGCGGAGTGTGCTAACGCAGTGAGTAACTCAAACTTAGGGAGGAGGCTTCTGATGTTAACATGCAAAAAACCAAGGCTTTTACGGTTACAAAAGTCAACACATGATAGCGCTTGGGGAGTAGGAGTGATACTGGGGGCTACAGGGCCTGGGTTAACCTCTACATCACCAGAGGAACAGAGGAGGAGTAGAATAAGGATACGGCTAAAGGCTTTAAGAACTGGTCTTCTAGTGCGTTGGGTACAGAGAATAAAAGGGGCAGATTTCCGGGCGTTGTAGAATAGATTCAGGGCATTATGTACAGACAAGGATGTGGAAGGATATGAGTACAGTGGAGGTAAACCTAAGTGTTGGGTAACGATGAAAGAGATAACATCACTGTAGGCACCGATTGAGCCGGTCTCCGCGTGTATGGGGGGTGGAACAAAGGAGCTCTCTGAGGCTGGTTGAGCGGTACTGGGGACTCTACAGTGAAATTGTATAATAAGAACTAACCGGAACAGCAATAGGCAAGGCATATTGACATGGGAGAGAGGCATAAAGCAATCACAGGTGTTATTCGGGAGAGCTAAGACAACAACTGTTAATGGCGACGAAAGTTTGGGCTGAGGCTAAACAGATAAACAGGACAGATAAACAGGATGGGGGTACCGTGTAAAGGAACAGTCCAGCAGGCATCAGCTGTGCATCTGAGTGATCATAAGGTCCAGTGAACAGCAATAGGTGAGACCGGGAGCAGTTCGAATGGCTGCTACAGCACAGGCGAGCAGGAAGCACGGCTGTTGATTGCGTGTTCTAGCGGGCCGAGGCTAGCAGATGGATCTTCGTGGTCGTCACAACGGGAATCCTGTTGAAACCACATCAGACGATTACGTCGGCAGACCAGTCGTGATGGATCGGCAGGGCTCCGTGTCGACACTAGGAGGTCCCGTCCGGTTGACAGAGAGGTAGATAGCCAGGAGATAGGCCTGGCTCAAGGCTAGCTCAAGGCTAACTGGTGCTTGCTTCGAGGGCAGTGGTGATTAGCCACCAACATCCATTCGGTTGCAGCTAGCTAGTTGCGATGATCCGGTGTCAAGGTCCAGTGATTCAGTGATTCCAGCAGAAAATCCGATATGTTCTTGGTCGATAGCGCGCTGTGCAGACAGTGCAGACTGGCCGATAGTATGAATAATGGAATCTGTTCCACATTGGGTGAGGCGGGTAGCAGGAAAGTATATTTAGTTGAAGGATGAAAAGTGTGATTGAGAAATATATATACGAAAGAGACAAAAAGACCAAAAAAAACTGGCTATCATTTGGGACTATCATTTGTTTTTCAACAGGACAATGACCCAACACACCTCCAACCTGGGTAAGGGCTATTTGACCAAGAAGGAGAGTGATGGAGTGCGGCATCAGATGACCTGGCCTCCACAATCACCTGACCTCAACCCAATTGAGATGGTTTGGGATGAGTTGGAACGCAGAATGAAGTAAAAGCAGCCAACAAGTGCTCAGCATATGTTGGAAAAGCATTCCAGGTGAAGCTGGTTGAGAGAATGGCAAGATTGTACAAAGCTGTCATCAAGGCAAAGGATGGCTTCTTTGAAAAATCTAAAACATTAAATATATTTTGGTTACTACATGATTCCATATGTGTTATTTCATAGTTTTGATGTCTTCACTATTATTCTACAATGTAGAAAATAGTAAAAAATAAAGAAGAACTCTTGAATGAGTAGGTGTGTCCAAACATTTGCATGGTACTGTATGTTGTGATATTTGTGTTGTTTGCTCTATAAGCTATTTGTTCATACGCCACTGTGATATACAATAAGGCCGTGACAACAAAAAGACAACAGTCACACAGTGGCGGAATAAATCAAATCAAATCAAATCAAAATTGTATTGGTCACATACACGTATTTAGCAGATGTTATTGTGGGTGTAGCGAAATGCTTGTGTTCCTAGCTCCAACATTGCAGTAGTATCTAACAATTCACAACAATACACACAAATCTAAAAGTAAAAGAATGGAATTAAGAAATATATAAATATTAGTACGAGCAATGTCGGAGTGGCATTGACCAAAATACAGTAGAATATATGATATACATATAAAATTAGTATAACAGTATGTAAACATTTTTAAAGTGAGTAGTGTTCCATTATTAAAGTGACCAGTTATTCCATGTCTATGTCCATTGGGAAGCAGCCTCTAAGCTGCAGGGTTGAGTAACCGGGTGGTAGCTGGCTGGTGATGGCTATTTAACAGTCTGATGGCCTTGAGATAGAAGCAGTTTTTCAGTCTCTCGGTCCCAGCTTTGATGCACTTGTACTGACTTCGCCTTCTGGATGATAGCGGGGTGAACAGGCTGTGGCTCGGGTGGTTGTTGTCCTTAATGATCTTTTTGGCCTGTGACATCGGGTGCTGTAGGTGTCCTGGAGGGTAGGCATTGTGCCCCCGGTAATGCGTTGGGCAGACCACACCACCCTCTGGAGAGCCCAGCGGTTGCAGGCAGTGCAGTTGCCATACCAGGCGGTGATAGAGCCCGACAGGATGCTCTCAACTGCTCTCGACCAGTAGCGATTTTGAGCGCGCAGAAGTCATGCTGGATTGACAGCATGGCCAATGTTGAATGTTTATCCTTTTAAGATTGGAAAAGAGACCCTTAAATCCAGACTTGGGACCACACACCCACTCCACTGAATAGCAGGCTAGTGATTGCTTTGCAATGCTTGCAGTTAGCTACTGATTCCTTCCAAACCACTCATTGTTGAATTTCCAACTTGTTCGTTAATGTTTATGAGCACCGATACGTTTTATCTATAATTTATTTTCATTATTTCCCTTCATATGACAAGGATTGGAAAGGATTTGCCAGCAGATTGTTGACTTGATTCATGATGATGACTGCTAGCTTTTGCTAGCTAAGATTTTGAAAGTATGATGTTGACATGATCAATCCAATCAAAGCTACTGTAGATATTACGTGATTTGACATCATTTTATCTGTGGCCAATGACCTTGAGCCTTCTTGGATGGGCACTTCTAATGTAACTCTATGGCAGCACCCAAGGGGCTTGATTTTTCGTGTTCTACCCTTAGATTTTGTGGTGATGTAGTGTCCCCATGCGTGACAGAACACTGAGCCAATCACGGAGCAACTAGAGAACATTACTAACCCTTGATGATTTTATATTTTACATTGATTGCAAATTGACATGTGACATGTGTTAATGCCAAAATAACATGCAAAACAGTCAACAACAAAAAAACAAACAGGTGGGGCTCAAAACAGATGGGGCTCTGCCTCACCTGCCCTGAATGACGGGTCGCCACTGCTCTCGACTACACATATGTTTGTCCACAAAGTAAATATTGCATGTAACAAACCGTTATATCACCTGCAGCGTGGTCAAGCAAGTTAATGTTTTCAACAGTTTACTAAACAACTACTGATTTATAACCACAGAGTTACCGCAAGTCAGCACAAAGACAACAGGACCACTGCCTCCGCTATTCTAGCACCATTTCAACTTAAACATTTAAGCATCATCAAATCAACAAGCCTTAGTTAATTACACTGAAAAAATACGTAAATATACCAAAAACGATTTAGTCCAATCAATGTTGCTAAATATCACGTGGCTGCCTTTGGTACCGATTTCTGTGTGTGTGTGTGTGTGTGGGCAACTAAAACCCCTTTTTGGGACTCACCCTACTTGTAGACTAGTTGAAAGCCAATGCCGTTCTCCTCTCTTTCGTGTTGGCAAAACGGTCTATGGCTCTGTATGCTTTTAGTTTTAGTTTTCATAGGCTACCTAGCTAAAATGCTTGCTAGCCTAACTACCTCGCATGGGCAACAATGAACCAGCTAAGTTAGCTAGCTAGTTATCGTGAGCCTAATAGGCTACATCTAGGCTACATATTGAACTTCAATCGTCTCAGGCCAGTGGCACAACATATTAATTCATGGTTAGATCAGAATCACCATCATAATCATTGACCTGTACAGAGAATTAAGTCAAAACCACAAGTCCAAATTGATGTGAAGCCAAATCCAAACTGGCCTCCCTTGGTGGTCGTTTTGCTGATTAGCCAATTATTATTTTTAAAAATGTATCAAGAAAGTCCAAATGCTTGCTAGCATCAGTCAATCAATGCAACGGCAGCAACATGTCATACTCGTTTGTTCCAGCATCAGATACATGGGCTACACAAACTGAGACAGAGTGACGCTGTTTCCCTCGCTCTGATGATTTCTCCGGTGAGATTCAGCCACTTGCGAATTGACGGAAAATTATGAAAACACAGAGGCGAAAGATACATTATTTTCTAATTGTAAATGTTTTTATTGGTCAAATATTTGGGGAAGCCTGGCTTCTCTTGGCATCCATGAATAAACACCATTGCAAACTGATAGAGTCACTGTGACCCTGTAAAGGGTCCAGATTTGAGTTGTATCAGCTTACATTTTTTTAGCAATGCCCCCACTAAGCCACTCCTAATTTCCTAGTGTGCCTTTTTAAGTGAATTGTAGCGTTACCAACTGTATTTGTTAGTGACAGAGACATGGTTGTTGAATTCATTCATTTTCAGTTCTGTGGCTTTCACCAAGTGAGTTCCTAGGAGAATGTTATCATTATAATTAAAGTCTTTATTACTTTACAGTACATATCTCATAAGGCCTTATTTTTACCCTAATGCAGTGTCCTGAAACTCATGGTTTACAGGCCACATCAGGCCTGCAAGCAGGGTTGTAAAATTCCAGTTACTTTCCCAAAGTTCCCAGATTTTCTAAAAATCCTGGGTGAAGGATTTTCAGGAATCTCCCAACCAAAATATCTGGAAAACCTGGGAAATGTACCTGAATTTTGCAACCACATCTGCAAGACACATTATGCTGGCTTGCAAATTGATACATAATTCCTATTGGAATCCAGCAAGAGTTAGGATTTCCAACAGTTTACATTTTTATTCACCCACAAACTGCATTCATGATGACTGCCAGGGTTACGAACAGTGTGAGGAGATGACCTAAGCCATTTAAACTGGAACAACCATTTCGGGAACGGGTGCAAAAAATCTAACTAAATGATTGGATTAGTTAAATGTTTTATTTGTTATTTATCTTGTTGTAGCATAAGATTAGTCAATCACTCAATGTAAATGCAAAAACACAGATATGAAATACAATTCAAAAAGATCTACCTGCAATAGAGTATGCTGGGGAAAAAAGTTAATTTGTTAAAGTTAAAATGTAGTTGATGTGACATCTCATTTAGTTTTGAGTCAGTACCACATAAACATTTTAAGCAATAATGACTTTTCATTGACTTTGGGTTAAATTTACTAGAAGTATTTGAGTTAAACATGCCTTGTGGTTTACCATGTCGGGGAGAAAAGGTCCAACTCTGACTCTGCAATGGTCTATGTTTAAGATGCCATTCATTGCTTGATTCATGTATGTACTGTCTGCACTGCACTGTACTGTCCCACATAGGCTATACAGTGAGGGAAAAAAGTATTTGATCCCCTGCTGATTTTGTACGTTTGCCCACTGACAAAGAAATGATCAGTCTATAATTTTAATGGTAGGTTTATTTGAACAATGAGAGACAGAACAACAACAAAAAAATCCAGAAAAACGCATGTCAAAAATGTTATAAATTGATTTGCATTTTAATGAGGGAAATAAGTATTTGACCCCCTCTCAATCAGAAAGATTTCTGGCTCCCAGGTGTCTTTTATACAGGTAACGAGCTGAGATTAGGAGCACACTCTTAAAGGGAGTGCTCCTAATCTCAGTTTGTTAACTGTATAAAAGACACCTGTCCACAGAAGCAATCAATCAATCAGATTCAAAACTCTCCACCATGGCCAAGACCAAAGAGCTCTCCAAGGATGTCAGGGACAAGATTGTAGACCTACACAAGGCTGGAATGGGCTACAAGACCATCGCCAAGCAGCTTGGTGAGAAGGTGACAACAGTTGGTGCGATTATTCGCAAATGGAAGAAACACAAAAGAACTGTCAATCTCCCTCGGCCTGGGGCTCCATGCAAGATCTCACCTCGTGGAGTTGCAATGATCATGAGAACGGTGAGGAATCCGCCCAGAACTACACAGGAGGATCTTGTCAATGATCTCAAGGCAGCTGGGACCATAGTCACCAAGAAAACAATTGGTAACACACTACGCCGTGAAGGACTGAAATCCTGCAGCGCCCGCAAGGTCCCCCTGCTCAAGAATGCACATATACAGGCCCGTCTGAAATTTGCCAATGAACATCTGAATGATTCAGAGGAGAACTGGGTGAAAGTGTTGTGGTCAGATGAGACCAAAATTGAGCTCTTTGGCATCAACTCGCCGTGTTTGGAAGAGGAGGAATGCTGCCTATGACCCCAAGAACACCATCCCCATCGTCAAACATGGAGGTGGAAACATTATGCTTTGGGGTGTTTTTCTGCTAAGGGGACAGGACAAATTCACCGCATCAAAGGGACGATGGACGGGGCCATGTACCGTCAAATCTTGGGTGAGAACCTCCTTCCCTCAGCCAGGGCATTGAAAATGGGTCGTGGATGGGTATTCCAGCATGACAATGACCCAAAACACACGGCCAAGGCAACAAAGGAGTGGCTCTAGAAGAGGAACATTAAGGTCCTGGAGTGGCCTAGCCAGTCTCCAGACCTTAATCCCATAGAAAATCTGTGGAGGGAGCTGAAGGTTTGAGTTGCCATACGTCAGCCTTGAAACCTTAATGACTTGGAGAAGATCTGCAAAGAGGAGTGGGACAAAATCCCTCCTGAGATGTGTGCAAACCTGTTGGCTAAGTACAAGAAACGTCTGACCTCTGTGATTGCCAACAAGGGTTTTGCCACCAAGTACTAAGTCATGTTTTGCAGAGGGGTCAAATACTTATTTCCCTCATTAAAATGCAAATACATTTATAACATTTTTGACATGTGTTTTTCTGGATTTTTGTTGTTGTTATTCTGTCTCTCACTGTTCAAATAACCCTACCATTAAATTTATAGACTGATCATGTCTTTGTCAGTGGGCAAACGTATAAAATCAGCAGGTGATACTTTTTTCCCTCACTGTATTTCTAATGCTGTTTTAATGTTGTATTACTGGTAACAGAGTTATAATGCTGTATTAACGTAGCCTACTGTTCTCTGTGCACAAGCATCACTGTTAACTTGAGGCTGCCCCTAACAAAACTCCTTATGCATATCTACTTATCTACTTGTTGACTGGTGGTGAGTGACAGGTATGCAAGGCTTTAGAACTAGACACCAAATGACACAGCTGCACAACCTCGAATTGTGTCCTCCTCAGCAATTGGCTACAGTGCCAACTTGCATTTCTATAACACTTAGGCCTACAATATTATGCATTATATGCAACTTATATTTAAGGCCTACTGTAAGGTGTCGAAAAAAGAGACCTTAGCTACACAGTGCCAATTTCTCCAGCTGGTTGCATTTGCCCTACATGCCCTGGCTTATCGGTTTTTGACACGATGCAGGACAGGCGTCACCTTCCCCTCCTGTCTGCCTCTGGATGACCCAGGCCTGGATGGAAACAGGACTAAAACATGGTTGGACTGCCTGAATCACATTTCTAGAACACTTAGAATAATAGAGAGTCCAGTGCATTATTATGTAAGGTGTCAAAGCATAACAATAGCCAAAGACCTATACAGAGCTATACCATACTATACTATGATTGTTTAAAAGTATTTGATTTACAAGTAGAAGAACAAAAGGCTGGTTTAGGTACCAAAAGAGACATTTGTTCCATCTCCCCCAAAAGCAACCCAGACTGTAACTGTATGTAAGGCTATAAAGATGTTCAGCCCTGCTATATTGTCTGCGGATGTATCCAATAAACTACTGCTTTCTTACCATATGGTCCATACCGCCATACCACACTGTCTTAAATCTGATGCAGCTGTCTGACAATGGTAAAGTTTGAGAAAATGTTCTGACCCTCTCAAGTCGTACCTATGAATTTTTGTTATGAAAAAATATCAGGAGGAGTGAGAGAACACTGAAAATAAACTTTATATTATTCCCTGGATCATAATAAATAATCAAACTGCAAAGCTCTCATCAGTCAACAATTGTGCGCTAAACTAAATTGTGTTATCTTCCTTGTTGGGGACACAATACATTGAAAGAATGACTCACAAGCAACTCACTCTAGCTACAACTCACTCAAATTGGGTGCCAAAGTTTTGTAAAGGGCAATAGTCGAGGCATTCACGTTTTACTGTACTATTTAAAAAAATATATATGTTATGATTTATTCGACTTACCTAACTGGGCGAGCGCGCTCAACTGCATCAAACAGAAAAATACAATGCGCAGATATCCCGTGACTGACGCATATGAGAGGCTGCAAAATGCAAAATCCATAGTAGCGGTTCACAATTCACCGAAGGAAAAGATGCCACAAATTTTCACAGATGTTAGATCCCATTTGAGAATCCTCGAAAGTTTTCCAGCTGTTAGTTATCGTTTAGTTGTTTCAGAGCATCGGCTCAGAACCGTGGTTCCTCAGATTGTATAAACGGTTAAATCCGTGGGAAGTTTTAGAGCCTTCTTTTCTTTTCAACCAACTTTTCTAATCAAGACACAACAAGTTGCTCAGTCTCACAAGGAGGAGGGAGGACACAACACATCCCGCCTTCAAGTTCCCATACTAACCCTTGGGGTGTAGGTGGACCCTCTTGAAGAATCCATAACAATAGAAGGGTCATTGACTTTCACAAATTCAACTCCTTGACCTACTGGGACAAAAGCCTCAACTATTTCTTGGGGATATGTAAACTTTTTTGTGAACAGAAATATTACGGTTATACATAATATACAAAATTATAATTTACAAATGTATGATATTAGCTGAATTATAATTTAGGTAATGTTGATTTAATCCAGGTTGTTGGTGTGATCTCAAAACTAGCCCACTGAGCTAAAGCCTAGACATTAGTTCTGGGAACTAACATGAGTCTTGGGAACTTTTCCCACATGCTCCTTTTTCCAACTGATTTAGAAATGCTGCAGCTATGTTGTTTATTCTCACCCTGACTGACCAGCCAATAACACTGTAATCCCCTAAATGTATGTGAGCAGGATAAGCCCTTTGCCACCTGGAGAGAGAGATAGGGTCATCCCACTTTCGATGCTGTGCAAAAGAATGTCTCTGTCCCAATTTATAGTCATTGCTTTGTACAGATGCCCTCTATTAGACTTGCCCTCATTCTAGCCTGCTCTGGAAGTAGAGCTGGGGCTTTGGTGAATGGCATGGCCCTGCTATGGCTCTGGACTCTCCCAGCCTCCCCCAGACAGATGCCCTGGATTAAGGGTTGGAGACACAGTGGCCTGGGGTGGCCTAGCAGTCACTGCACAGCCATCGAAGCACACATGTATGCCGGTACCAGTATGGGTTCAGCTGTCCCACATGGTCTCTGTCCAATAAACGTAGAACAAATATGAAGGGAAATGGCAGGTGCCTCCCTCTTTTTCCGTCTGCCCGATTCGACAGACAGACTACCATGAGTAAAAAGTTATGTCCAGGCAGTCTCCCTTAGCTAGATGCTACATGCCCTGGCTTATCGATTTGAGACACGATGCAGGACAGGTGTCACCTTCCCCTCCTGTCTGCCTCTGGATGACCCAGGCCTGGATGGAAACAGGACTAAAACATGGTTGGACTACCTGAATCACAATCTTGTTTTTTGTTGAAAATCGGTTTGTTAAGAAATGCGACCCAGGAGCCACCCTCCCGTCTGCCTCACTCAGGCCTGGATCTGACAGATCTACCATGAGTCAGACTATATACCTAACAGCCTATCTACCATGGGTCCGTCCCAAATGGCACCCTATTCCCTACATAGTGCACTACTTTTGACCAGGGCACATAGGGCTCTGGTCAAAAGTAGTGCACTATGTAGGGAATACGGGGCCATTTGGGACGCAAGCCATAAGTCAGACGTTGTGTATGTGACGCTGATGTGAGCAGGTCATTGGGTCAAAGACGGGAACAAGCCGAATGGAAAGTTTACTGTCCTGGAGCAGGCTTCACTGGGATTGCTGCTAATCTTTACTGCTGCCGCAGTATGTGGACTTCGCAAGTCTGGTAATACTCACTGCTGCTGTTGTGGACTTGAGTCAGCCAGTGAGGATGGAATAAATGGATTACAAACATATGTTCTGAATAATGGGTAAATTGAAGCTGTGGTCAACATGGTCTTATAGTAGGTTATAACGGACTTATAGTAAAAGTAAATACAGGTAAAAGTATTTAGGACATAGTGCAGGGGTCCCCAATTACATTCAGCCATGGGACGATTTTTCCTTGAGCGGATGGTCGGGGGCTGGAATATAGTAATAAATAATTTGTACACTGCAAATTGACCTCAACAATCCCAAACAGATATGCACTGAGTATACAAAATATTAAGAACACCTGCTCTTTCCATGACATAGACTGACCAGGGGAATTCAGGTGCAAGCTATGATCCCTTATTGATATCACTTGTTAATTCCACTTCAATCTGTGTAGATGAAGGGGAGGAGACAAGTTAAAGAAGGAATTTCAAGCCTTGGGATAATTGAGACATGGTTGTGTATGTGTGCCATTCAGAAGATGAATGGGCAAGACAACATATTTAATTGCCTTTGAACGGGATATGGTAGTATGTGCCAGGTGCACTGGTTTGTGTGAAGAACTGCAACGCTGCTGGGTTTTTCACACTCAACAGTTTCCTGTGTGTATCAAAAATGGTCAACAACCCAAAGGACAACCAGCCAACTTGACACAACTGTGGGAATCATTGTAGTCAACATGGGCCAGCATCCCTGTGGAATGCTTTCGACACCTTGTAGAGTCCATGCCTCGACGAATTGAGGCTGTTCTGAGGGCAAAATATGTGTGTGTTCCTAATGTTTTGTATAATCAGTGTACAGTAGTATTTGACAAAAACAGAATAATTTCTAACCTTGATTACATTGGGATACGATCACACATGGCTCTCTATTTATGCTTTGTAATACTTGGGAACAGATTTCCTGAATCAAAATCTCTCCAAGCTGATTTCCTGGTGATTTTACAGTCTTTTATGTCCAACAATGAAAACTATATATACAGTTCCAGTCAAAAGTTGACACACCTACTCATTCAAGGGTTTTTCTTTATTTTTACTATTTTCTACATTGTAGAATAGTGAAGACATCAAAACTATGAAATAACACATATGGAATCAGTAACCAAAAAAGTGTTAAACAAATCAAAATACATTTTAGATTTTAGATTCTTCAAAGTAGCCACCCTTTGCCTTAATGACAGCTTTTCACACTCTTGTTATTCTCTCAACCAGCTTCACCTGGAATGCTTTTCAAACAGACTTGAAGGAGTTCACACATATGCTGAGTACTTGTTGGCTGCTTTTCCTTCACTCTGCGGTCCAACTCATCCAAAACCATCTCAATTGGGTTGAGGTCGGGTGATTGTGGAGGCCAGGTCATCTGATGCAGCACTCCATCACTCTTCTTCTTGGTCAAATAGCCCTTACACAACCTGGAGGTGTGTTGGGTCATTGTCCTGCTGAAAAACAAATGATAGTCCCACTAAGCGCAAACCAGATGGGATGGCGTATCGCTGCAGAATGCTGTGGTAGCCATGCTGGTTAAGTGTGCCTTGAATTCTAAATATATCACTGACAGTGTCACCAGCAAAGCACCCCCACACCATCACACCTCCTCCTCCATGCTTCACGGTGGGAACCACAAATGCGGTTGGAACCAAAAATCTCAAATTTTGACTCATCAGGCCAAAGGACAGTTTTCCACCAGTCTAATGTCCGTTGCTCATGTTTCTTGGCCCAATCAAGTCTCTTCTTATTGTTGGTGTCCTTTAGTAGTGGTTTCTTTGCAGCAATTCGATCATGAAGGCCTGATTCACGCAGTCTCCTCTGAACAGTTGATGTTGAGATGAATCTGTTACTTGAACTCTGTGAAGCGTTTATTTGGGCTGCAATTTCTGAGGCTGGTAACTCTATTGAACTTATCCTCTGCAGCAGAGGTAACTCTGGGTCTTCCATTCCTGTGGCGGTCCTCATGAGAGCCAGTTTCATCATAGCCCTTGATGGTTTTTGCGACTGTACTTGAAGACACTCTCAAAGTTCTTGAAATGTTCCGTATTGACTGACCTTCATGTCTTAAAGTAATGATGGACTGTCGTTTCTCTTTGCTTATTTGAGCTGTTCTTGCCATAATATGGACTTGGTCTTTTAACAAATACGCCTATCTTCTGTATACCAACCCTACCTTGTCACAACACAACTGATTGGCTCAAATGCATTAAGAAGGAAAGAAATTCCACAAATTAACTTTTAAGAAGGCACACCTGTTAATTGAAATGTATTCTAGGTGACTACCTCATGAAGCTGGTTGAGAGAATGCCAAGAGTGTGCAAAGCTGTCATCAAGGCTACTTTGAAGAATCTCAAATATAAAATATATTTTGATTTGTTTAACACTTTCTGGTTACTACATGATTCCATATGTGTTATTTCATAGTTTTGTAGAATGTAGAAAATAGTAAAAATAAAGAAAACCCCTGGAATTTATTTATTTATTTAACCTTTATTTAACCAGGTAAACCAGTTGAGAACAAGTTCTCATTTACAACTGCGACCTGGCCAAGATAAAGCAAAGCAGTGTGATAAAAACAACAACACAGAGTTACATATGGGGTAAAACAAAACAAAGTCAAAAATACAACAGAAATACATATATATACAGTGTGTGCAAATGTAGCAAGTTATGGAGGTAAGGCAATAAATAGGCTATAGTGCAAAATAATTACAATTAGTATTAACACTGGAATGATAGATGTGCAAGAGATGATGTGCAAATAGAGATACTGGGGTACAAATGAGCAAAATAAATAACAATATAGGGATGAGGTAGTTGGGCGGGCTAATTTCAGATGGGCTGTGTACAGGTGCAGTGATCGGTAAGGTGCTCTGACAACTGATGCTTAAAGTTAGTGAGGGAGATAAGTGTCTCCAGCTTCAGAGATTTTTGCATTTCGTTCCAGTCATTGAATGAGTAGTTGTTCTAAAACTTTTGATTGGTACTGTATATATTGAAAATTAAAAATATATATACAGTATATATTTTGCTTAGAAAACTTCCAGGGCCAAATAATATCACCAGCGGGCCACCTATTGGGGAACCCTGATTTAGAGCCTAACCACTGATTCTTCTGATGTCTAGTTAAAGTGAAATGAGACCCTTGTCTGGCAGAAATCCACACATCTCCGAAGATATTGCTTTGGATTTCCATGAGAAGAAACCTCATAAAATGTTCATAGCAAAGAAGGTGTCTGATATCCAGCAGATTTCCTCCTGTAGCCTACTGTGTGGGTCTTCCTACCTTATGCCAACGCTACTTCTCACTAGAATGAGCAGAAGAACAAGAAGGTTGTGGCAGGTTTTACACAGTGCCCACCCTGTGCCTACTTCCTTTCAAAGTGACGGCTCCTGCGGTGTTCAAAGAAACGGACGTACCCTCCTCATTAGTTCACTTGTGAGGTCCGTTCTTGAGTGTTTGTTTAGACAGTTGCCTTTCCTGTTACACAGCCTAAGTAGGGGAGACTGGGGAAGTAGTAACACTTTTGAGCTTTCTATGACTTGTTACTCTCTAATACTGTATCTTCCCTAACTGTAACCTATACAATATTTATAACCCTTGTCAATTTACGCTTCAATTAATATATTATAACAGGGAACTAAAACATTGTTACAAAGAACATGACGTACTGCGTCTGTATTTTATTCACCGTCTGAATAATCTCCCGTGGGCAGATTCTGCGCTGCTGACCAAATTACACAAGATTTTACTTCTGGGTTAAAAGAGGTTACCGTCTGCATACCAGCAGCCAATTAACACAGCAAGGGATGATGTTTCCATAATACACTGGAGCACATTCCTGGAGACGGTCTCCTGAAACAGGATCGGAGAGCAGAGTAGCATAGCCACCCCATATGATCTGAGGTGAATAGGAAGTTAGACTGAGGTGGATATTGGAGAGAAATCTGAGGGCTTTTTTGTGTGTTTCTTGCTATATTCAAAATAGGCTTTGAAAGACTATTTTGTGGTCCTCTGTAGCTCAGCTGGTAGAGCACGGCGCTTGTAACGCCAAGGTAGTGGGTTCGATCCCCGGGACCACCCATACACAAAATGTATGCACGCACGACTGTAAGTCGCTTTGGATAAAAGCGTCTGCTAAATGGCATATTATTATTATAACTTTAATTTTAGCTGGCCAGGTTCTGAGTTCCCGAGAATATATTCCGGAGGAGGTACTGACTCTGTCTTTTTTAATCTACATTTGTGATTAAAATGGAGTTATAGACTGGGGAGACGTATTCCCAAAACCAGTATTATCACTTAACAGTAAATAGTGATTGTAGGCTTCCTGCTTGGCTGAGGAGAATAGCAGTAAGTATAAGGTGTTTTGTGGGAGGTTTAGAAAAGAGATACTCTAAATATAGGGCCCATGACAAAACCCAGGTGTTTCTAGCCTTTTAATTCAAACGTTTGGGTCCATGTTTGTGTAATAATAGCTTATTCATTTCAGACTGACTAAAAGTAGGTAGGTAAGGTCTTTTATTATTCATTAAAGAAATACTTTATAAGAAACCTTGAACTATAATTTACTATTTCATGGAAATAATTGTACTGTCTTCTAACAATACCCCCCCCCCCCCTCTCTCTCTCTCCCCCTCACCCTTCTCTCTATCTCTCATCAGATGGCAAAATCAATGTGTCCTTCAATGTTGATATCTTTTGAAACCATACACTATTGTGGTCAAGCCCTAGTACTACCATGTTTCATCGCATTGTACAAATCCTTTTGTTGCACCTTAACATAGCTGCCTAAAGAAGGAGAAAAGGCTGTTAACAAGCCTAATTGGGGATAGACCCGGTCAATGAGAAGTCCTGTATCATCATACTTAACTTCCCTCTCCTCTGTGCCTTTGAAAACGTTGTTCCTCTCGACTGTGCTCCTTAAAGTAGTAGCCTACTCATGGTAGTTAAAGCTAACTTTACAGGGAAGAAGGCATTATCTAGAAGCCAATTGATGTCCTCTGCTCCCTGAGAATGACAAAGGAGCTCCCAGGGCTAACGTTAGACCTTGAACAATACCAGATGTCACACATATTTTAACTGTGAGAAAACAAGGGACTGAAGAATGGTATGTCAATAACAGCATTTTGCAACACATTGGATGTAAATTGTGCATGTGTTGTTGTTTTGAGTGATTTACAAAGTGGCATGGGTGGATTGAGAGATTAATCCATGTTGATGGATTTCTTGTTAGTTAGAAAGGAAGGGACGAGCCTATTTATCTATGATTGAAAGGGTTCAAGTAGTGTTCACTCCCGTGAGAGTCACCAACCACTGAAAAGACAATTAAAAGACAGCACTCAAGAGTAGCATTCCACACAGCAATACAGGGTTCCCAGCAAATAAGTATAAAGTAAATATCACAACCCAAGCTACTTTCAATGTACATTATATAATAAGGTGTCTGCTAGCCATGAGTTTCTCTCACCTTTTCAAATGGTAAATTCCTTGACAGATTTTCAAGACTGTTTCTGACACATTCTGGATACTCTGCGTGGCCCTTGTTTAGAGAGGGTGGGAAAATCACAGGGAGGCTGACAACACAACCAACCCTCTGCAGTGTGTGCAGGCAGATGTGCTTTCAGATAAAGAGAAGCTAGTGGAATTAAACTGTGCCTAGTAGAAGCCTTAGTGCAGAGGAGCTGTGAGACTCATTCCCCAAAGGAAAACACAACCAATGTGCATGTAGAGCCTGAAAGTCATTCTGATCGCAAGGATACAGTACATTGAATATAGTAGTGCCCAACACAATCTCATGAGTGCTCATATTGTTGAAGTAATTTCCTTTTCTCCTTTGCTTTTGAAGATATCTGGTCATGGAAACATATCCCAAAATGTGATCATGTACAACAGTTTCCTGGTTTTGGTGCTGTGGTTTAACTGAGAAAAATGTGAAATTTGCAAGAATGCAGTGAAGCAAAACAATTTAGGGGACATACAGTGCCCCCTACTGACCCAACAATTACCACCCCCAAAGACAATCAACAGGTAAAGGAACAGTCCTGGCACTGATGCTATTGTTCTAATGATTAACTTAGCCTTAAGAAGCTTTTGGGTAACCGGGCCCAGACATGTTCACTCAGTTGCAATGTTTTTGAGTCTGAGAAAAATGTTCCTGTTTGCAATCACGTTGGGGAACTCTGATATAATACATTTTTATATAAAAAACAGCAACACAATATATAGATATAGATATATATGAGTCGTAGTGTATTTGAAAGGTCAAGAAACCCCCCATTTATTACATATCGATGTACTGTACAGTTTTGTATAAAAGTACTACACGTAATATCTTGTCAGAAAATACAAGCCAAACTGGACATATATAAATCATATATAAAATTATAAAACTTTTGTTACATCTTTTATCGTCATTTGAGAAGGTAAATACTGTATACATGAACGTAGGCTGGGACACCATAGTACACTTTTTTTTGTCCTATCAGAAAAGATCTTTGCAACAACTCATCCTCCTTGCAACACATTGATTAGCGATTGATTAGCGATCAGTTGGTAACAGTTGCAAGCTCAAAGCATCAAAGCAGGGTCTACTTTAGTTGAAGGAAACCGTTGAAGGGAAGGTCATTTTTAGGTGCTGTTTATCGGTGCAATGCAAAAGATACACATCACAGTGTTGCCTTATGATGCCTCAGACATAACATGAAAACAACAGAAAGTTGTGCTGTGATATGGACATATAAAAAATCCTTCTTTTCATTTTGTACATTTATACAGCTCATATAAAATATACCAATAGCGTACAGTAAAAGCGGGCTAGGCTATGCAACTGTCTCTCGTATAGTTGCCTCCAGTTTCTTTGGGAGTAGCGCTCTTCTCTCTTCAATATTGATGACGGGCTTCCGACAGTTCTGTCCCTGATCAAGGTATAACTTGGCGTATACTGGGTTGGAGTAGTTTATGCCCTGGAAAAAAAGCACAATAACCAAAGGAGAGTATTACTTTTATACTAAACATGGCCAGGATGCGCTAATAACCTTTTCATTGGCCTACATTATATAAAATTAGATTAGATTCATTAGTTATTAAAGTCTCTCGTATCTTTCAGACGCCCACCCTATATGGGTATATACAACAATTAACAGTGTTAATATGATCAAGTATTTTGCAGCACGTCCAGAGCCTATTGTTGCTTAACAAGCAAGACAAGGACACTGTCACTGACATCCAACCAGGTGACTGTAGACAAGCTCTAGCCATGTGGAACACCAGCAGATGGTTTCTTTCAATTATAAACTGGGTGGTTTGAGCCCTGAATACTAATTGTATTTACAGCAGTGGTATATCAGACCGTATACCATGGGTATGACAAAGCATACAGTGAGGGAAAAATAGTATTTGATCCCCTGCTGATTTTTACGTTTGCCCACTGACAAAGACATGATTAGTCTATAATTTTAATGGTAGGTTTATTTGAACAGTGAGAGACAGAATAACAACAAAAAAATCCTGAAAAACGCATGTCAAAAATGTTATGAATTGATTTGCATTTTAATGAGGGAAATAAGTATTTGACTCCTCTGCAAAACATGACTTAGTGTACTGGGTGGCAAAACCCTTGTTGGCAATCACAGAGGTCAGACGTTTCTTGTAGTTGGCCACCAGGTTGGCACACATCTCAGGAGGGATTTTGTTCCACTCCTCTTTACAGATCTTTTCCAAGTCATTAAGGTTTCGAGGCTGACGTTTGGAAACTCGAACCTTCAGCTCCCTCCACAGATTTTCTATGGGATTAAGGTCTGGAGACTGGCTAGGCCACTCCAGGACCTTAATGTGCTTCTTCTTGAGCCACTCCTTTGTTGCCTTGGCCGTGTGTTTTGGGTCATTGTCATGCTGGAATACCCATCCACGACCCATTTTCAATGCCCTGGCTGAGGGAAGGAGGTTCTCACCCAAGATTTGACGGTACATGGCCCCGTCCATCGTCCCTTTGATGCGGTGATGTTGTACTGTCCCCTTAACAGAAAAACACCCCCAAAGCATAATGTTTCCACCTCCATGTTTGACGATGGGGATGGTGTTCTTGGGGTCATAGGCAGCATTCCTCCTCCTCCAAACACGGCGGGTTGAGTTGATGCCAAAGAGCTCGATTTTGGTCTCATCTGACCACAACACTTTCACCCAGTTCTCCTCTGAATCATTCAGATGTTCATTGGCAAACTTCAGACGGCCCTGTATATGTGCTTTCTTGAGCAGGGGGACCTTGCGGGCGCTGCATGATTTCAGTCCTTCACGGCGTAGTGTGTTACCAATTGTTTTCTTAGTGACTATGGTCCCAGCTGCCTTGAGATCATTGACAAGATCCTCCCGTGTAGTTCTGGGCTGATTCCTCACCGTTCTCATGATCATTGTAACTCCACGAGGTGAGATCTTGCATGGAGCCCCAGGCAGAGGGAGATTGACAGTTATTTTGTGTTTCTTCCATTTGCGAATAATCGCACCAACTGTTGTCACCTTCTCACCAAGCTGCTTGGCAATGGTCTTGTAGCCCATTCCAGCCTTGTGTAGGTCTACAATCTTGTCCCTGACATCCTTGGAGAGCTCTTTGGTCTTGGCCATGGTGGAGAGTTTGGAATCTGATTGATTGATTGCTTCTGTGGACAGGTGTGGACACTCTTAAAGGGAGTGCTCCTAATCTCAGCTTGTTACCTATATAAAAGACACCTGGGAGACAGAAATCTTTCTGATTGAGAGGGGGTCAAATACTTATTTCCCTCATTAAAATGCAAATCAATTTATAACATATTTGTCATGCGTTTTTCTGGATTTTGTTGTTATTATTCTGTCTCTCACTGTTCAAATAAACCTACCATTAAAATTATAGGCTGATCATTTCTTTGTCAGTGGGCAAATGTACAAAATCAGCAGGGGATCAAATACTTTTTTCCCTCACTGTACGTTTGTATGCCTTCTCGTCTGTATACCTCTTTGTTGATTGATATCCATTGAATTGTGTCCATTTTCTTAAATTGAGGAGATCTTTACATTTTTCAGTTAAGTGCCTGCACCTGCCGTCCTTTCAAATTCAAATCCAAATGTTTCAGTTGGGCAGTTAGGTTCACGAGGTGCCTCCAGGGCTGTACAGTTCTGTACTTTTTTCCCTCACTGTATATTTTTACTGCTCTAATTACGTTGGTAACCAGTTTATAATAGCAATAAGGCACCTCGAGGGGCCATATACCACACCCGATCGGGCATTATTGCTTAATTATAACACTTATTACACACATTCTTGAGGAAGCCTTTACCGTAGCTTTCATGAATACAACATGAGATCCTGCATTGTCTCATAAACCCCACAATGACCCCAATGGCCTTGGCTTTGTATCAATATACAGTAGCCTTTTATACAGCACTAGCATAATCTCTCCCAGAGAGGACAGTAAGTTCACAGGGAGTTTACCTGTCCAGGAAGGATCTCCTTGGGGAGATGATGAACTCCTTCATGGTGAACTGACAGAGTGTGCAGGTGACTGGACCTCACACCAACACACCAACCCTACAACACCCAATGTCAACATAAACATCACACACCAACCCTACAACACATAATCATTACAGTTTTACCTTCCAGAATAGAATAGAGTAGATATTTCTCTATTGGCAACGTACCAATATCCACACTGGCATACCACTGAATCAATGTATTGGGCATGCGTTCTAAGTAGTACGCTAGTGTGGGTATTGCGTAGCCCTTGTTAGTAACTCAGGGAAAAGGGAGGATACAGGAGTAAGTGTTTCAAAAAACCTTATGTGGGTCCAGGGTGAAGCTTGGCTGAAGGTGATTCCCAGCATCAGCGTGATTGTCGTGGTCTACCTCATACATGTTGTATGAGGGGTTACCGATCTCTACGTTTATCCCACCATTCGCCATGGGCTGCCGCTGGACTATTTTCCCCCTGTAGATCATAACATTGATGAGGTTAAAAGAGCATTACAAACCTTCATGATTGCTTCCTACGAATAGCATGACCCTTAATCACACAAAAGGGCCGGCAGGTAGCTTAGTGGTTAAGTGCGTTGTGCCAGTAACCGAAAGGTCGCTGGTTCTAATCCCCGAGCAGACTAGGTGAAAAATCTGTCGATGTGCCCTTGAGCAAGGCACTTAACCCTAATTCCTCCTGTAAGTCGCTCTGGATAAGAGCGTCTGCTAAAATGTAAAATGTATGTAATATGAAGTGACTGGGCATCTTTTGTAATCTGTCTACTTAGAAGTAAAGACATACCTTTGCTTCCTCTTACATATGAAAACCCCCAAGGCCATGGTAGTGATGAGAATCACCAGCAGAACCAGTGGGACAATGATGGCCATGCTTCCTGTAACACACAGATCAAACTATTTGAGTTAAACATGTTCAATACGTAACGTCCTTCCCTCCTCTCTGTAGTGAAACAATACAATTTGTTAATGTTCCAAAAAGCTTCAGGGGGTGGAAATGTATTTCTTCAAAGTTCTAACAAGGGTCTTCATATGGGGACTGAATTTATATGACTCTGCTAAAGTTAAAGTCAGTCTATGGGGGTAAAAGGCTCAGTCTGCACAGTTAGGCCCTGAGAGCAATACACAGTGAAATGTCAGACTACAATCTCTGGGAGGGTAGGGTGGTTCAAAGAGTCTGAAAAGGTCTCCAAAACCCAGACAATAGTGCTTTTAGAACTGAAAATAGACCGTATTTTTCTTGTAGGATTGTGTGTCTATGTTTGTGTGTGTGTGTACAGATGTAGGATCTTAATTTGAGCCAGTTTGCTACAGCAGGAAAATAATCCTGCAGCAACAGGAAATGTGAATTAATATATGGATTATAATGAATGGACATTTTTGTAGGGGTTGATACATTTTCCGTAAGGGCAAATCAAATCTGAATTTTCAAAGTGAACATTAATTAGAGAGAGAGAGAGAGAGAGAGAGAGAGAGAGAGAGAGAGAGAGAGAGAGAGAGAGAGAGAGAGAGAGAGAGAGAGAGAGAGAGAGAGAGCGAGAGCAAGCGAGAGAGAGCAAGCGAGAGAGAGAGAGCAAGCGAGAGAGAGAGAGAGAGAGCAAACGAGAGAGAGAGAGAGAGAGAGCAAGCGAGAGAGATAGAGAGCAAGCGAGAGAGAGAGAGAGAGCAAGCGAGAGAGCAAGCGAGAGAGAGAGAGAGAGAGAGAGAGAGAGCTAAAGAGAGAGAGAGTCTCTTTAACACTCTTTCTACTTACTACTCACCCCCGCTGATGTTGCCAGACAGACTGTTCTTGGGGGCAGGTCTCTCACACTGTGTACCTGACCAATCAGCTGGACACCTAAAAAAAGTCACAATGAGTATGAATAGCTGTCTGCTGGTCAAAACAAGTCTCTTTAACAAGAAGGCTATAGCGGACACACACACACCACAGGAGGTTGGTGGTACCTTATTGGGGAGGATGGGCTCGTGGTAATGACTGGAGCGGAATTGGTGGAATGGTATCAAATACATCAAACACATGGTTTCCAGGTATTTGATGCCATTCCATTTGCGCCATTCTGGCCATTATTATGAGCCGTTCTCCCCTCAGCCGTCTCCTGTGACACGCACATCTCCTCATTTGGTAAAGTCTCAGGGAACATGCATGCATAATTCATTCCCTCATTGAGTTAAAGAAAAGAAGCAGAATCTCACCTCAGAGTCTGCACCCCAAATGGCACCCTATTTCCTGTATTTTGCACTACGTTTGACCAGGGCCAATAGGGGCCCATAGGAATCTGGTCAAAAGTGGTGCACTATGTAGGGAATAGGGTGCCATATGGGACGCATCAAGGTTTGGATGTAATCCAGAGACCGTGATCCATTACTAGTTCTCTCTTCCCCCTCCCTCGTCCAGAGGATAGGAAAACATGCAATTACATTACATGTAATCTGACAAGGGTGACCTGATGAAATGATATTAGCTGATTTTAAATAGACTGTAAGCAGCATTTAATCAAAGTTTCATTAGAGGGACTGTGGCTCGCTGCAGGTACCACATGAATCATAGTCCTGAAGGGAATGACAGCTTGTAGCTGACCTATATAATCACACCATTTGTTGCTTAGGAATATGCTTGGCTGCAGAAAACGGTTCTCTAGCACTTAGAGACTGGGTTATTATCCTGTTTTCACAAAATGTATTGAGAGGCTAGTGCAAAGAGAGAAACATAAGGTGTTTTGTGCTGTGAATGAGGGGACGAGGAACATGTCAAATGTGTTGGTTCTATTGTACAATATGTTAGACAAACAGACAGACAGAGGTACTGGTGAGAGTCTGAGTGGGGGAGTGATGTGCAGAGTGGGATGCTGCTGGAAAGTGAGACAGTGAGGGCTGGTCTCGGAAATGGCAGGAGAGGAGGAGGGAAGGAGATGAGGAGAGGAGGAAGGGGGGAGGAGGGGAAGAGAGGAGGGGTAAAAGTCAGACCTACTTGCACTGGGGATTGTTTAAGGCAGTTAATGTGCAAATCCCTTTATTCTGACAGTAGTTATCACAGGGGTTGGCCCGCTGGTCACAGCGCTGGTTCAAGAACCCAGGCGTGCAGCTGCAGCAAAGAGGAATTATAGCCACATAAACGGATCATATATGGAGGAATACAGAGACAAAGTCTGCGTCTGAAATGGCACCCTATTCCCTATAAAGTGCACTACTTTTGACCAGGGCCCACATAAGGAATAGGGTGCCATTTTGGACGCACAGATCAAAGACGATAGTGCACAACACATTCTCACAGTCCACCAGCTCGGGCCATTGGATGACACGAAGTATGAAACCGAACAGATGAAGCTAGGCCCTATTCCATCCTAGTGTTTCCATAGGATGTGTGTGTGTTCAGGTGAGAAAGCAAAGCATTACGGCAAGCAATCCATCCAATGTCACGCCAAGTGGGAGCAAAATAAGTTTAACTGCTGGAATAGCCTACAGATTGTTGTTTGAGATCTATAGCATATAGACACATATAGCCCTCTAGGTATGTCTTTCTTCCCCACCAACAACCCAATACAACAAGCAATCGGATGACATAAAAATAAAAGCATAAAAAAAACATAAACACATTTTCCCACAAGGGAAACCGCTCATTCAAAGCTGTAGTATCTGAGGCAATGGTATCTAACAGTATCTAGGCATACTCTTTAAAGCTAGAATCCTTAATTGAAATAATAACAAAGCACCCACCCCACCTCTGTTTTGGTAATAGGCTGAGGGATGGGCCTGGAGAAATGGAACCACTCTCAAATTGATAGACAGAGCTATGGATGCAAGGGCTGACCGTCCATGATATCACAATTATAGTTTAACAATGTTTTAAGGATATACAGTGTTTGTTGACATTTACATTGTTTACAAACATTGGAGTAAAATAAGATTATATTTTGGGTTCTGATGGGGTATGACACTTGAACTAAGCTCATGAGGCATTTGTAAGTTATATTCTTCAAGAATCAATTGGTATATATAATTAATTTGGCTATAAAGACTGAAACACTTGTACAATACAGTATATGATTAATTCCAAAAGTCCAAATATTGATGATGCAACTAATGGTTCTAGCTTGGGGCACCACAAAGGGAGGTACATAGAAGATCAACTTTGAAAAGCCTCTTGTGAGTGATGCAAGCCCATGAAACAAACACAACCAAAAGCCTCTGTATACTTTAATATGGTATATCATATAATCTGCAAGAGAAAATGGAAAACTGAAACCGTTTTATCTTGGAAAAACGTGGAAATAAGCCACCTCAGTGTGAGACCTCATTATTTTCTACTACGTTCCTATCTTAGTATCCTGGGTCTAATACAGTCTCTAGTACAGTCCCTGCTCTGTCTCTCACAGCAAAACCACAAAACCACTTTCAATACCACTCATTGTATCAGTGCTGTGTGAGATACAACTGAAAGCAGAATGAAGAGAAATACAATGGCTGCGTTTACACAGGCAGCCCAATTGTGATCTTCTGCCAATCAGATCAGATCTTTTGCCAATAATTCAGCTAAATATCAGAATTGGGCTGCCTGTGTAAACACAGTCAAAGAGATGTACAGTACTTTGATGAGAAAACTGATGATGACAACCTACTCAATTGAAAGCAATAGAATCAATAGAAATAATAACAATTGTGCTGACTCACTGGCAGAATGGCAGGCTGGTCTCAGGGTCCTGGTGACAGGTTCCTCCGTTGTAACAGTATCCATCACACAGCTGACAGGTGGCTGCCACTCTGCCGTTACTGCAGCTGTACAGAAATGAAGGGAATATGGCAATGACTTCATAAAGCATTTTAAGCATATTTATAATGCATTTATAACACCTTATGCATTTACTTACTTGCAGGACACGTTGTCTGTCTCCGGGTTGACAATACACGGTGCCCCTCGACACTGGAGACATCTGTCCACTTCACATTTCGCTCCCTCATATCTGGTTGAACACACACACTCCACGTGACCCTTGCTAGACAGGGTACAAGCCTTCGAATTGGTGCAGTAGTGATGGCAGATATCTGGAACCAAGATGGAGAAAAACAAGTTTATTTATTTCATGTGTTACATTCCACTGTATCAATCAGTGCAAAATCAATTTGTTCAGCCCTTGAAACTGAGCCGTTGCAAGCAAACAAGCATCTTTTGAAGTGATTTTCCTATCAAACTTCTTTTAAACCACCAGAGAGAGGGTGGAGGAGACTAACAAAATATTCCAACTGATCTTTATTGTTGAGGTAAATGTGGAAACCACAAACCCCTCTCTTCTCATTGCGGAGACTGAACACAACATTAAATATTGATCGATTGCTTGTCCTAAAACAGGCCAATCTTAGTGTGTGTGTGTGTGTGTGTGTCTGACTCACGGTAGAGACAACGCTCCCCAGTGTACTCGGCCATACAGCGACACACTGGTTGGTTCCCCCTGCTGACGTCACAGGTGCCCCCATTCAGACAGTAGTTATCGCATACCCTTCTCTCACAGACCGGCCCTGTGAACCCCACAGCACAACGACATGTAGGCCTCCCTGAGAAAGATCGAGAGAGAGAGAGGGAGGGAGAGATCGAGAGAGGGAGAAGGAGAGAGGAAGGAGAGAAGAGAGGAGAGAGAGAGAAAGGGGAGAGAGAGGGGGGGGAGAGAGAGAAGGAGAGGAGAGAGAGGGAGAGAGGAGAGAGAAGAGGGGAGGAGGGAGGAGGAGAGAGGAGAGAGAGAGAGAGAGAGAGAGAGAGAGAGGAGAGAGAGAGGAGGGAGAAAAATGTAGTTTGATATATTTGACATTCTATTGAAATTGGCTCAAAATTGTGTAGCACAAATCAATATAATCACAAGCATTTCCACTGTCCAACTGTCATAATGGAAAAGCAAGCAAACACAAGGCAGATGTGATTTCTCTCACATTTCAGATATTCAAAACCAATTCCCATCCAAATAGACACAAACACACACACACACACACACGCACACACACAAAGGTGATGCCCACAAAGAGACCCCCAAGGTCCAATGTTTTCTAAACAGCCATGTCTATTTGCACTGGAAGGATTTCAACTAGTTTCACACTGGTCCTATGACCGCTTGGAGAGCTTACATCTGAAATACAACATCTGCTGCCTGCTCCTGACTGGGATGAATAGAAACTAACTGTGTGTGTGTGTGCCTGCGCGCGTGTGTGTTTGTATGTGTGTGTGTGTGTGTGTGTGTGTCTGAAGTTCTTTCTCCTGCTGTTCCATCCCATCTGTCAGCTAAGGGGTAAGGTGTTATTGATGTCGCCATGCCAACACTAACATTTAACTGTTATTTCACACATTAATATTTGACCACCCCATTTCCTCGCTTCAAACTCCTCCCAAATATTTCCTCGGAAGAGAAAGAAAAGAGAAAAGCTTGATCCATTTATTTATATCTCCACTCTCAATTATTTATTTTGAAGAGAAAAAATAAATCCCTTGCTATGCATTTACTGTAACGGAACAGGGAACTGGACTTTGGGGACTTTAATGTGTTTTAACAACTGTTAAAAAATGGATAGCAATGCCGCACATAAAGCGTGTCTTGCATATTCATGGTGGTACTGTAGACGTATTCGCTAATGCAATACCAAAGTGGGGCCATACTGTCACGCCCTGGCCTTGAGAGGCCGGTTGTCTTTAGTTGGTTTGGTCAGGGCGTGAGTATCTATGTTAGAATTTCTATGTTTAGGTTCTAGTTTTCCTATTTCTATGTCTGGCCGGATATAATTCCCAATCAGAGGCAGCTGTCGCTCATTGTCTCTGATTGGGGATCATACTTAGGTAGCCCATTGCCTTCTGTGTATTGTGGGATCTTGTTCCTGTTAGGCTGGTGTGTGTATAGCCCTTTGGACTTCACGTTACGTTGTTTCTTGTTTTGTTGAGTGTTTATTTAGTTAAACATGTACGCTTTTCACGCTGCACCTTGGTCCGACCCGTCTCTCAACGTTCGTGACACATACGTATTTTCAGATGCATCTATAGCTTATATCTCTCAAGGGTAGTCAAACTAAGGGATTTTCACTGCACTTTCCTATGGCTCCCTGACAATCAATGACTACATAGAGCAGGAGTGTCAAACTCATTCCATGGAGGGCCGAGTGTCTGCTGGTTTGAGTTATTTCCTTTACATTAGTGTCCAATTAAGATCTATACAACCAGGTGTGGGGAGTTCCTAACTAATCAGTGACCTTAATTGATCCATCTAGTACAAGGGAGGAGTGAAAACCCGCAGACACTCTGCCCTCCATGGAATAAGTTGGACACGCGACGTAGTGCGATAATTATTTAGAAGCAGATTATCAATCATGAAGCCAGAAGTTGTCACAGCAGAACTGGCATCTGTGGGCAAGATCTCATTGGTTGACAGGACAGGGGCCTTGGTCCCAACCAGGTCCCAAACCTAATTTCCCATAGTCATGGATGGATGAGCGCCCTCTCCTGTCCTGGAGGTCCCAGAGGAAGAGCAGGGAGCACACACACACACACACGTGTAGCAGAAGGAGCTTACCTATGGAAGAGCCTGAGCATGTGCCCCCGTTCTGACAGTAGTCTTTACAGTGGTTGACTTCACAGCGCTCCCCGGAGAAATTTGGCCAGCAGTAACATCGCAGCTCCCCCTTCTCGTTGGTGATGCATCGTCCTCCATTGTCGCAGGCGGGGCGACACAGCTCTCCTGAAAGCAAAATAATGTAGGCCCACGTGTTAAGAGTAAAACCATGGCAACCTTGACCTGCTCCCATTAATATCTAACGAGGGGATTAACCCAACTTTCTAAAAGGCTGGAACTCAAATGGGCTGTCCTGACTATTCTATGCACGACTGCTTGCACGGTACCTTCACTTTCACTCCAATTTACTCAGCATATGAAAGATCCAGTCTCAGTTGGATGTGGATCAAATGAAAGTATTGCAGGTTGACAGGCAGATCAGGCCTACTGTACTGAGATGTTAGTGTCCCTGCAGCCTACTGTACTGAGATGTCAGTGTCCCTGCAGCCTACTGTACTGGGATGTCAGTGTCCCTGCAGCCTACTGTACTGAGATGTCAGTGTCCCTGCAGCCTACTGTACTGAGATGTCAGTGTCCCTGCAGCCTACTGTACTGAGATGTTAGTGTCCCTGCAGCCTACTGTACTGAGATGTTAGTGTCCCTGCAGCCTACTGTACTGAGATGTCAGTGTCCCTGCAGCCTACTGTACTGAGATGTCAGTGTCCCTGCAGCCTACTGTACTGAGATGTCAGTGTCCCTGCAGCCTACTGTACTGAGATGTCAGTGTCCCTGCAGTCTACTGTACTGAGATGTCAGTGTCCCTGCAGCCTACTGTACTGAGATGTCAGTGTCCCTGCAGCCTACTGTACTGAGATGTCAGTGTCCCTGCAGCCTACTGTACTGAGATGTCAGTGTCCCTGCAGTCTACTGTACTGAGATGTCAGTGTCCCTTTAGCCTACTGTACTGAGATGTCAGTGTCCCTGCAGTCTACTGTACTGAGATGTCAGTGTCCCTGCTCATTGAATAGCTGGTTGACAGTTAGGCCTACTGTACCCAACACATTGGTGTCCTACTGTACCTGATGTGTTGGTGTCCCTGCAGGTCCTGTTTATTAGCGTGGTCCCCTCAGGACAGAAACAGCTGGCTCCGGCAGGGTTGAGCAGACACAGGAAGTCACAGCCCATCCTCAGGCACGGATTGGACACTGACACAACCAATGGGACAAAGGTTAGAAAGCAGGGTCTGTGAGTTTGTAGAGTGTAGTACGTAGAAGACTGTGCACTGTAGCACTGTTGTTGAGTGGACCTGGTTGGTTGCAGTTCGTGTATTCTGTGCATTTGACATTATGTAACACAGACAAAATAATGAATATCAAGATGACACACTAAGAGAAAATCATGTTCTGTCATAATGAAAGGCTCAAACTTTTCAAAGACCTTAAGTATTGTATAGTAGAAGAGCAATCAAACATAACATGAGACACTATTATTTTGTGTACAGCAGCATTAAATCAAACATGAGATCCTTTTTATTGTGTTTAACTGAGAGAGAATAACAGTGTGAACCTCTGGGCTGGAGCTAGGGCTAATGATGCATCAGGGAGGGCTTCAACTGGCCCTTAAAAGTGGCATATAGAGGCGTAAAGTTCCCACCAAACAGATGACCACATTGTCATTCAACTCTCACAGAACACCCACAGAACCAGACCGACAGTAAACAAACAACTGCCAGCAGTCATTGGAGAGAGGGAATAGGAGAGGAAAGGGAGAGGGAGCCAGAGAGAGAGAGAGAGAGAGAGAGAGAGAGAGAGAGAGAGACAGAGAGAGAGAGAGTGAGAGTGAGACAGACCGACAGACAGACAGACCGACAGAGTGAGAGGAGAGAAAGAGAGAGACGGAAAGAAAGAGAATGGGGAAAGAGAAAGTGATTGTTAAGGTGATTGTTAGCCTACCATCTTGCTGTTTGAAGCGATGGAGGACCAAGATAATGGAGGGTCTCTCTACTCCCAGATGGAGCCGTTCCATTGGCTGTTTTCCGTACTTATGGACCCGGAAGACATCATTCCTCATCCCGATCCCATAGATATAGTCCTCAAAGATATCAATCCTTACAGGCTGGGAAAGACCTTGGGAGAGAACAAGTGGTAACAACTGTAACACTAGACTAGTAAGGGAGAAAATGGGCCCCTCAATAATTAATCTGAATTCCAAATAATAGCAAATAATATTTTGCAACATTTTCTATTGCTCTACCCTCCACCCTTGAAGGGATGAGCCGGGCGCATTTGATAAGAATGACAAAAAGTTGAGGGAATGGACAATTAAAGAAGATGCAACCTGCAACATAGCCCTTTACACTCGTACCTGTATACGGGTTGAAAATGGCAGATATGGACACTGATAAGCGCCTAAATTGGAACGCAGTGGCTGTACAGTGACATGACATCAGAGCTCTGTATGGGTTTTGACTGACAACCGCTCTGAACTTGAGCACCGCATGCGACAGGAAGTTGCCCCCATCCCTCCTGCTAATTGGGCAACTTTAGCAAATTTTTGGCTGTCTGAGCGAGGGAAATGCTGTAAATTAAGATGACTCAATGTATTTTGAAAGACGGGATGTTGAGGATGATAAAAAATACTGCTTTGATGTCATACAAGCAAGCCAAACACCTGTGAGTCCAAATGCGCGCTTCACATTTCCCTATCATAAAACTCATTTAATATACAGTGTCAACGTTTATGATCACTATGTTTGATGTAGTTACAAGATGACATGGCGTTATACCCGTGTTGTCCTGAACAGAATGAGCCTATGTTTGTTGTATTGTGAAGCGAATTTGCCGCGGCACACGCATCTGAATGCACTCATGACTCCATTCTATGCGCACCAAAATTACGATCTGCTTCTCTGAATTGCCTTGTGAAAGCCTAACACTGTAAGATCGTATTTTATAATTTAGCTAGTTATGTTGGCAATAGAACAAGCTTTCAACCAACCATGCCCACCTGACTCAGATTGCGATTTATTTATTGGATTGCGTAAACAACAACAGTAATAGTGTAAAGGCGGGCATGCAGGGCTGTGTTCCAAACAAAACAACTACAAGTGTGCTTGCTCTAATTCCTCAACGGCACAGCTAGCAGAGCTAAAGAAAAAGTACCTTATAGTTGAATACGTTATTTGACTTCATTGAAATTACTTAGGAACTGTGCACACTTTGGAGAGGTATGTGGCCACTTGGAGACACCAATTTTTGTCTTATGTTGCACCTACCCCAAACTTTACAATAATATTCTTATGTTACTGAACGTATTCAGAGTATTTTCAGATTTCATTATCAACAAATGCGGCAAAAATGTCAAATGCACATCAAATCAACAGTGTAATGTTTGGATTCAGTCTTGTGTCAGGTAAACTGTTGTGTACTCACCTTTAGTCTAATCATTTTCCCATAATCTCCAAACTGTTCCCTTTTAATTGCTACCATGGTTATGCATATGCTTTCCGTATTACTTCTGTAGGAAACATTTCAATTTTGCCCTATCCATATAGGCCAATTTCAATGAGTGTAAAGGGTTAAGGACATGCATGTCTTCTGTGTTAGTCTGTGCTTTGCTCACCATGTGTACTGCTCACCACCACCACAGAGTCCGATCCATCGAATCGAACGCTCCCAATCACAGACAACTCTGTATCAGCCCAGTACAAACGCTGGTTGAAATAATCAATGGCAAGTCCTGTGAAGATGTAAAATATATTATTCGCTCTATGTGAGCTGTTGTAAAGTGCAGCAAACTTTCCTTCTGACAGGTGCTGCATTCTATCAAAATGTATCACTCTACACTAAAATAAACCAGATATTGATTAGCAAATATACAAGTACACAGCTCCATACTTCCTGCTTATGGGTGCTTACTGAAGGTATTGTTCTATGTCACATGACCAGAAGTTCCAGAACACCTACCACTGGGTCTCCTGAGGTTCTTCTCCAGTAAGATTCTCCTCATAGACCCATCCATGGCAGCCTCCTCGATGTGGGAGTGGTCTCCTACCACTGTCCAGTACATCATCCTATAGGAAGTACAGGAAGTAAGTAAAGGAAGTATAGGTCATTTTTACAGGTATAAAGGACAGAGCAGAGGACCAGGCATAATCTGTTGTGTATCTGTCCAAAGAGAAAATATAGTCTAAGTCTAAAATGTGTCAATGTGATATGTGGTTGTTTTATCTAGCAACTAAAATGTAATTAATGTAAGGATTAATCTTACCCTCGAGCTGGGTTAACAGTGATAGAGTAAGGCTCCCCAGCGATGTCTGTGATGAGAAGAGAGCAGTTTGGCCCTCCCAGCTGGCCCACGTTGATGGAATATCTGAGCCTCCTCCAGTGGGCGTTGTAGTAGCTAAACCAGTGCATCCTAGAGTGGTCTGTCCAGTAGATGTTGCCAGTCACCCAATCTGCAGATATATCCCTGGGCCTTCTGAAGTCAGGACACTGCAGAAGAAGAATGTGTTTACACATTTACTGACGTGACTTTCATACTGCTTACCTGGAAATTGACTTAAAAACCTAGAGCATGTAGACACACACATTCTCTCTCTCCCTTTCTCTCTCTCTCTCTCTCTCTGTCAAAATACACTACTAGACCAAAAGTATGTGGACACCTGCTCGTCAAACATCTCATTCCAAAATCATGGGCATTAATATGGAGTTGGTCCCCCCTTTGCTGCTACAACAGCCTCATTCAGCCACAAGACCATTAGTGAGGTTGGGCACTGATGTTGGATAATTAGGCCTGGCTCGCAGTCAGCGTTCCAATTCATCCCAAAAGTGTTTGATGGGGTTGAGGTCAGGGCTCTGTGCAGGCCAGTTAAGTTCTTCCACACCGATCTCAACAAACCATTTATGTATGGACCTCGCTTTGTGCACGGGGGCATTGTCATGCTGAAACAGGAAAGGGCCTTCCCCATTCTGTTGTCACAAAGTTGGAAGCACAGAATCGTCTAGAATGTAATTGTATGCTGTAGCGTTACGATTTCCCTTCACTGGAACTAAGGGTCCTAGCCCAAACCATGAAAAACAGCCCCAGATCATTATTCCTCCTCCATCAAACTTTACAGTTGGCACTGTGCATTTGGGCAGGTAGCATTCTCCTGGCGTCCGCCAAACCCAGATTTGTCTGTCGGACTGCCAGATGGTGAAGCGTGATTCATCACTCCAGAGAATGCGTTTCCACTGCTCCAGAGTCCAAAGGCGGCGAGCTTTACACCACTCCAGCCGATGCTTGGTATTGCGCATGGTGATCTTAGGCTTGTGTGTGGCTGCTCGGCCATGGAAACCCATTCCATGAAGCTCCCAACAAACAGTTATTGTGCTGATGTTGCTTTCAGAGGCAGTTAGTGAGTGTTGCAACCGAGGACATATTATTTTTTACGGGCTTCGCACTTCAGCACTCGGTGGTCCCGTTCTGTGAGCTCGTGTGGCCTACCACTTTGCAACTGAGCAGTTGTTGCCCCTAGACGCTTCCACTTCACAATAACAGCACTTAAAGTTGACTGAGCAAGCTCTAGGAGGGCAGAAATTTGATGAACTGACTGGTTGGTGCCACATTGAAAGTCACTGAGCTCTTCAGTAAGGCCATTCTACTGCCAATGCTTGTCTATAGAGATTGCATGGCTGTCTGCTCGATTTTATACACCTGTCAGCAACTGGTGTGGCTGAAATAGTCGAATCCACTAATTTGAAGGGGTGTCCATATACTTTTGTCTATAATTTCAGTTCAAGTGACAAATCAGTGCCACAGTGCTCTTTGAAGTCACACAGTGTGGTCTTTGGGGGCTCCTGTGTTCTGTCCCCTTCCCTCCCTTTCCCAGGGCTCAAATCAAACCAATTAATGTCCGAGATATTGAGTGGCTGTTAGGTCCTGTTCTGTTCTATTCTGGTCTCATAGGGAGAGCAGTTAAATAGTTTAGAGATCCAGATGGAAACCAGTCACTGAGGAAATAGTCTCGCTTTGCTACACTCATGTCTGTCGTATGAGAGTATGGAACTTGGAATTGCTACCATCAAAACTAATTTAATATTTTCAAGGTTGCATTTTCAGGAGAAATAACTAAGAACTTCAGATATTTTCCTTACTTTAGTGATTTCCAAAAGGTGTTAATATGCAGTGTTGGGGGTAATACATCATCCGATTACTTTTACGAGTAATGGAGTAAAGTAACGTGTTACTTTTTAAAATTGGGTAATATTATTAGTTACTTGTCAACTAACACGTGTGTTACTTTCAGAATCTGTTTGCATGATCTGATCTTGACTTGTTTCCTCATTTAGTTTTCGAGCGAGTGGAGAAAGGCTGTTTGGAGAAATGTCAGGACAGCTGCCTCCATAAAAATGTATAGAGGGCACACCTCTGATCTTTGCCATTGATCGCTTCTGTGATAGCAAAGCCCATAGAGGGCTTTACTGTCTAGTGGCAAGTGTGCCCTCTATACATCTCTATGGGTCCGTGTAGCCTATGTGCGGTCTATAACCAGAACTGGTGGCTCGAGAGAAAGATTTTGAATGAAAAGATAGGATATATATGGCTAATTAAGCAGCCCATATGATAGCGCAGCACAGGAAAGGTTTGCATGGCGTCCCCATATTGTGTCAGCATCCAAGGGACTGCCAACTCAGGTCTACTAGCCGTCGCTCTCTCGGGGGTAAACCCTTTTGTCCCCTGGCATACTGGCCTTTTCTATGAAGTTTTTTTTTCTGTTGGTTATTTTAATTACATTTTAAATACTATAGAATTTGTATGTATTCACAATTGTAGACTGCACGATCAATTTGGGGTTTGTCTGAACAGTATTTCTATCTCAACTCTGTGCGAAGTGTTTTCAAATCTCAGGCTTTTGGATATATTTACATCTCAAGCTAACTCATGGATAGTCTTAACCTCTTAACTTGTTTAGAGTACTTACAATGTACAAATATAATTTCGCCTTCCTACAGCAGAGCCATTTGAAAGCCACTGATATCAATAGATGTCAGAATACATTTTATAAGATAATAGCCTACTCTTGTGCCCCGAACAAAACCAAGGGTGCTATGACTGTAATTAAAATGAATCTTAATATGAAGGTGGGGGTCTCTGGGGGAGACACTGATGGTCAGTATTGTTATACCTCTGCACTACATTATCTTTGTCCTCCATTTATGTACCAAATGCTTTTCATAAATCCTTTTTTGAAGACCTGAAGCTTAAATTGTTAGACTTCCCAGACTCAGTGACCATCCTTGGGGGAGATTTTAACTTGACTCTAGATCCTACTATTAATACCACCAGTGCTAATATCTTGGCACTCCGGGCACCTTCAAATTATATTAAGACCATTTTAGATGACTTGAGCATCGTGGATGGCTGGCGCCTAAGGAATTCTAGTACTAGAGATGATATCTTATTTTCTCCCCATCATCAGTCTTTCTCACAAATTGATTATGTCTTCACCTCCCCTGTTTTTCTGAAATGTATATCCCATGCAAACATTTTACCTATGCTGTTATCTGACCATTCTCCCTTATTGATTTCTTTTGAGATTTCTCCAGGATTCACAGGTTTTAAGAGATGGCGTTTCATTGTTTTTCTTTTGCAGGATAGGGAATTCTTAAACTACATTTTGATTTCTTAAAGGTTAATGCACAACCAGGGGTAGGCCAACATACATTATGGGAAGTAACAAAGTGTTGCATTATAGGAATATCAAATCAGAATAAAAAACACAACCATCAGCTTTCTTAATTAGAGAGAGAAATAGCCCATCTAGAGTTGATGCAAAAGTCTAACTACACTGAAGATGGGCAGAGAGAACTCACCATTCTTAAAACTGAGAATAAGATGGTGACTAGTTCTAGGGCTGAATTTATTCATTTGAAAGCGAGACAGAATGACTATGAGAATGCGGATAGACCGAGTAGGCACTTGGCAATGAAACTAAAGCAAATTGAATATTTGTCATCTATTGATGTCATTAGGAACAATAACGCTGACCTTTGTAGCTTTCCCTCCCAAATTAATCATACTTTCACTACTTTGTATTCCAATCTGTTTCCTTCTGAGCTCCCTAAAGACTATAGGAAGATGTTGTCCTTTAAAAATGTCTTGGAACTTCCTTCCCTTTCTCTTAATCAAGTCAGTCTATTAGATGCTCCCATCTCCTTGGCAGAACTGAAGACTGCCTTTGATTCAATGTCAAAATCCAAGTCTCCAGGGTTGGATGGTATCCCTCCTAAATTATTGTTGGCTGTGTGGGATTTAGTCGGATCTGTATTACTAGACTCAATCAAACACTCGCTGGAGATTGGGACATTCCATAGGGACCACAAAAAAGCTATTATTTCCCTGCTATTGAAAGGTGTGGACCCACTTGAATGTTCAAGCTACAGGCCCTTATCAATTTTGAAATGTGATTTTAAACTCTTTGCGAAGGTCTTGTCAAAAAGACTACAGACTTGCATATCATCATTGGTTAATTCTGACCAATCAGGATTCATAAAGGGTTGGTTGGCTTCAGACGACATATACTGCCTATTCCATATTATAGACTCCACTGCCTCTCAACCACAGGCTTGCACTGTCCTCTCATTAGATGCAGAGAAGGTGGTTTGATCGTGTTGAATGGACTGTTTTTGAACTTGTATACTGAACAGTATACTGAACAAAAATACAAACGCAACATGTAAAGTGTTGGTCCCATGTTTCATGAGCTGAAATAAAAGATCCCAGAAATTTTCCAGATGCGGAAAAATGTTATTTCTCTCAAATTTTGTGCACAAATCTGTTTAGATCCCTGTTAGTGAGCATTTCTCCTTTGCCAAGATACTCCATTCACCTGACACGTGTGACATATCAAGAAGCTGATTAAAACAGCATGATCATTACACAGGTGCACCTTGTGCTGGGGACAATGAAAGGCCACTCTAAAATGTGCAGTTTTGTCACACAACACCACAGATGTCTCAAGTTTTGAGGGAGCGTGCAATTGGCATGCTGACTTCAGGAGTGTCCACCAGAGCTGTTGCCATAGAATTGAATGTTAATTTCTCTACCATAAGCCGCATTTTACAGAATTTGGCGGGGGGGTTGCTGAGGAGTATTTCTGTCTGTAATAAAGCACTTTTGTGGGGAAAACTAATTCTGATTGGCTGGGTCTGGCTCCCCAGTGGGTAGGCCTGGCTCCCCAGTGGGTGGGCATATGCCCTCCCAGCCCCACCCATGGCTGCGCCCCTGCTCAGTCATGTGAAATCCATAGATTAGGGCCTAATGAGTTTATTTCACTTGATTAATTTCTTATATGAACTGTAACTCACTAAAATCGTTGAAATTGTTGCATGTTGCATTTATATTTTTGTTCAGTATAGTATGGTCCGCACCCTATATACAGTGGGGAGAACAAGTATTTGATACACTGCAGGTTTTCCTACTTACAAAGCATGTAGAGGTCTGTAATTTTTATCATAGGTAAACTTAAACTGTGAGAGACGGAATCTAAAACAAAAATCCAGAAAATCACATTGTATGATTTTTAAGTAATTAATTTGCATTTTATTGCATGACATAAGTATTTGATACATCAGAAAAGCAGAACTTAATATTTGGTACAGAAACCTGTGTTTGCAATTACAGAGATCATACGTTTCCTGTAGGTCTTGACCAGGTTTGCACACACTGCAGCAGGGATTTTGGCCCACTCCTCCATACAGACCTTCTCCAGAGCCTTCAGGTTTCGGGGCTGTCGCTGGGCAATACGGACTTTCAGCTCCCTCCAAAGATTTTCTATTGGGTTCAGGTCTGGAGACTGGCTAGGCCACTCCAGGACCTTGAGATGCTTCTTACGGAGCCACTCCTTAGTTGCCCTGGCTGTGTGTTTTGGGTCGTTGTCATGCTGGAAGACCCAGCCATGACCCATCTTCAATGCACTTACTGAGGGAAGGAGGTTGTTGGCCAAGATCTCATGATACATGGCCCCATCCATCCTCCCCTCAATACGGTGCAGTCGTCCTGTCCCCTTTGCAGAAAAGCATCCCCAAAGAATTATGTTTCCACCTCCATGCTTCACGGTTGGGATGGTGTTCTTGGGGTTGTACTCATCCTTCTTCTTCCTCCAAACACGGCAAGTGGAGTTTAGACCAAAAAGCTCTATTTTTGTCTCATCAGACCACATGACCTTCTCCCATTCCTCCTCTGGATCATCCAGATGGTCATTGGCAAACTTCAGACGGGCCTGGACATGCGCTGGCTTGAGCAGGGGGACCTTGCGTGCGCTGCAGGATTTTAATCCATGACGGCGTAGTGTGTTACTAATGGTTTTCTTTGAGACTGTGGTCCCAGCTCTCTTCAGGTCATTGACCAGGTCCTGCCGTGTAGTTATGGGATGATCCCTCACCTTCCTCATGATCATTGATGCCCCACGGGGTGAGATCTTGCATGGAGCCCCAGACCGAGGGTGATTGACCATCATCTTGAACTTCCATTTTCTAATAATTGCGCCAACAGTTGTTGCCTTTTCACCAAGCTGCTTGCCTATTGTCCTGTAGCCCATCCCAGCCTTGTGCAGGTCTACAATTTCATCCCTGATGTCCTTACACAGCTCTCTGGTCTTGGCCATTGTGGAGAGGTTGGAGTCTGTTTGATTGAGTGTGTGGACAGATGTCTTTTATACAGGTAACGAGTTCAAACAGGTGCAGTTAATACAGGTAATGAGTGGAGAACAGGAGGGCTTCTTAAAGAAAAACTAACAGGTCTGTGAGAGCCGGAATTCTTACTGGTTGGTAGGTGATCAAATATTTATGTCATGCAATAAAATTTAAATGAATTACTAGGAAATCATACAATGTCATTTTCTGGATTTTTGTTTTAGATTCCGTCTCTCACAATTGAAGTGTACCTATGATAAAAATTACAGACCTCTACATGCTTTGTAAGTAGGAAAACCTGCAAAATCGTCAGTGTATCAAATACTTGTTCTCCCCACTGTCCAGGCCCCACTGCCCATGTCCAGACTGGCCATTCCGCCGCCCCCGAGATTGTCCTACAAAGATCCACATGACAGGGTTGTCCTCTGAGTCCCGGCCTATTTGCACTTTAATTAGCACCGCTAGCCCATTATGCAAAACATTTACATTTCACCTATTAAGATCAAAGAAACAGTCCACCATATCTCTCTGTATGCTGATGACATCTTACTCTATTTGTCCGACGTCTCTAATTCTCTATCACACGTACTTGACCTCTAAAGAATTGGGCTCCTTCTCTGGCTATAAAATATCTTAATGCCTCTAAACGCCACAGCCAAACAAATCACATTACCCTCTTTACCTATCACTTTAGAAAATAAGAGATTATTTCGATCCAATTTGGAACTAATTGTTAATGAGAATTTCAGTGCAACATTGGAAAAAATAAAGTAGATGGTCTCCACTTCATGTTACTCTTTATGGGAGAGTTTCGGTTATTAAAATGAATGTACTCCCCCGTATTAATTTCCTGTTTTCAATGCTTCCTCTTCCTCCCCCAAGTTCACTCTTTAAGGACATAGATATACACTACATTACGAAAAGTATGTGGACACCTGCTCATTGAACATCTTATTCCAAAATCATGGGCATTAATATGGAATTGGTCCCCCCTTTGCTGCTATAACAGCCTCTGGGAAGGCTTTCCACTAGAACATTGCTGCGGGGACTTGCTTCCATTCAGCCAGAGGCATTTTGGAACTCGGTAGTGAGTGTTGCAACCGAGGACAGACGATTTTTACGCGCTACGCGCTTCAGCACTCGGCGGTCCCGTTCTGAGAGCTTGTGTGGCCTAACACTTTGCGGCTGAGCCATTGTTACTCCTAGATGTTTCCACTTCACAATAACAGCACTTACAGTTGACCGTGGCAGCTCTAGCAGGTCAGAAATTTGACGAACTGACTTGTTGGAAAGGTGGCATCCTATGATGGTGCCATGTTGAAAGTCACTGAGCTCTTCATTAAGGCTATTCTATTGCCAATGTTTGTGTATGGAGATTGCATGGCTGTGCGCTCGCTTTTATACACCTGTCAGCAATGGGTGCGGCTGAAATTGCCAAATCCACAAATCTCAAAGGGTGTCCACATACCTTTGTATATATAGTGTATCTATTTACATTTGACATTTTAGTCATTTAGCAGACGCTCTTATCCAGAGCGACTTACAGTTAGTGAGTGCATACATTTTCATACTGGCCCTCCGTGGGAAACGAACCCACAACCCTGGCATTGCAAGCGCCATGCTCTACCAACTGAGCGGATTGTTATGGCTGCAATAACAGCAGGCAAAAAAACTATTCTAAGGAATTGGTTTGAACTGGGTATTGCCCTTTGCAGATTTTGGTTGCTTATGTACTTGGACATTGCACAGCTGGAAAGATCCACTGCCAGACTGTGTGGAGCCAAGGCCGAAATTCTGGTCAATTGGTCACATGCTATCTCTCACTTGCAATAGCTAATTTAACAACAATGTTTGGTCTTGCGGATGGGAGATAGCATTGTCCTTCTCTGTCTTTTTAAACAATCTGTTTTCCTATGTGGCTCTGGGTTGGTAGCCTTTGAGAATAACATTTGAATAGACTCATTGAATTTGGAAATACTGAAACATATTTGTCTTTAATCTGTTTTGTTTTGTCCTTTTTCATTTGTATGTTTTTGTTTTGGGGTTTCTACATATTTTTTGTTTGTTTTCCCACTGTACATATTGGTATGTACATATTAGTATGTAATTGTCTAGGACATGCAAGAAAAACAAAGAAAAGTTAAGCAGCGCCATAGATGAAAGGAGAAATTAGTAGCCTATCTTTGGTAGAACGTAAACGGCTGGCCTTGCTCCCTCCGACTGTCAAACCAACTGCGAGATTTGGAGATTGTTTTCATGAAAGTAACACAAAGTACTATAACGAGTAATATAATGCATTACTTTCCACACAAAGTAACATTGTAATATATTACCTTTTCAAGTAACTAATCCCAACACTCATACTATGTAACAGATTAATATGTTAATGCAACCCAAAAATGTTTATAGAGGTGCTGATTGAGGGTAAACTGTATAAAAAATAAAGAAAGTCGCACACTAAATTATGCTCCCAACAATTTAATGGGTACAGCCAATTGTTGGGAGCACATTTAGAGCGTGATTTAACAGATAAAATACACAACATTCAGATACAGTAATAACATTGATTACATTAAGTAATAACCGTCCACCTCTAGCCCACTCAAAACCTTTACTTACTATGATTCCGCTATTTGAATTGTTGGGAGCATATTTAGAGTGTATACGGTCTAATATACCACGGCTTTCAGACAATCAGCATTCAGGGCTTGAACCACCTAGTTTATAATAAGTCATAACCCTCTACCTCTAGCCCACTCAAAACCTTTACTTACTATGATTCCGCTATTTGACTTAGTGAGACTTCTGTCTACGATGTCTTTGTAAAACATTCCACCAGGGTTAAACTGTGTGGCCCAGACAAACTTGTGTCGGTGAAAGAGAGCGTCCATCCCAATGATTTTAGTATTGTCCTCGATGCGAGCATGCAGTTTCTGTCCGTGGCTCTGCTTAAACGGATAGACAAAACTTCGGATTTCAGTGTCATTAGCAACGTAGAGCACTTGATCTTCTGGTCCTGCCCATTGAGTTCATTAAGATAGAAGAAAAAACACAAAGGAAATAGCATAAATATAAAGAGTGTACATTCCAGATTACAATAAGCATATTCAAAGTAGCTTCTACACAATTAGCATATTATAATCAAAACAGATCGCAGCAATCAGAATAATTGTGATGCATAATTGATCAAGCATAATTAAGTATAATTTTGATGTGATGTGTGAATCTCAAATTGTCATGCATTTGATTATGTACTGTATATGCAATCAAAATAGTAATGGTAAGCTCTTACCTTTGGTTATACATTCACCATCGATTTCTTTAAAGTTACGGTCACATGTGCACTTGAAGGATCCTTTAGTATTGGTGCAGTAGTGCGAGCACATGCCAAACTGAAGACATTCATTGATCTCTGAGAAATAGATAAAGAAAGCAGGTTATAATTCCCATAAAGCCATACATTATTAAAATAGGTTTCATCACAATTCTGTCTGTGCTCTGTCCTATGAGATAACCTCTTAGGAGTAGTACAAATTCTATCTTTGACAGTTCATATCTAAAACTAGCCCAACACATTTATCAAAAAGAAAGACAAGGCATAGTAGATACGCTACACATTGCCATTGTCCAGTTGTCAGGAGCTACCAGAGCTTTTCTGCAGTGATAAGGACAGACTTGACACGATGGTGCATGTCCTGTAAAGTGTGGTCTTCTATTTTAATGACAACTTAACATTTCAAACTCTTAGCAGCAAGTGAATGCAAAAGAAAACCCTGAGACAAAGAAAAGGTGACATCATCACTGTACTGTACCTTCACATTGCCTTGTTGTCTGGCTCCTCTGAAAGCCAGCCTTGCACTGACAGAGTGAATCTGTTCCTGTATTATTGCAGACGGCGTCATCTCCACATAGACCCACTCTCTCTCCACATACTCCTTCCTTGGAAACCACTGTATAAAACATGGACATCACAATAACACATCTTATATGGTGTAAGTCGGATGCTGTTTGTGCACTCTTAGAAAAAAGTGTTCCAAAAGGGTTCTTCGGCTGTCCCCATAGGAGAACCCTTATTGGTTCCAGGTAGAAACCTTTTTGGTTTCTACAAGGAACCCAAAAGGGTTCTTCAAAGGGTTCTCCTATAGGGACAGCCGAATAACCTTTTCATACTTTTTTTTCTAAGAATGTGCATTGATTCATAAACTGAAAATGTAACATGGTGATTTGAATAATAAAGACCATCCATTAGCACAGTCAGTACACCACTTTTCTCTCTCATTCAGCTTTTGTAAATAGAGTACTTTACATGCTGGGAATAAACATGCCCTGAGTGCACAGATGTTGTTAAAGCTGACAGTTCCCAGAATCGGGGACTAGTATACATTATTTTATGTTTTATTTCAGTTCTGTTTTTATTTCAGCATGTTCCATCCAGGAGAGAGCATTATATTATGTGGGACTTATCCTTCCTTCCTTATACAATATTTCTTGGGAGTACTGAGACGAACTGAATCTGAACTGAAATGTGCAGAGAAAGACAGATAGACATAGAGAGAGAGAGAGAGAGAGAGAGAGAGAGAGAGAGAGAGAGAGAGAGAGAGAGAGAGAGAGAGAGAGAGAGAGAGAGAGAGAGAGAGAGAGAGAGAGATTGATAGATACAGAGATAGATACAGAGACAGAGACAGAGGGGGAGCGAGAGAGCGAGAGAGAACGAGAGCGAGACAGATAGAGAGATTGAGATCGATATCGAGGGAGGGATATTTTGAAAGAGAGCGATAGCGAGACAAAGATCAACATCGAAGAGAGAGAGCGAGAGACTTTAGAAGCCACCTACCACCTTTACATTCCTGTTCATCCGAGCCCCCGTCTCCACAGTCATCGAACAGGTCACACTGCAGCTCCTGCGGGATGCAGCGATGGTTACTGCAGGCGAACTCCGCCTTCCCACAGGGCCTAGGGATCCGCATCATGTCTTCTGATCCAGGTTACAGGACAAGCCAGGGGGATAAGGAGAATGTAACAGCCATGGGGCCAAAGATAGAACAGGCATGTTTATACACCATAGCTTGGCTACTGCTATCTCTAGCTTTTACTTTTTACACCAACAATGATGTGTATGTAGTGTATGTATGTGTGCACGCACACAATAGCTGTTAGCCAGCTATATAACTAGACGTAATGGTGCCTCTCGAGCAGTTCAAATGGTTGATTGGGGACCTCTTTGCTAAGGAATGGGATTGTTTCTCTTGAGTATGATTTGTAATGTTGTATATTTGTATGATGTTGTATTTGTAAATTGTGTATGTACAGGACTCCCTTGTAAAGAGATGTTGGTCTCAATGGGATTCCCTAAAATAAAGGTGAAATAAAACATGTAGAAAAAACAGAGGAGCTCTGTGATTCTGGGTTATTTGTGATCATCTGAATGATTGAGTTCAAAGGTTAACAGACATGATTGGACTCACCACAATCGTCTTCATCGGAGTTGTCCCCACAGTCGTCGACTCTGTTGCACACCTGCTCCGAGCGCAGACACACCCTGTCGTTCCTACAGCGGTAGGGTCTGCTCGGTGGACACGGTAGTTTAGCACACATGTCAGAGTCTTCATCAGAGTTATCTCCACAGTCATCCTCTCCATCACACACCCAGATGTAAAGCTTACACAGTGTGTTGGTACAGACAAACTCATCCGCACGGCAAGAGTGGGCTGCTGCAAGAGAAACAATATAGTAGGAAACAAAATATGTTTTTTCACCAAAATTTGATCTTTCACCAAAATATGATTTTTCACAAAAAATACGATTTTTCACAATAAATAAGGTTTTTCACCCAAAATAAGTTTTTTGAGAAAAATACGATTTGTTACCAAAATATTATTTGTCACCTAAATATTATTTGTCACCTAAATATGTTTTTTCGCCAAAATAAGATTTTTCCCAGGTCGCCAGGAGAGTAATACTCAATAGGTCAGAGGTGGGACCAAGTCACTATTATCTGAGTCACAAGCAAGTCTCAAGTCTCAAGGTCCCAAGTCTCAAGTCTCAAGTCTCAAGTCTCAAGTCTCAAGTCTCAAGTCTCAAGTCTCAAGTCTCAAGTCTCAAGTCTCAAGTCTCAAGTCTCAAGTCTCAAGTCTCAAGTAGAACTGGTCAAGTCAATAACACAAAAAATACAACGACTTGTTTAACTACAAATCTTTGTCTATTTATTGAGGCTTTCAGACAGCCCTTTTCATTATTTTGTCTACAACACATTTTGATTATATAACAATTAATTTTAACAACAAATTCCAAATGCAAAATGTATAAGTACATGATCAATTTCAAGCAATTTTGACATACCAAAAGACCAGTAGGCATATGCTAGTAATTGTTGCTTGATGCCCCATTGCTGGTGAGCTTGCAAAGTAAACAGTAAAATATTCTTGATCATCAAACAATATTTTGAGCTTCATATTTATCTATGGCAGTCCTCTCTCCCTACAATTTGACATTTGACCTGCACCCGATCCTATTGCTGTACAGCAAATCAGCAATCTGTTCAATAGCTCACCCAACCTGTGTTGATTGACCGTTTGCTGGTCCAATCAGTGGGCAGAGTGTGTGTTTCACTAGCCAATCTGTTGCACGTTTTCTTTGCAAGTGCGATGCTGCGGCTACTGTCTCTGGCTGCGTGGAAAGTAATCCACTGAGACTGTGCCTCAAAATGACTTACAAACCTGTCCAGATCACTTCAAGTCATCAGTCTCTAGTCAAAGTCGAGTCCCGAGTCTTGAGGCTCCAAGTCGAAGTCGAGTCTCAAGTCATGACATTTTTGATTAGAGTCAGACTCGAGTCCGAGTCATGTGAATCGAGTCCACACCTCTGCAATAGTTTGAGCTTGACTGCTTTTCTGAGAAGATGAGGGTACAGCTGTTTCTCTCTATATTGATTAATACTGCAACCCACTTTCCACTTGCCTCACCCATCCAGTGGTGTAAAGTACTTAAGTAAAAATTATTTAAAGTACTCCTTAAGTAGTTTTTTTGGGGTATCTGTACTTTACTTTACTATTTATATTTAGTAACTTTTACTTTACTGCATTCTTAAAGAAAATAATGTACTTTTTACTCCATACATTTTCCCTGACACCCAAAAGTACTCATTTAGAATGCTTAGCAGGACACGAAAATGGAAAACTCATGCACTTATCAAGAGAACATCCCTGGTCATACCTACTGTCTCTGATCTGGCGGACTCACTAAACACAAATGTGTTGTTTGTAAATTATGTTGGAGTGTTGGAGTGTGCCCCTGGTTAGCCGTAAACACATTTTTAAAAAGCCGTCTGGTTTGCTTAAAATAAAGAATTTTAAATGATTTATATTTTTACTTTTGATACTTAAGTATATGTTAGCAATTATATTTAGTTTTGACACTTAAGTATATTTAAAACCAAATACTTTTACTCAAGCAGTATTTTACTGGGTGACTTTCACTTGAGTCATTTCCTATTAAGGTATTTTTACTTTTATTCAAGCATGACAATTGGGTACTTTTTCCACCAGTGCACCCATCAACCTCTCCTCACCATTACAGAGAGCACTCTGACTGAAAGGAGACGGCAATGGACACACACTTTTAACATAACACTGACTGAGTGAATAATACATCACACATGCTGTAAAGAACATTGTGTGTGTGGTGTGTGTGTATGAACGAGTGTGTGTTCTAGGCTCACCCTGGACACAGTTATGCTCATCACTGTGATCCACACAGTCAGGCAGGGCATCACAGTGCCAGCGGCTGGGGATGCAGTGAGCTCTGTTCAGGCACAGGAACTCATCCTCCCTGCACTCCCTCACACAGTCTACCTGTCGGCACAACACACACACGCAAGTCTCATAAGGGCTGTCAGAAAAACAACAAACACCCCTGTCCGCCACCAAACCATTCCACTGCTAGGTCTCAATAAGGCGAAAGAAAGAAAGAAGAAGAAGAAGAAGAGAAGAAGAAAGAAAGACGAGAAAAGATAAGACAAAGAAGACAGACGACATACGAAGAGACACCCAGATCAGAAACGAATCCATCCATCCGAAGACGAATAAGCCGACAGAAGACGATCCTACCTCTCCTCCGTCCTCCTCCGCCCCTCAATCATCCTCCTCCTCCGCCTCCTCCTCCTCCTCCAGCCCGCCTCCGCCTCCTCCTCCGCCCTCCCTCCGAAACCAAGAAGAAAAAAGAAAAAGAAAGAAAGTAAGAAAAAGAAGAAGAAGATGTTGTCCATTTTCAGATCAAATGTGTCTTTTATTTTTTCAAAACATGAATGATGTCTTATAAACTGTGAGTTATAGGTTGAATTAAGCAACATGTCCCCTGACACTAAATACTTGGCCTTGGTGTAATTACTTTAATATATAATGCATGAGGCTAGGATGCACGTTGTTCTCTCCAGGGGGCTGTGGAGAAAGACCTTATTAAAAGAGAGGTAGGCTGCCACTGCATGGAGGTGAACTACTGACTCTGAACTAAGAGCATGGTTTTAATTACACTTAGGTCCTACGGGATCCTGTTTGGAGGAAACAGGCAAACATGACCAAACTGCTTGTATTCAGGTATTTGAGAGATGAGGACGTTGATTGCCAAAAGCAGTCTTTACATTTACATTTGAGTCATTTAGCAGACGCTCTTATCCAGAGCGACTTACAGTTAGTGAGTGCATACATTTTCATACTGGCCCCCCGTGGGAAACGAACCCACAACCCTGGCATTGCAAGCGCCATGCTCTACCAACTGAGCTACAGGGGACTATTTTACACACAGATGAGTAGTGCTGGCAATCATACAACAACATTTCAGGGGGATTTTCCATGAAAATATGGGGCAGGTTAATAATGACACATGTTCCAATTTTCTGATGTCGATGACCTTATGAACAAATGTCATACATAAAGGCAAACAGACATGAAAGGTATCCTGCATTATCGCACAGACGATGAGGCTCAGCGACTACAATCAGGGATGGCAATCAGGGCTTTATCAGAGAGCACTCACCTCATCAGAACCATCTGAGCAGTCTCTCTGGCCGTCACACCTCAGGGTGGCCGACACACAGCCTCCCCCGACACACTCATACTCACTCAGGGCACAGGACGGAAGGACCGCTGAAACAGAAAATATAGCACTTTTGTTCAAAATGACTTATAGTACAGTGAGTGCATACATTTGTATTATGTGTAGTTATTGAACCCACAACCTTGATGTTGCTAGCTCCACGCTCTTACCAACTGAGCCACACAGGACCACTCTAGACAAAAGAAGCTGATGACAGAGACAATCCCCATTAAACCAGTGCTGAAAATACATCTCAACTGGTCAAGACACCACCTGGTATACAGTACAAGTGCAACACAAAGGCTGCAGATACAGAGACAGAGTTGCTTCAGAGAGCCCATCCTGAGTGCTATTCCTAGTGTGTTTTGGAGCACTTTGGTCCCATCAGAGAAATTCACTCTCACTCCCATCTGGACTCACTGGGAGAGAGAGGGAAAAGCTTTTTCATGCATGTCACGGTGTGGCCCTTCCAATTGGAGGAATTTACAGTGCAAGTGCAGCCACAGCTGTCCACAGGTACTCTCCATATAAATATATAAAGAAAGTACTCAGCTAAAATATTAAAAACAATTTATTACGAGAGAGAAAGAGAGCGAGAGAGCGAAAGAGGGAGAAAGAGAGAGAGAGAGGGTCCTCTATATTGTTATTGTTCAATGGTTATTTTGACCCTTGGTTATTGTTGTTACTGTTGTCCCGTTGACAATATTGATCATGATTATTTTAATTATGTTAATATTGTAAATATCCAAAGTAAGCTTTGGCAATATGTACATTGTTACGTCATGCCAATAAAGCAAATGTTCTATTCAATTCAATTCAATAGATAGATAGAGAGAGAGAGAGATAGAGATAGAGAGAGAGAGAGAGAGAGAGAGAGAGAGAGAGAGAGAGAGAGAGAGAGACAGAGACAGAGACAGAGACAGAGACAGAGACAGAGACAGAGAGAGAGAGAGAGAGAGAGAGACAGAGACAGAGACAGAGACAGAGACAGAGACAGAGAGAGAGAGACAGAGACAGAGACAGAGACAGAGATAGAGAGACAGAGAGAGAGAGAGAGACAGAGACAGAGAGACAGAGACAGAGACAGAGACAGAGACAGAGACAGAGACAGAGACAGAGACAGAGACAGAGACAGAGACAGAGAGAGAGAGACAGAGAGAGAGAGAGAGACAGACAGAGAGAGAGACAGAGAGAGAGACAGAGAGAGACAGAGACAGAGACAGAGAGAGAGAGAGAGAGAGAGAGAGAGAGAGAGAGAGAGACAGAGATATCTCGGTGAGAGAGACATACAGCTCATTTTAATTTCACACCTCTAGTTAGCAGACAGGAAAGAAGGCCAGCTTGCTGATATCGAACCATCTGCTTGAGATTTGAAGTGCCTTGAAGCTACTCTGGCCTTGCATTTATTTCTCCACAAGACTTAAAGTTTGGCATACATTCAATTCATGCAATGAAGCACAAAGGGATTCCGAATCTTAGAATAAATGTGAATGTCAGGATATACTACAGTGGAGTGAAATCTGTAATTGCTGTCAACTGAGAATTGGTCCACGTGTGGGAATACGTCTGTTTGTTTCTGAAGGTATTAAAGGTTATTTTCTAGCTGTCAATGCAAGACAGTAGGCTATAAAAAAGCGACCGTTCCTGAACACAAACGAACACAAACAAACACACAGTCCCCCAATCACAAGGTGAGTGACCAACACAAGCATGCTTTCCAACGGAGGGCAGTATTAACATGGTTGTAGGCTTTGAGTAAGACAGTGAAAGCAAGTCCCCACCTACAGCCACAGCCAGAAACAGCAGATATCCAACAGCTATCCAACAGCTATACAGTAAGTAATCAGGTGTGTGTGTGTGTGTGTCTGTGTGCTCATACCAGGTCCTTGACAGTTCCTCTCGTCTTCCCCCATCTTACAGTCCTCCTGGCCGTCACAGAGCCACTTGTTGGAGATGCAGAGGTGATTGAGACACTGGAACTGGTCGGCAGGGCACGAGCGTGTCTCACAGCCTTTTTCATCAGAGTTATCAGCACAGTCACTGTCACCATCACAATGGAAACGAGCAGAGATGCACTCCCCGTTGGCACACACAAAGTCCCTGGAGGGGCAGGTGGCCGGCTCTGAGAGGTATAAGAGAATAAGGAATGACAGTGATTTTAGATGCATGACAGTGAGTTTCCCCAGGACATTCCTCATCATACCAAGCAGAAGTATTTGTTGGTAGTTATATTAGGTTGCTGTGTTTTGCGCAATCATGTCACATGACCTGGATTTTTACCTTTAAAGCGTTTTCATTGAACGTTCCCCTTTTCTTTTTATGTCAGATGATCCAGCATCATACTCAGACAATCGCTTTCATTTTTGGTGTAATTGTCATTTCTGGAGAAGGCTTCAAATACAGGATAACATTTTGCTACGTCACATGATTGCGCAAAACACAGTGCTCTAGTTATAGTGTCAGGGAGTATGCAAGTTATATAGTATTATACAAAAGTTCATTCCAAGTTCATTCCTTCCAGTGTAAATAAGAGACAGAAGATGAGGGACTTACTGCAGTTCTGTTCATCTGAGTTGTCTCCACAGTCACTCTGTCCATCACACCTCCAGTGTTCCGGGACACAGTTGTTGTTCTGGCACCGGAACTCATGAGGGCCGCATGTCTTCTCATCTAGGCACAGAAACAACAAGACAGTCCATAAAGACGTAAAACAAGTGTCTGGAACGGTATCCATGTTGACGTTTTGCATATTGTCATGTTGCCAGGTGTGTGTGATCGTGATCGTCACTCCCTTTTCTCTATGGAAGATAACAAGACGATAAATAATCAAGAGTAAGACATTACTTTCCATACTGTATATAAACGCCAGCTACTGTCAAGATGAAAGACTAGAAGAACAGTAACTTTCCTGTCCTCTTTCTAAAATAACAACTTAGTAATCTTGTCTCTACATAGTGTCCCAACACTGTAAAATCAGCAATGTGAATTCCTCTCATCTCCCTGTTGGACTAATCCTATCGGGAGAATAGATAAATACATAATGCATTATTAATTGACAATCAAACAGCACCATGTACGAGAGCTAATTCCCCAGACTTAGTATGACATTAACAGAATTCAAATTTGACCTGAGAATACTGCGGTAGTTGAGTACTAAATACATTCATCCCCATGCCTGAAAGATTTATATTCACATTCTAGAATTAAGAAAGAAAACTAATTTGCTGGGAATTCCAGAACTCTTATGTCGTTGCTTGTCGTCGATGAAGTTAAGTCAAAGCCAGTGGGTGTATACAATATGTTCTGTAAGTGTGCATGTCTCCTCTCATGCTTAATATCTGTCAGGCTGTCATTGGAAGAGAAGAAACCTTTAAATATGACCCACAGAGAAAATAAAAAAAATGGAGCACTGACTGAAAACCAGACTGAGAATGACTCAAATCATAGAGAGACCTTACTGTCATCCCTTCGATCCCCCTAAATGTCACCATTAAATGCACAGGCAGCAGTGGAAATGCCAAGGTCAAGCCCTAGCAGTCCATTTGATGAGAGGAAGAGCCAGTAGAAGGCCTTAACCTCCTCCAGCTAATCTCTGGAGCTGGCCATATTAACAAGTGCTTTATGAGCATATCAAACACTAGTCAGCATTAATGAGGTGGTCACCATTCAAAACTGTCAATTGATGTCTGCATAACATTTTCATTTACATTTTCGTCATTTAGCAGACGCTCTTATCCAGAGCGACTTACAAATTGGTGCATTCACCTTATGATAGCCAGTGGGACAACCACTTTACAATAGTTATTATTATTATTATAATTTTTTTGGGGGGGTGGGGTAAGGGGGGGTAGAAGGATTACTTTATCCTATCCCAGGTATTCCTAATGTTATCTATCACATTCAATTTAAGTCGACACATTTGCGTTTAGCTGCTCAAAGCTTGTATATACACTGTAGTACAACGAGACACAAAGTCGAGATACAAAGGTCCCTTTAGAGTAGGCCACTCCATTGAAAGCAAAATTGCTACAATAGACTAGACTGGACTGGACTACACTCTTAGAAAAAAAGTTGCTATCTAGAACCTAATAGGGTTCTTCAGCTGTCCCCATAGGAGAACCCTTTGAAGAAACCCTTTTGGTTCCAGGTAGAACCCTTTTGGGGATTCTACATGGAACCCAACAGGGTTCTACCTGGAACCAAAAAGGGTTCTCCTATGGGGACAACCAAAGAAACCTTTTGGAACCCTTTTTTCTAAGAGCGTAGACCAGAATATAATATAACATACATTGCCTTCAGAAAGTATTCATACCCCTTGACTTATTCCACATTTTGTTGTGTTACATTTTGTTAGAGTCGCCTTTGGCAGTGATTACAGCTGTGAGTCTTTCTGGGTAAGTCTCTAAGAGCATTGCACACATGGATTGTACAATATTTGCACATAAAAAAAATCTTCAAGCTCTCTCAAGTTGGTTGTTGATCATTGCTAGACAGCCATTTTTTGATGTCTTGCCATACTTTTTCAAGCCATTGTAAGTCAAAACTGTAACTAGGCCACTAAGAAACATTCGATGTTGTCTTGGTAAGCAACTCCTGGGTATATTTGGCCTTGTGTTTTCGGTTATGGTCCTGCTGAAAGGTGAATTTGTCTCCCAGTGTCGACTGAACCAGGTTTTCCTCTAGGACTTTTCCTGTATAATTGGTCACATACACGTGTTTAGCAGATGTTATTGCGGCTGTAGCGAAATGCTTGTGTTTCTAGCTCCAACAGTGCAGTAATATCTAACAAGTAATATCTAACAATTTCACAACATATACCCAATACACACAAATCTAAGTAAAGCAATGGAATTAAGTGGCCAGTGATTTCTAATCTATGTATATTGGCAGCAGCCTCTAATGTGCTAGTGAAGGCTATTTAACATTCTGATGGCCTTGAGATAGAAGCTGTTTTTCAGTCTCTCTGTCCCAGCTTTGATGCACCTGTACTGACCTCGCCTTCTGGATGATAGCGGGGTGAACAGGCAGTGGCTTGGATAGTTGTTGTCCTTGACTATCTTTTTGGCCTTCCTGTGACATTGGGTACTGTAGGTGTCCTGGAGGGCTGGTAGTTTGCCCCCGGTGATGCGTTGGGCAGACCGCACCACCCTCTGGAGAGCCCTGAGTTGCGGACGGTGCAGTTGCCGTACCAGGCAGTGATACAGCCCAACAGGATGCTCTCAATTGTGCATCTGTAAAGGTTTGTGAGGGTTTTAGGTGCCAAGCCAAATTTCTTCAGCCTCCTGAGGTTCTTCTTCACCACACTGTCTGTGTAGGTGGACCATTTCAGTTTGTCAGTGATGTGTATGCCGAGGAACTTGAAGCTTTCCACCTTCTCCACTGCGGTCCCGTTGATGTGGATAGGGGGGTGTTCCCTCTGCTGTTTCCTGAGGTCCACGATCATCTCCTTTGTTTTGTTAACATTGAGTGAGAGGTTATTGTCCTGGCACCACACCCCAGAGCCCTCACCTCCTCCCTGTAGGCTGTCTCGTCATTGTTGGTAATCAAGCCTACTACTGTTGTGTCGTCTGCAAACTTGATGATTGAGTTGGAGGCGTGCTTGGCCACGCAGTCATGGGTGAACATGGAGCACAGGAGGGGGCTGAGCACGCACCCTTGTGGGGCCCCATTGTTGAGGATCAGCGAAGTGGAGGTGTTGTTTCCTACCTTCACCACGTGGGGGTGGCTTGTCAGGAAGTCCAGGACCCAGTTGCACAGGGTGGCGTTCAGACCCAGGGCCTCGAGCTTATTGATGAGCTTGGAGGGTACTATGGTGTTGATGAGTTATAGTCAATGAACAGCATTCTTACATAGGTATTCCTCTTGTCTCTTAGCTCTATTCTGTTTATTTTTATCCTAACAAACTCTGTAGTCCTTGCAGATGAGCATATCCATAACATGATGCAGTCACCACCATGATTGAAAATATAAAGAGTGGTACTCAGTGATGTGTTGTGTTGGATTTGCCCCAAACATAATGCTTTGTATTCAGCACATAAAGTTATATTCTATTTTAAAGTTCTATTCTATTTTATGAGGTTTTACTTAACTGCCTTATTGCAAACAGAATGCATGTTTTGGAATATTTTCCGTCTTTTCACTCCGTCGTTTAGATTAATGTTGTTAATCCATCCTCAGTTTTTTTCTATCACAGCCATTAAACTCTGTAACTGTTTTAAAGTCACCACTGGCCTCACGGTGAAATCCCTGAGCCGTTTCCTTCCTCTCCGGCAACTGAGTTAGGAAGCACGCCTATATCTATGTAGTGACTGTGTGAATTGATACACCATCCAAAGTGTAATTAATAACTTCACCATGCTCAAAGGGATATTCAATGTCCGCTTTTTTAACATTTTGCCCATAGGTGCCCTTCTTTGCGAGGCATTGGAAAACCTCCCTGGTCTTTGTGGTTGAATCTGTGTTTGAAATTCACTACTCGATTGCAGAAGCTTACAGATAATTGTATGTGTGGGGTACAGAGATGAGGTAGTCATTCAAAAATAATGTTAAACACTTATTGCACACAGAGTCCATTGCAAGTTATTATGTGTTATGTTAAGCAAATCTTTACTCCTAAACTTATTTAGGCTTGCCATGACAAAGGGGTTGAATACTTATTGACTGAAGACATTTCAGCTTTTCATTTTTTATTAATTTATAAACATTTCAAAAAACATAATTCCACTTTGACATTATGGGGTATTGTGTGTAGGCCAGTGACACAACATCTAAATGTAATCCATTTAAAATTCTGGCTATAATACAACAAAATCTGGAAAAAGTCAAGGGGTGTGTGAATACTTTCTGAAGGCACTGTAGTACAATAGAATAGAATATAAATAGAATAGTAGAACTCACCACAGTTGGCCTCGTCCGATCCATCGGCACAGTCCGGGTCCTCGTCACACACCCACAGGGCTGAGATACAGTGCATGGAGGTCTTACACTGGAACTGGTTGGCAGCGCAGGTACTCTCAGCTGGGGATGGAGACCGATGGCACAGGATATAGAAAATAAAGAGTTTAACAGGTGTATGAAGGATAAAGACGAAAAGAGATGTCATCATGTGCTATAAAAAAATGACCAGTTAACCAGTCTATATAAAATTGGCAAAACTTGTAGGCTAATGCAACTGACGGTACCAAAATGATCAAAAATGACCAAAACAATAGCAATACACATTTATTGTAGTTACATCAAATTCACACAAATCATTTTCTATGTGGCCTACAAAACTAGGGTGTGGAGCAATAGAGAAAGTTAAATGAGGTGTAAATTAGATTCATTTTTCCTCCACACCCTTGCTCCTTATGCCACAGTACCCTGACATCCACAGCACAGCTTCCTCTTTCCCAGCAGGAGGGGGATGGAGGTGGTTCGAGCTCCAGCTGCATCTCTAAACCCTCAGCCCTCCCAGCATGATTAGCCCTGGTTAAACCTCCCTCTGTCTCAGAAAGGCATCCCCTCAGCCCTCAGAAGCAGGCTAAACCTCCTTCTGTCTGCCCTAATCTGCACCCTGGGTGAGACTCAGCTGCTGGAATCCCTTCTCTGTCTCTCTCTGTCGCTCACACGCGCGCACACGCAAAACACACACGGGGCTCTATTTTCGGCTGGCGGTAAGGAGGCGCAAGTGTCAAACGCACGTTAGTTTACATAATTTCGTCATGTACAAACTGGCGGTAACGCCAGGTTTGTCCGTTTACCTGTCTAATGTCAGCTGGTTTGCGCTGAGGTGGGAGGGGTGGAAATATTTGAGGTGTGTCCTTAAGAACGTGCGCCAATATGCCAATTTCAGTGAGTGCAACTAGGGATATTTAAGACCGATCAAAAGCTGGTTTTAGCCGTAACGCAATTGGTTATGACATTGATTTTGCCAGCGGATGCGCACACAGTAGCCTTAGTACATCACCAATGATTTATCAAAATATCATGAACACTCAACAGAAATTCCCCTTTTTTATTTATCTTGGACATTATTTTTGTCCAGCTTCTGTGAAACGTTTCAACTCATTATGTGCCATGCCCATTGCATGAAAGGTGTCAATGACTATAGGAAGCCTGTTTAGGAACATCAAGTTATAAAACAAATCTTAATAATTGAACATCAAGTTATTCATTTTGTCAAAAAAATGCATCTTCCACTTTCCTCTGTTGGAACTGTCAAATCGCGGGAATTTCGATAGCTGTCCGTGGTGCTGAATCCGCTTTAAGGCTATATTTGCCTGTTTTGTTACCTTTCACTTGGCAAAGTCACTATGGCCATTTCAACAGCGATGGTAGGCTATAGCTATATACAGTATACTTGGGAGCAGTAACGGTGAGAGGACATTCCCCCTTTCTCTTTATATTGGATCTTTTTCCAGCTCCTGTGAAAAGTTTGGATGTGCATAAAACCCTCCATAGTCTACGTTGTCGCCTAATATTACAGTATATGCCCACGGGGACCAATTGTGGTGCCTGTAATTGTATTTAGACATAGCCTATTTAAAACAAGTTGTTGTTTCGTTTTATGAGAATTTGATTAGAATTATTCACTCTCTTTTTAGGTCTTATCAATTAGTGAATTTAATATTGCTTATTGACAACGTTTGGCATGTCCATGGCTAATGCATTTTACAATAGGCCTATAGCAGTGCAAATGCTATGTTAACAATATATTTCCATATTGAAGCCATGCAATCACTGTTCCTAAAACATGTTCAACATATTTATCAAATATGGGATAGGCCCACATTTTGTTATTTTGTTTCTGTAGGCTATTTAACACAATAGGCTATAATGGACTAACATTCGACTAGGAGTTGATGACAACGCAATACACAAAATACCATAAATACACACTGAGAGCTTGGGACTATAAGGTTCTATCTACATTTTTGTCAAAGTTCTCTACCTATATAGTACTTTAAATATCCTAACTCCCTCCCTCCCTCCCCCACCCAGCTCCACCTTCCCCCAGCCTACCAGCATGGCTCAGCCCCCTGCTGGTGCAATTACCAGTGTCTTCCTCTCTGTTCCCACTCTGTTCCCAGTGCCCTCAAGGCAACACAGCTCTACCACTGTGCCAGGCTGGGGCTGGATGTGACTGCAGCCAGAGACAGGGGTGCAGGGAGGGGCAGGGAGGGAGATTAGACTGCTTCTAGGGCTGGAGCTCTGAGACGAGTCGTTAACCCACCACTGTGATCTAATAAGGCGTTCATGGATGGTGTGTATGTGTGAGTGTCTTGAGACCCTGCTCCAGTGTGTCTTAGAGCTGTCACTTTGATTCATGATGACAACCAGACAGGTGTAATTACAAGTACTTACGAATACCCTCAGGCTCTCTCTCTCTCTGTCTCTCTCTCTGTCTCTCTCTGTCTCTCTCTCTGTCTCTCTCTCTGTCTCTCTCACACACATGAGGAATTGTCTCATAACCTTTACCTGGTGCTGTAGATTTCAGACAAGTGAAGAAAGCACCCATGAGTTCAGAACTTTAAAATGTCAAGACAGAGGGATAACAAGCAGGGGATGAAACTCCAATCAAACTCCACAGTGAAGTCAAACTAGGTCAACTAAAAGGAAACGCACATACTTTCCGTATTATAACAAGAACATCTGGCTTTTATTAATCATGGACCTTCCATGTGTCTACGAGCAGAATTAACCAGGTATGGCAGTATGAACATAGAAGGATGGGGACTTTCTATAATCCAAAGAGAATTGCTAACAGGGTGAATGACTGACCAAGACTTGAAGATCAGAGAGGAAGTCACAGAGTCTGTCTGTTCAGGGGGCTGAGTATCTCTCTACTGTTCCTTTCTTTTCCTTTTGTCATTCATCAAAGGGTTGTCTCCCGCTAAAGAAATGACCAGAGTGCCAACAACTAAAGCCTTTTCAATACTTTATTATCTAAGTCTTGCACAGGCTCATTTTTCATGGCCAAGTGAAAGTGAAATCCCCAGATAAAAAGTTCAGAGCTGTCAAACTTTCATCACATAGTTTTAGCCTGTTATTTAAGACCGCATCGATATAGAGAACCGTCTATCTACAGATTATTTGATTCTTACGGCAGTCTGTCTCGTCCTCTCCATCTCCACAGTCGTCCTGTCCGTTACAACGCAGGTTCAGTGGGATGCACTTCTGACGCTTCCTGCATTTGAACTGTCCAGATAGACAGATGTAGGATTCTGTAGATAGTATGAACAAAGGTGTTAGTCTTAGCCGAGGTAGTCTAGAACGTCGTTTTTGATAGTTGTGGGAAACATTTGGGCGGATTCAGAATAGGATGGATATTGTCACATTTATTTCCTTTATTTAAGCAGGTAAGTAATGAGAATGCATTCTCTTTTACAATAATGACCAGAAATGTGAAGAAATGTGTATAATAGGACAAAAGGTCTTTACCACAGTTGGCTTCATCAGAGTTGTCCCCACAATCGTTCTCCCCATCACAGATAAACGGAGGCAGAGCACAGAGACCAGTCCCACACTGGAACCTCCCTGGCTGGCATTTAAACTCAGCTGTGAGGAAAGAACAGAAACACACACATACACACACACACACACACACATTGCACTGACTTTGTAGACACACGCTTAATGGACACGACCAGGGAGAAGGGTTGTAACATTTTCTGTACTGTACTGTGCAGTTTGTGTCCTGCTCCACTAGGGGGCTGTGAATTGTTTGTGTAATTGTGAATTGGTGTGTACAGAACATTTTACAACCCCTACTTGGACCTTGTCAAGTGTGTGTGTGTGTTAATGGTGACTCACGGCAGTCTGGAGGCTCGTCCGACCCGTCCCCACAGTCATCCACTGTGTCACACTTCCACCAGAAGGGGATGCATTCGTCTGTCCCACAGCGAAACTATAGGACACAACAACAGCAGAAAGCTTCAGATATCATCATCATCATCATCAACATCGTCATCGTCATCGTCATCATCATCGTCATCATCATCGTTATCGTCGTCATCATTCAGAAAGATTTTGGGACACCAAAGTACCTTCATTGAAACTACAAATACTAAAACCAGAGCCCCTGTTTGTCCCTGCCCATCTTCTGTAAACATATGAAAACATACCTCTTCAAAATGTATCTTGAATTATCCCACAGCACCCCCCTACTCCCCCTCCAACTAGCACGGACTTAGCTGGTAGCTGCATTATTGGGTGGCAGGTACAGTAGCCTTCAAGGTTAGAGCGTTGGGCCAGTAACCGAAAGGTCACTGATTTGAATTCCGAAGCCGACAAGGTAAAAAAAATGCCGCTGTACCCTTGAGCAAGGCACTTAACCCAATTGATCCAGGGGCGCTGGACAATGGTGACCCTGGTCGTGACCCCACTCCCTATGGGTGTCTCGGTTGGAGTTGGGATATGCAAGAAAGACATTTCCATTACACACTTGTACAAGTGTATAACAGGTCAAATATAAGCACTCCCCTAATTTTTACTGAGGAAAGATTCACTAAATGTAAGTCGCTCTGGATAACAACGTCTGCTAAATGACTAAAATGTAAAATCTTTTTGTAAGCAGTAGGAGAAAAGGGCCACTGACCTGGCTGGCTGTGCAGTTGGACAGGCAGGTCTTGTTGTCTGCAGCCAGGTAGAAGTGGGTGGGGCAGGCACACCTGTAACCTCCCCCGGGGGAGAGCAGACACAGGTGGCTGCAGCCTCCGTTGGTCACCTGACACTGGTGTTTGGGCACTGCGGCGAAGAGAGGGAGAGGGAGGCTAAAACCAACATCCACAGCTAGAGCCATTTCCCCTCCACTCTGCTGTCAGCATCATTAGTCTGAGGGCACGTTTGCTCATTACAAAAAAGAAATATCCCTCTCCCTCGAAGGCATGCAGACACCACACACACACACACACACACACACACTGAGTCATAGATAATTACCGTCGGGCTGGCGGAGAGGGTGGTACACCTTGATGTTGTGGATGGCTCTCCAGTATCTGAGCAGCTCTGCTCCCTGAGCCCCGGAGGTCTTGTGGGCCCGGTTCAGAGACTTGGACTTCTCATCCGTCCAATAGATGACATCCTCAAACAGAGTCAGCCCCGTCACCTCCCGGATGCCTTGACTAAGCACTGGAATGGAATACACACTGATTATTCAGAGTCTGGAATACGCGTGAACGCACACACACATACACACACAGCTCGTCCTGAGTAATTGCTGTGACAAGCTGCCAGGCTCTGTGATGTTTTATTGCTGGTAAAGAGGAGTAAAGACGTGACTAAATGGACTGTCCATCCGTCCGTCTGTCAGCATGGCTTAGTAGAGCAGGGAGAAGACTATAGTAACTATTGCAGCTAATCACAAACTAGCTGTTGAAGATGAAAAACTGAAATGAAATGAACAATAAAAATATGTTGAGAATGTTTAATGCTTGAACATTATGGTTTGTTTGTGAACCAAATAGCACTGGGTGAAAATTGTGTTAGAACAAATTAATAACTAAGTGTATGGAACACGCATAATAATGACTTGGCTCACACTCAGTTTCTATGGAGTTGAATCAATCATGGACAAACATTTTCACAGTAATGTCAAGGCTTTTATCTAAAGTCTGAAAAAGTACATTAAGCAATCAATGACAAACTGACCTTGAATCTGCACAAATGAATATTTACAAAGCCAATTGAGCTACTACATTTTGAGAGGTGAGATAGATAGATAGATAGATACAGTTGAAGTCGGAAGTTTACATACACCTTAGCCAAATACATTTAAATTCATTTTTTCACAATTCCTGACATTTAATCCTAGTAGAAATGCCCTGTCTTAGGTCAGTTAGGATCACCACTTTATCTTAAGATTGTGAAATGTCAGAATAATAGAGTAAAGATAATTATTTATTTCAGCTTTTATTTCTTTCATCACATTCCCAGTGGGTCAGAAGTTTACATACACTCAATTCGTATTTGGTAGCATTGCCTTTCAATTGTTTAACTTGGGTCAAACTTTTCGGGTAGCCTTCCACAAGCTTCCCACAATAAGTTGGGTGAATGTTTGGCCCATTCCTCCTGACAGAGCTTGTGTAACTGAGTCAGGTTTGTAGGCCTCCTTGCTCGCACACGCTTTTTCAGTTCTGCCCACACATTTTCTATAGGATAGAGGTCAGGGCTTTGTGATGGCCACTCCAATACCTTGACTTTGTTGTCCTTAAGCCATTTTGCCACAACATTGGAAGTATGCTTGGGGTCATTGTCCATTTGGAAGACCCATTTCCGACCAAGCTTTAACTTCCTGACTGATGTCTTGAGATGTTGCTTCAATATAGCCACATCATTTTCCTTCCTCATGATGCCATCTATTTTGTGAAGTGCACCAGTCCCTCCTGCAGCCAAGCACCCCCACAGCATGATGCTTCCACCCCCATGCTTCACGGTTGGGATGGTGTTCTTCAGCTTGCAAGTATCCCCCTTTTTCTTCCAAACATAACGATGGTCATTATGGCCAAACAGCTATATTTTTGTTTCATCAGACCAGAGGACATTTCTCCAGAAAGTACGATCTTTGTCCCCATGTGCAGTTGCAAACCGTAGTCTGGCTTTTTTATGGCGGTTTTGGAACAGTGGCTTCTTCCTTGCAGAGCGGCCTTTCAGGTTATTTTGATATAGGACTCGTTTTACTGTGGATATGTAAGGGATCGGGGGTTGGCTGGGTCTAGACAGAGTCTGACACTTCCCCGATCTACTGAGAGGGGGAGTCATCAGACTCGATCTGGTTCACCTGAGTTCTGAGCACACCTGTCCGTAATTAGGGTAGGATATAAGGTGTGCTCAGAAGTTCAGTCGGTGCGAGGTATTGTTCCATTGTGACTTGCTAAGCGTTTTGTTCCGAGAGAGAGAGAGAGAGTTTGTTGTTTTTGATTACCCGTGTATCCGACCTGTGCCTTGTTGTTTGACTCCCCGAATTGCTTAACCCTCTGCTTGTCTATCCCAGTGATTACCGTACTCTGACCCTGTGCCTGTGCCCTCGACTACGACTACGCCCGCTCCCTTGGTACCTCTGCCTGTCTATGCCTGGCCCGGTTTTGACCACAGCCCGCCCGACCACGATTAAGCTATTCCCTTGTCTGTACTCTAATAAAGCATCGCTATTCTGCGATTGGATCTTACCACTCTGTCCGAGTATTCATTACAGGATATAGATACTTTTGTACCTGTTTCCTCCAGCATCTTCACAAGGTCCTTTGCTGTTGTTCTGTGATTGATTTGCACTTTTCGCACCAAAGTACATTCATCTCTAGGAGACAGAACGCGTCTCCTTCCTGAGTGGTATGACGGCTGCGTGGTCCCATGGTGTTTATACTTGCGTACTATTGTTTGTACAGATGAACGTGGTACCTTCAGGCGTTTGGAAATTGCTCCCAAGGATGAACCAGACTTGTGGAAGTCTACAATTTTTTTTGGAGGTCTTGGCTGGTTTCTTTTCATTTTCCCATGATGTCAAGCAAAGTGGCACTGAGTTTGAAGGTAGGCCTTGAAATACATCCACAGGTACACCTCCAATTGACTCAAATGATGTCAAATAGCCTATCAGAAGCTTCTAAAGCCATGACATCATTTTCTGGAATTTTCCAAGCTGTTTAAAGGCACAGTCAACTTAGTGTATGTAAACTTATGACCCACTGAAATTGTGGTACAGTGAATTATAAGTGAAATAATCTGTCTGTAAATAATTGTTGGAAAAATTACTTGTGTCATGCACAAAGTAGATGTCCTAACCGACTTGCCAAAACTATAGTTTGTTAACAAGACATTTGTGGAGTGGTTGAAAAACAAGTTTTAATGACTCCAAACTAAGTGTATGTAATTTTCCGACTTAACTGTAGATACAGTAGATACAGTGGCTTGCGAAAGTATTCACCCCCCTTGGCATTTTTCCTATTTTGTTGCCTTACAACCTGGAATTTAAATTGATTTTTGGGGGGGGGGGTTGTATCATTTGATTTACACAACATGCCTACCACTTTGAAGATGCAATGTTTTTGTTGTTGTGTGAAACAAATAAGAAATAAGACAAAAAAACAGAACACTTGAGCGTATATAACTATTCACCCCCCCCCCCCCAAAGTCAATACTTTGTAGAGTCACCTTTTGCAGCAATTAAAGCTGCAAGTCTCTTGGGATATGTCTCTGTAAGCTTGGCACATCTAGCCACTGGGATTTTTGCCCATTCTTCAAGGCAAAGCTGCTCCAGCTCCTTCAAGTTGGATGGGTTCCGCTGGTGTACAGCAATCTTTAAGTCATACCACAGATTCTCAATTGGATTGAGGTCTGGGCTTTGACTAGGCCATTCCAAGACATTTAAATGTTTCCCCTTAAACCACTCGGGTGTTGCTTTAGCAGTATAATTAGGGTCATTGTCCTGCTGGAAGGTGAACCTCCGTCCCAGTCTCAAATCTCTGGAAGTCTGAAACAGGTTTCCCTCAAGAATTTCCCTGTATTTAGTGCCATCCATCATTCCTTCATTTCTGACCAGTTTCCCAGTCCCTGCTGATGAAAAACATGGTGTTCTCGGGGTGATGAGAGGTGTTGGGTTTGCGCCAGACATAGCGTTTTCCTTGATGGCCAAAAAGCTCAATTTAATCTCATCTGACCAGAGTACCTTCTTCCATATGTTTGGGGAGTCTCCCACATGCCTTTTGGCGAACACCAAACGTGTGTATACTAATACTTATACTTTCTGGCCACTCTTCCGTAAAGCCCAGCTCTGTGGAGTGTACGGCTTAAAGTGGTCCTATGGACAGATACTCCAATCCCTGCTGTGGAGCTTTGCAGCTCCTTCAGGGTTATCTTTGGTCTCTTTGTTGCCTCTCTGATTAATGCCCTCCTTGCCTGGTCCGTGAGTTTTGGTGGGCGGCTCTCTCTTGGCAGGTTTGTTGTGGTGCCATATTCTTTCCATTTTTTAATAATGGATTTAATGGTGCTCCGTGGGATGTTCAAAGTTTCTGATATTTTTTTATAACCCAACCCTGATCTGTACTTCTCCACAACTTTGTCCCTGACCTGTTTGGAGAGCTCCTTGGTCTTCATGGTGCCGGTTACTTGGTGGTGCCCCTTGCTTAGTGGTGTTGCAGACTCTGGGGGCTTTCAGAACAGGTGTATATATACTGAGATCATGTGACACTTAGATTGCACACAGGTGGAATTTATTTAACTAATTATGTGACTTCTGAAGGTAATTGGTTGCACCAGATCTTATTTAGGGGCTTCATAGCAAAGGGGGTGAATACATATGCACGCACCACTTTTCCGTTATAAATTTTTTGGAAACAAGGTATTTTTTTCATTCCACTTTTTTTTCATTCAATCCAAATAAAAATCCATTTAAATTACAGGTTGTAATGCAACAAAGTAGCAAAAACGCCAAGGGGGATGAATACTTTTGCAAGGCACGATAGATAAGATAGATAAGATAGATAAGATAGATAAGATAGATAAGATAGATAGATAGATAGATAGATAGATAGATAGATAGATAGATAGATAGATAGATAGATAGATAGATAGATAGATAGATAGAAAGATAGAGCAAGAGAGCGAGAGAGCGAGAGAGCAAGAGAGAGAGACTAAGACCAAGGGCAATAGTCAATTCACTGTCACTTACCTTTGTGTCTTTTTGAACCGTCCATGTTTGAGAAGAGAATATGATGTGAGTCAGCCCAGTACAGTCTTTTTGCTGTGTAGTCGATGGTGAGAGCTGCAGGGCTGAAAATGTCTGTATCGCTGATCACCGTCCGGCTGCTGCCGTCCAAACCTATCCTCCCAATATGGGGATACTCTCCACTGTCGATCCAGAACACATAACTACAGAGGAATTAAACAGTTTTCAGCTAGATACCGTAGGCTACACTTACCCTCAAATGGGCTATGTGAATTGTGGTTGTCTCATTTAGCTCTCTTTAGGTTCATGGACTAACTGTAAGTCGCTCTGGACAAGAGTGTCTGCTAAATGACAAAAATCATGTAAATGTTCCTGTGTTTACTTCCCGTTATGGAGTAGCTTACATGAGATATCAAATTCAACATCAAAATGAGTATTAGACTTGAGAGCCTGAGCAGAAAGTTGGCTGCCTCAGAAACAAAACAGTATAGTTAGTTACACAGTAATATACTGATTAGCTGGTATTTATTTTGACAGTCTGTTGTACTGTGACTGGTCTCTCTCAACAGACATAGCTAACACTCATTCTGGATTAATTCTCTCCAGATTATACTGTGACAGATATAACACGTAGCATTATGTAGACCGAGAGGGAGAAGATGTAGAGTTGTACATGCCCAGTGTCTGCATCCAGAGCCAGGTCAGTAGGGTTGTCCAGACCAGTGCTGACCAATACCACAGGATAGAGGCCGTTAGCCTTGGACACCTCCAGACTCTTCTTCCCTATGTCACACCAGTACAGGTTCTTTCCTATCCAGTCCACGGCTAGAGCACTGGGGGTAGACGTCCTGTGGATTACCTGTGGGTTAGAGGAGAGGAAACAGGTAGGACCTTTTCATCTCAATATCAAATCATTTCTGGGTAACAATTAAGTACCTTACTGTGATTGTTTTCAATTAAATGTGTCAAAAAGAAACAAAAATAGCTTCTTAGCAAAGAGCAATTTCTCAAGCAAGAATTTTGCTAGGACTGTTTGGGAATGGTCTGAGTTGGGAGGGGAAAACTGAAAATGAGCTTTTATTGGCAGAGTCTGAAAATCTCCATGCCACCAAAACAGGCTGAAATTTCAGGCAGTCTTTTTAAACAGCTCTTACACTAAAAATACAATATTATAATTTTCACAGTATTATTCCAACCTCATAGTGTGGAAGTACATATAAAAACACAGGAAAGGCATGTTTTTGCCTGCACTGGGCCTTTAAAGCAACCTAAGATGATTCAGAAAATCCCTGTAACCTGTTTTGTGGAGCCCTCATATTCTACTCCAGACAGTTGGGTTCAGTTACCCCAGGGTTAACAATTGATTGTGTGAATGGCGGGTGAGCTAGCCCTGGGGTATTGTTAACCACAAATTAAGAAGATACCATGTGAAAAGCCCTTACGATTCATAACAGCCTTTTATGGGTCTGCACTGCAACAGTTCTAACATCACCTTCATTAGAGTGATTACATTGGTCTAATAATACAGAAATGGTCTCTGCTCTGAAGAGTTTTGGCAGCAGCGAGTTAAAATACAAATCAAAACGGGAGTGATCCTGGGTACAATAAAGCTATAATGAATCATTATCCCTGTATTAATGATAACGAGCCACGGGGAGCGCCCTCAGGTACTCAGGTTCTGTTGGCACTCTAACTTCACCCAGACTCTGACCCTGGCCTTTGGAAAGCTAAATGGGGAGCCATGACAGGAGACCAGCCATGTTCAAGGAAACACATACAAGCACACTGATACTGTATCGTTGACATTGAGATACTGAGTCAGATCTTCCTCTGTGTGCCAATGTAATTGATTTAGGAGTGCAAAATTGCCCCCCCAAAAAGAAAGCACATTGAGTACTGTACTGTATCTATGGTGCATAGCATGATCATACCAGGATCCAGTAACACTTTATTTGAACTGTACGTCATAACAGCGTGATGATATTGTCATGAATATGACAAAAAACTAAAATGTCATAAAATACAGCTGAACCTAAACCAACAACCATTGTTCTGTGCCAACACCATAAACTAATACTCAAGTAAGCCATAAACTACATAATGCTGTGAATTATAAACAGGTGGTTTAGGTCCAAAACAATGAAGTATTTCCGAGGTATAATGAAAACAAAGATTTACGAAGAAGCTGTCTAAGGAATTATCCACACATTCACATTCTATATTGTACATTTTATGACATAATGGAATGCATTAAAATCTCATTATGCATTAGGCGCTACATGACCATAATCCCTCATATAGAATAAATGCCATTGTTTTATGTGCCTCGGCTCAACCTTCAGCCAGGGAACACTGTCCCCTTTAGTCACATTTAAACCGCTACAAAGTCAGGATGTTTAATTATAGATTTATAAAGCACCTATAAACCTTCTCAACCTCTCATCTCTGGCAGTATAATCTTTCCCAGGGGGGGGGGGCCTATACATTAACCAATAGAACACTATCTCACCACCCACCTTCCTCAGGCTAATGTATAACCCGTTTGGGGTAAATTTGAATTGAAGACACTCAATTCAGGAAGTGATTAGAATAAATTACAAATGCAACAACTTTTGAAATAAATAGCTTCTCCTCCTTTTTTGAGAAGTCATTGAAAATGGATGCCCTTTTTTCAATTATTGAATTGGAATTTCTGTTTACTTCCTGAATTGACTAACTAAACACTGCTGTATAAGCTGCTACTCCACTGTACCTTCAGGTCGCTCCCATTCAGTCGCATTCTGTTTATCCTCCGTTGGGTTAGGGCAGGAGAGCTCGAGTCAATCCAATAAATCAACTCCTTCCTATAGTCAAAGTCCACTGCTATAATGTTACTGAGGCCCTGTGGGACACAATCATCAGGTACATGTTGTATTGTTATTACAAAACAATACCTCATATCATATTGAGCAATTGCTTTATATTATTGGTTGGGGAGATACACAGGCCATATAAGGATATACTCAAATGTACTCAAGTGAGAGGATCAATAAAATGATTCTGTGCATAAGAAACCTTCTCCATGCTTAAATATTGAGCTGGTTCAAAAAAGGTGCGTCTTACCTGTTTTAGAGGAATATAATTGGATCCATCAGTGCTTATTTTCCTGATGTCATGATGGTCGGCCAGAATCAGGAAGGGCTCTTCAGCTGAAGAAAATACAAGAAAAAAAATACAGCAATTATAATACACGATGACTACAATGACTAATAATCTAGTCAGAAAATATAGTCTGAAAGTGATGGTCCTAAAGAGTCACATATGATTATTCACAAGTCATTACATTCAATGCATCGTCTCATTATCCTACTGCTGTCAGGTACAGTAACGTTACAGTCAGAGTCTCTGGAGGTGTCAGTCTTATACAAACACTGATTTCCTCCCTAGCTCCAAGCCCTAGTATATATCACTGTCACAGGCTGTTACTTGACTGGGCTCACTATAGGTACATTCCCATAGAGATAGAACACGTAGTTTTACTTTATACATATTCTAGTATTCTCTTTTAACCAATCAGGATCCTCGTTCTGACGGCAAGGTAATTCTCCTGTGATTTACGGAAGCCTGATTTAAAAAATCAAGCGGAAGGTGGGTGACAGAGGAGCAGACACACGGGCAGATGGGTAAGAAGGAAGAGAGAGAAGATGGAGAGAAGGAAAGGGTGAAAGAAGATAAGATGGAAGTGGAGGTGGAGAGAGGGGTACCTCAAGCAGCAGAGGCACAGATACAAGGACAGATGGGTAGGGAGAGAGAGAGAGAGAGAGAGAGAGAGAGAGAGAGAGAGAGAGAGAGCGAGAGAGCAAGCGAGAGAGAGAGCAAGCGAGAGAGAGAGAGCAAGCGAGAGAGAGAGAGAGAGAGCAAGCGAGAGAGAGAGAGAGAGCAAGCGAGAGAGAGAGCAAGCGAGAGAGAGAGAGCAAGCAAGCGAGAGAGAGAGAGCAAGCGAGAGAGAAAAAGCGAGAGAGAGAGAGAGAGAGGAGAGAGAGAGAGAGAGGAGAGAGAGAGAGAGAGAGAGAGAGAGAGAGAGAGAGCAAGCAAGAGAGAGAGAGCGAGAGAGAGAGAGAGAGAGAGAGAGAGAGAGAGAGAGAGAGAGAGAGAGAGAGAGAGCGAGAGAGAGAGAGAGAGAGAGAGAGAGAGAAGAGCAAGAATAAGAACAGAAGATCAAATGATGATGGAGGTAGAGAAAGAGGTGTACCTGAGAGAGACTTGCAGCTATGTGAGTTCTTAGCTGGCGCCTCGTAACCGTCTGCACACAGACACTTGTAAGATCCGTATGTGTTGATGCAGAGCTGGCTACAGGGGAAGTCGGATGAACATTCGTCAATGTCAACACACGTTTGGCCATCGTTCTTCAAGCGAAATCCCGGCCAACACTTGCACTGGATCGGACGTGAGGGAGAAATTGAGAGCAATTATTTTTCTGACCCTAAGACAGAATCCATGTGTGGGCACTGAGGCACTGAATCAATCAATAGAAAAGTCTTGGGGTACTGTCGCCATTGGGTTGGAGTGACTATGGACTATACAGGGATACTATGACACATGGATACTCTGACACAAAGGGATTTTATTGGTTCTGAGCGCAAAATCCATGTTTTGTTTTGTTGGCAACCCACTCTTTGATGATTGAACATCTTACAGCAGGGTTCTTCAATTCCGGTCCTGGAGGGCCGAAACACTTCTGTTTTTTATTTCTACCTGGTAGTTAATTGCACTCACCTGGTGTCCCAGGTCTGAATTAGCCCCTGATTAGAAGGAGAGGATGAAAAACAGAGGTGTTTCAACCCTCCAGGACCGGAATTGAAGAACCCTGTCTTACAGTATGGATTTAAATACATGTTTCTCTGACAACCTATGGCTTAAAGCAACCAAGCAGATCCCAACATACATCCTGTACTGTATGTACCGGGGTCATGGTTATTAAGTATGAATAGTACAAACAAACACATATTGTAAGTCAGGAGCAAAATGTTCTGGAAAACAGAACCTTTTCCATTCTGAGAAATATCAAGTCCACATAGTATGTTGATTTAGGTTCTGTTTGTTTTATTGTTACACATGATAATATATTGAATGTAATAACCCTGGTGCTATTACACAGAAATCCTATCATTACAGAGAAATGTGCCAAACATCAATAAAACCGTTTTCGCTAAGTCTTAGTTTTATGTTGTAAGAGCTTAGTGGCTTACCATACTTAGGGCTATAACGTGTGTGTGTGTGTTTCTGACAAATAACCTTGTACAGTTCATGACTTGTGATTCTGTATATGTATGTATGTGTGTGTGTGTGTGTGTGTGTGTGTGTGTGTGTGTGTGTGTGTGTGTGTGTGTGTGTGTGTGTGTGTGTGTGTGTGTGTGTGTGTGTGTATAATTCTGAGAAAGCGAGCAGGGGTACCTTCCTACCTTGTACCCTACAAGCAGGTCTTCACAGTCCTGTGTGCATCCACTGACTCGGCGGTTCAGACACTCGTTGACGTGACAGTTCCTCTCGTCTGACGCGTCACCACAGTCGTCCCTCCTGTTACACAGGCTGGCCAGCGAGACACAGCGGCCGTTGACACACATGAAGAAAGAGCCGTTGCACAAGCTTTCTACAGAACAAAGTGGTAAGCGTTAGATTCAAACTTTCTGTGAAAGGCAGGAATGCAAGACTCCTGGATTCCCGGAACCAGATTAAGCCTAGTCCTGGATAAAAAAAATCTAGTTTTTTGTTGTTGCTGTCCAGTACTAGGCTTATTCTGGGTCTGGGGAACTGGCCAACATAATTAAACAGTCAAATAAACATATTTCTATCAACCAGGAACGTGTACACATAGGGGTCTACCTGTACCAGAACACCTGCCCCTTTGCCCTCCCACTCGCCAGCTGCCCTTTTGGGTGGTGGTATTTGTATATATTTTTTTGTACACCGTTTTTGACATTGTTGTTCTGAACCCACTGCCCGAAAGTTGTCGTGACGTCGTCAAGTTCGCCACCCCCACCCCGTCAGTTGGTTGGTTGCGCCTGCCCTGTTGGTCTGCCCTGTACGGAGTTCGCGCCCGGTATCCAAACATGTATGGCTTGAGATGCAGTCACCGGTCGAGTGTGTGTAGCAAGCTACCAATTATTTTTTATATTTATATTATATATATATACAGTGAGGGAAAAAAGTATTTGATCCCCTGCTGATTTTGTACATTTGCCCACTGACAAAGAAATGATCAGTCTATAATTTTAATGGTAGGTTTATTTGAACAGTGAGAGACAGAATAACAACAAAAAAATCCAGAAAAACGCATGTAAAAAATGTTATCAATTGATTTGCATTTTAATGAGGGAAATAAGTATTTGACCCCTCTGCAAAACATGACTTAGTACTTGGTGGCAAAACCCTTGTTGGCAATCACAGAGGTCAGACGTTTCTTGTAGTTGGCCACCAGGTTTGCACACATCTCAGGAGGGATTTTGTCCCACTCCTCTTTGCAGATCTTCTCCAAGTCATTAAGGTTTCAAGGCTGACGTTTGGCAACTCGAACCTTCAGCTCCCTCCACAGATTTTCTATGGGATTAAGGTCTGGAGACTGGCTAGGCCACTCCAGGACCTTAATGTGCTTCTTCTTGAGCCACTCCTTTGTTGCCTTGGCCATGTGTTTTGGGTCATTGTCATGCTGGAATACCCATATACGACCCATTTTCAATGCCTTGGCTGAGGGAAGGAGGTTCTCACCCAAGAATTGACGGTACATGGCCCCGTTCATCGTCCCTTTGATGCGGTGAAGTTGTCAGGTCCCCTTAGCAGAAAAACACCCCCAAAGCATAATGTTTCCACCTCCATGTTTGACGGTGGGGATGGTGTTCTTGGGGTCATAGGCAGCATTCCTCCTCCTCCAAACACGGCGAGTTGAGTTGATGCCAAAGAGCTCCATTTTGGTCTCATCTGACCACAACACTTTCACCCAGTTCTCCTCTGAATCATTCAGATGTGCATTGGCAAACTTCAGACGGGCATGTATATGTGCTTTCTTAAACAGTGTGACCTTGCGGGCACTGCAGGATTTCAGTCCTTCACGGCATAGTGTGTTACCAATTGTTTTCTTGGTGACTATGGTCCCAGCTGCCTTGAGATCATTGACAAGATCCTCCCGTGTAGTTCTGGGCTGATTCCTCACCGTTCTCATGATCATTGCAACTCCACGAGATGAGATCTTGCATGGAGCCCCAGGCCTAGGGAGATTGACAGTTATTTTGTGTTTCTTCCATTTGCGAATAATCGCACCAACTGTTGTCACCTTCTCACCAAGCTGCTTGGCGATGGTCTTGTAGCCCATTCCAGCCTTGTATAGGTCTACAATCTTGTCCCTGACATCCTTGGAGAGCTCTTTGGTCTTGGCCATGGTGGAGAGTTTGGAATCTGATTGATTGATTGCTTCTGTGGACAGGTGTCTTTTATACAGGTAACAAGCTGAAATTAGGACTACTCCCTTTAAGAGTGTGCTCCTAATCTCAGCTCGTTACCTGTATAAAAGACACCTGGGAGCCAGAAATCTTTCTAATTGAGAGGGGGTCAAATACTTATTTCCCTCATTAAAATGCAAATAAATGTATAACATTTTTGACATGCGTTTTTCTGGATTTTTTTGTTGTTATTCTGTCTCTCACTGTTCAAATAAACCTACCATTAAAATGATAGACTGATCATTTCTTTGTCAGTGGGCAAACGTACAAAATCAGCAGGGGATCAAATACTTTTTTCCCTCACTGTATATATATATATATATATATATACACACACACACACACACACACTTTTACCCCTTTTTCTCCCCAATTTCGTGATATCCAATTGGTAGTTACAGTCTTGTCCCATCGCAGCAACTCGGCGCAAGCTACCTAGTTTAAATACCAATAGTACCGCTACAGCAGCTGCAGTATAACATTGGATTAACATGGCTGCATCTACGACCCTCCGACCCAACTCCATCCCTTCTTCAGTCGGGAGTTGCACATGTGTGTCATGGCAGCAGCAACACAGGTAGTCTAGATGTTCATCCATGTTTCTCAAATGTCAAATTTCGAAGTTGTTCCAAACGTCAAATTTCGAAGTTGTTCCAAACGTCAAATTTCAAAGTTATTCCAAACGTCAAATTTCTAAGTTGTTCCAAACGTCAAATTTCTAAGTGTTTGATTACTTCTCTGTATCGTTCCAAGGTTAAGTTTAGGCATCAACTCCGAATTCTTAAGGTTAGGCATTAATTCCGAATGGTTAAGGTAAGTGTTAAGGTTTAGGATAGGCTTAAAACAAAAATATCAAAAACAACCTTCATTGGATTTGAACATGCAACCTTTGGGCTCTTTGGAACCATAGGCGGATGCTAACGCCGATCTGCCATCCACATCCACAACGCCTACTTCAAGGTAACAGCGCTCACTGTTGCCCCTAGTGGCCAGTTTCCACGGCATCTCCCGACGTCCTCAGACATGGATGGACGTTGAATACTGACTTGAATCACGGTGACCTGCCTGAGCTAACCACCATATACTAAAAATATCCACACAAGCTACTAGCCAGCCAGCCCATATATCATGAGTCAGAAGATTATGAATATTATATTATAAAAGAGCATTGAAGATAAATCACAATCAGTAAACCGGGTGCCGGTGGGTTCATTTTGAGCACCTGCCCCCTGAAAGGTCTGAGCATGGCCCTGTTATCAACTCAATTTGTATCAGCCCTGTTCACAGCAGGCGTATGAGCATCACATGTTTATAATAGGCTAAAACCAGCTGGGACATGGTGAGACTGGGGGGGGGGGGGGGTCTGTCCCTGTTCTGTTCTCTCGCTCTCGCTCTCTCTCACACACACACACACACACACACACACACACACACACACACAGTATCAGATGAAAGGCTTGCCTGCAGCGGAACACTTGGGGTTGTGTGGCAGCTCGTCTGATTGGTCGAGACAGTCGGGATGGCCGTCACACTCCCACTGGACTCTGGGTAAACAGCGGCCATCTGTGCAGTGGAACTCCCCCAGACTGCAGGAACCATACTCTGTAGGACACAGGAGGCAAGAGGCGGGATGTCCAGTCAGAACACAACAATACGGGCAGGAATAGAGAAAGTGAGATTGGATATCAAGCAGTGCTGACTCCTATGCAAATATAATACCAGGCAGTATAGCAGAGCATTTAATACCACTTTATTGCAACCCTTAATGTTATGAGAACACTAGCTAACTGTGAAAAATACAACCATATTAAATATTCCATAAGAGTAACTCCCTAGACAAACTTTACTAAAGCACCATCTGAGAGAGAGCGAGAGAGAGAGGGGGGGGCGGTTCTTACCACACTGCAGAGTCTCATCGGAGCCGTCTCCACAGTCATCATCATGGTCACAGGCGAACCGCTGTGGGATGCAGACCTGATTACGACACTGGAACATGCCCTCCATGCACGTGTTGTTGGGGGCTGTGTTAGGAAATATGTGGAGGGCCAATTTGTTAAATACCTGAGATTCTCATTTCTCTCTCAAAAAGGATCTGAACTTCTATAGGAATGTGGACATTATTAACAAGGTATACTATATATACAAAAGTATGTGGACACCCCTTCAAATAATGGATTCATCTATTTCAGCCACAGCCGTTGCTGACAGGTCTTTACAACAGAGCACACAGCCATGCAATCTCCATAGACAAACATTGGCAGTAGAATGGCCTTACTGAAGAGCTCAGTGATTCTCAACGTGGTACCGTCATAGGATGCCACTTTTCCAACAAGCCTGTTCGTCAAATTTCTGCCCTCCTAGAGCTGCCCCGGTCAACTGTAAGTGCTGTTATTGTGAAGTGGAAACGTCTAAGAGCAACAACGGCTCAGCCACAAAGTGGTAGACCACACAAGCTCACAGAACGGGACCACCAAGTGCTAAAGCTCATAGCGCGTAAAAATCGTCTGTCCTCAGTTCCAACAGTCACTACCGAGTTCCAAACTGCCTCTGGAAGCATCGTCAGCACAATAACTGTTCGTCGGGAGCTTCATGAAATGGGTTTACATGGCCGAACAGCCGCACACAAGCCTAATCACTATGCGCAATGCCAAGCGTCGGCTGGAGTGGTGTAAAGCTCGCTGCCATTGGACTCTGGAGCAGTGGAAGCGCGTTCTCTGGAGCGATGAATCATGCTTCACCATCTGTCAGTCTGACGGACGAATCTGGGTTTAGCGGATACCAGGAGAACGATTTGGGGAAGGCATGACAATGCCCCCATGCACAAAGCGAGGTCCATTCTGAAATGGTTTGTCGAGATCGGTGTGGAATAACTTGACTGGCCTGCACAGAGCCCTGACCTAAACCCCATCGAATACCTTTGGCATGAATTGGAACGCCGATTGCGAGCCAGGCCTAATCGCCCAACATCAGTGCCCGACCTCACTAATGCTCGTGGCTGAACAGAAGCAAGTCCCCGGAGCAATGTTCCAACATCTAGTGGAGACCCTTCCCAGAAGAGTGGAGGCTGTTATAGCAGCAAAGGGGGGACAAACTCCATATTAATGCCCATAATTTTGGAATGAGATGTTCGACGAGCAAGTGTCCACATACTTTTGGCCATGTAGTGTATGTGCATCAAGGTGAAATGTGTTTTTACAGTACTGTAGAAGATGGAAGGGCGATTTTACTTTTTTTAAAAAATTATAACAGAAATATATTGAGTAATTTCTGCTTTACAATAGGGATTCTGAATAAACAATGACAGAAATGTAATGAGACATTTTTGCTTTACAAATGGGACTAAATTATGTCTGTGTGCTTTCGGTTCGGAGGCCTTCAGAGGACAATACACTATGACAAACATGTATTGAGACATTTGTGCTTTACAAAAGGGATTCTGAGTGACTAAACTCTGTCTGTGTGCTTTCGGGTCGGAGGCCTTCAGAGGACAATACACTATGACAAACATGTATCGAGACATTTGAACTTTAGAAAAAGGGGCTCGGAATACACTGTCAGACACATATTGAGACATATGTGCTTTAGAAAAGGGAGTGACTACACTATGACTGTGACTTTTGTTGGAGAACTTCAGAACAATAATATTACCACAGCCAGCAGCAGAGAGCTCATCACTCCCATCTGGACAGTCCCTCTCCCCATCACAAAGCCAGTGTTTGGGGACGCAGGCGTACGACTCTGGGCAACTAAACAACCCTGGGCCACAGGTAGCCGTACCTGGATATGTACAATAGGAGTCGTGGTCAAAATATTATTTTACTGAACTGAAGAATCTTTAGCCTGAGTGCCAATCTGTTTCAGCTCTCTTGCCAACTCCATAAGGAATTGTCATGCCAAACATGTTTGGTATAACAATGAGTGACAAGGATATGGCAAGAGAGCTGAAAGAGACTGGCACTCAGACTACAGAATCTGCACAATTACAGTACTAGAAATATAGATATTCACAAGACTTTCTGAAGAGTCTGTGCAAATATTACTGAAAAACATCAAATCCATATCTCTGTTTGTAGCACATTGCTCATCCATATATCTCCACCAATGACGTATCTCATAAAATTTCAAATATATGTCACTTTGATGTTGATTTATGGCTGTTCTCTACATTCTCTCTGAGAATAAACACATTTGAGTCAACATAATGTAAATAAATTCAGGCGTGTATTTATACCACAGATCTCTGCGCTCTCGTCCAGTCCATCCCCACAGTCGTCCTCTCCGTCACAAAGCCACTGCTTGGCTATGCACTTGTTCTTAGAGCAGGCAAATTGGTTCCACAGGCAGGACAAGTCTAGACAGAATGAAATATAACATATTATATGGTATTTCATTGGGACAGGAAGCATGTAAACATCTTCACAATTAACCATGTAGAGAGCAGTGATAAATTAATGATTTAGTACGGCAGTGTAGGTGCGCAAATCCAATGGCCCCAGGTTATAGAGTAATGTGAAATTGTACCCCAGTCACATACTTTTCTGTGCAAGAAAGAAGGTAGGCCTTTGTACAGAAAAGGTGAAGAAAATAATATTACATATGGAGGTGAAGGTAAACAATTTTGAAGCGAATCTCTATTCTAATGCAGGTGGAACGTTGTATCACTATATCAATGTCATCTGTGAAATTAGATACACCAACATTGCAAAACCATTCCCTCAGTCGTAAGCACTTTCAAGGTAATGCTTGTCTTACATTCTAACCATGTACAAAGGAGTGAAGGAGTGCCAAGTGAGGTAAAAATAATTCAGCCTCAGCAAGCAGAGAGAGAGAGAGAGAGAGAGAGAGAGAGAGAGAGAGAGAGAGAGAGAGAGAGAGAGAGAGAGAGAGAGAGAGAGAGAGAGGGAGATGAGAGAGGGAGATGGATAATAATTGTCTGTTTGTTTATTTGTTTCCATTCCACATAAATTTTATAATGACACTGTGGAGCTGCTTCCTTTGCTCCTTGGGCAGCCAGAGAGCAACCATTAACAATGATTGTGTGGCTGTATGGACAAGGTCATTGTGAACTAGCCACACAAACAGCGGGCACCAACAACACTGTGTGTGTATCCAACCGCTACTGGCTGGGACTCATTCAAATACACAGACGATGAGCATTGCTGCCCAGAGGGACTTAAAAAAATCACAAGAACAACAAAATCCACAACAAATAGAAATAGGATATTTGTTATTGCTATTCTGTTTGGGTTACAACAACATAGTCCACTGCTCTGCGCTGAAGAACCAATAGCAGGAGTGAAACATCTCCTCCCGTCATTATTCCTCAGTAGGACAGGTGTCTTTTATACAGGTAACAAGCTGAGATTAGGAGCACTCCCTTTAAGAGCTCGTTACCTGTATAAAAGACACCTGGGAGCCAGAAATCTTTCTGATTCAGAGGGGGTCAAATACTTATTTCCCTCATTAAAATGCAAATCAATTTATAACATTTCTTTCATGCGTTTTTCTGGATTATTTTGTTGTTATTCTGTCTCTCACTGTTCAAATAAACCTACCATTAAAATTATAGACTGATCATTTCTTTGTCAGTGGGCAAACATACAAAATCAGCAGGGGATCAAATACTTTTTTCCCTCACTGTATGTCAACATTTCATGCAGGATGTACCCTACAACATAATGATCCAACCGTTCCTAATTGGAATAATTTAGACTCTCTCTCTCATCAGTGTCAGTGGAAACAAATCAGTGCAATGTGCTTGCTGAAATAAATGTAATGTAAATAAATATTATAGAAATAAATATGTATGATATCATACCACACTGGAATTCATCTGCTCCATCTTCACAGTCTTTCACTCCGTCACACAGCCAGACAGTGTGGATGCAGTTTCCACTGGGGCAAGCAAAATGGCCTTCCTCACATCTCTTTCTGAGGGAAGGAGCTGGGGAGAAACCAGAAGCCAAGATACAGTCAGAACATAAACTATGAGGCCGACTATTTTCAAATGACTATTTCAAATGTAATCTTAAAATGCATTCCACTAGGCCTGGTGTCTGTCTGGTACACGACCACATCAACAGTAGACGACAGAACTAGCGTCACAGATCAGAAAAAAAGGAAGGAAAAAAACATACTCCAGCAGTTGGTTTCATCTGCATAATCCCCACAGTCGTTGGCTCCATCACATATCCAGGAGGGGTGGACACAGAGGGAGGTAGAGTTGCAGCTGACGAACACTGTCTCCTTCACCCCCAGCTTGTAGTAATCCAAGCAGCCTGTGTTGCCTAGAGGAAGTGAGCATTCGACCGGCATATCCAAAGGCTAAGGTTAGGGATTGATATTCTTGGCTATACATTGTCTTATCTATAATAGTGTAGTGTCCTGACATTAATAACAATGAAAAATAACTTCAAATTCCGAGGTGCGGACCTTCCTTCTTTTTTTATTATCTAACATTAATAACACACGATCAGGCTAGCCTACAGACCAGCTACGTGGAAAAGCTACGTTGGCAACGTTGTAGCACCTTAGAAAGATACAGTGTAGCGCCTTAACAAAGATAGTGTGTTGCCTTAAAAAAGACACAGTATGGCGCTTTAACAAAGGCTTATCTTACTGCAGTTCTTCTCATCTGAGGCGTCGGGACAGTCGATGATCTGATTGCAGCGGGCCGAGGCCGGAATACAAACCCCGTTTAGACAACGCCAGTCTGAGGGAGAGCATGTGGAATCTGAAGAGAAAATACAGGTCAGAAAAGAAAAAGATTAAGAAAGGAGGGGTAGAAATATGTTGTATTTGAAATCCATCTCTTTGGTTCATCGTCAGGTGGATTAGAAAGAGATAATAGAAAGACTAGATAATATTATCCTTGCTTGGAGAAATGTTCCTCTATGAAATCTAATAGGAAAGACAGTAGTTCACCCTAAAGCTATTTTTTTTGTTTATACTGTAATAATGTAGTACAGATTATGTTGTCTGTCGGACTGGGCATTTAAATTCAGATTCTTATTACTCACTGTTACAATAAACCTCGTCGGAATTATCTCCACAGTCGTTGACCCCGTCACAAACCCGTCTATTGGCCACACAGCGCTGGTTATAGCAGCTCTTGAAGCCCCGTCTACAGTTTCTGTTATCTGTAAGAGAGGAAGAGGAGAAAAGAGGGAGAGGAAGAAAAACGAAAGCAATAAAAAGACACTTTAGGAAGAGATTCGACCAAAGAAATTACATGAAAGACACTTTAATACTGTTCCTCTTCTCCTTCATGGATTTCAGGAAGTGAGCGAGTCTGAACTCATTCTATTGGACAAGAGCCCCGGGGGGCTTGGTAGGGAGCTGGTAGTAATTTTCATCTGAGCACTGGTGAACTAGTACAGTAACACATATTGGGTGCTTACTTACCACAGTATTGCATTTTCTCATCAGACTTGTCTTTGCAGTGAGCTATTCCGTCGCATGTCAGCTGATAGTCGATACACTCCCCGTTCCCACACTCAAACTCAGTGTGGATGTTGCAGGAGGAGTTCTCAGCTGCAAAAATAAGAGAAAATCAATATTTTCTGATTGATTCTTTGTCCAAACAGAAGGGTCTGTTTTCTGCTATATCCCTCCCAGCCCCTCACATTGCTTAATCTGACAGTAGCACTGTCAGATGACTATTTTCAGATGACTATTGTCAGATGCCTATTGTCTACTAGCAATACTTTTACATGGTCCTTCGAGCCGGATGGTGTTTACCAATGAATTAGAGGGGAAAAGACAAAGTGCTAGACTTACATACACATCTGTTATCTTCCAGTAGTAGTCTCTCTCCTCTGCAGCTACAGTTGACCGTGCCGTGAGGGGTCAGAAGACAAAGGTCATGACATCCACCATTCAGCACTGTGCAAAGGGACAGTTCACCTGGAAAAACAGAGCATTATGGGTACTGTAGTACATCATGTTACAGAAAACACACATCAACCTCCAAATAAACAGGAAAGTGTATTGATAAAAAAAAAATCAAATCCAAAAGCCATGCTTTACTTCCTTCTTGCAGTGCCTCCAATAAAGAGTTTCAGCTTCCAAATATTTGAAATCAAGCACTGAAAACTTTTCAAGGGCAGTGTTGTGGTAGAAAGGTAGACGGTCTCCGTTGGGGACCCTCTTTGAACTGTGTTTGGCTCGGACAGCGGTATGGAGAGGTAAGCTATAAACCATGCCATCATGCTGCCCCCTTAATACCCACACGTCTGCTCATTACAGTTACTCCAGGAGAGAGAGAGAGAGAGAGAGAGAGAGAGAGAGAGAGAGAGAGAGAGAGAGAGAGAGAGAGAGAGAGAGAGAGAGAGAGAGAGAGAGAGAGAGAGAGAGAGAGAGAGAGAGAGAGAGAGAGAGAGAGGATTTCTCTGCTCGAATGGTATAGATTCAGCTGACTGCACTATGCCAAGCTTTAGTTCTGTTGAAGCACAGGCCAGGCAACATGGGGTAGCCTGTGGCACTGGAGGTTGGGGTTTTTTAGGTTATTTCTTCAATAACAGATTTACATTGAGTGGTAATTAATCGGGGAGGGTAAATGGGGCTATAGTAAGTTTTGTATAATGTTCATGCCAAATGGTCAAACTCAGCTACACTGGGTTGTAACCAAAGGCAAACCATCACAGGCTGCAGTTACATTTTATCACATACAATTACAAAATAGTCTACTCTCAAAATACCACATTTTGTGTGTATATTTTAGACAATGTATAGAAGACTCCGTACCAAAACAAGTGAGTTTTGCTTTGATGTACTGTATAGAATTCACTTACAATTGTTGGTATTGTTGGAAACTGCAACAATTCCCATTGGCTGGTGGGGGATGTCGGCTCTGAGGACCTTCATGTCACCACCTGTGTACTTATTGGAGCGTACCACCGCCCTCCGTACCCAATCAGACCAGAACAGGAAGTTCCCATAGATAGCCAGGCCAAAGAAGGTTCCTGGACCTGACTTCACAATCACCTACAGAATGAACGGAAGAAGACAATGGGGTTCTACAAGCAACCATGAAGGGTTCTTCAAAGGGTTTTCCTATTGGGACAGCCGAAGAACCCTTTAAGGTTCTAGATAGCACCTTTTTTTCTAAGAGTGTACAATATATGACTTAATCATTCTATTCAGAATAACATACAGTATATATATATATATATATATATATACACATTTTTTCTCCTTACAAATCTGTGTGAGCCATCATATTCACATCGTTCAATCTTTCCCAGACTGCCATCGGAGAAGAAGAGTTTCTCGGCGGTATGGTCGATGGTGAGTCCATTAGGTGTGAGGATGTCTGTGGTGACAATACTCTGGATATTGTTTCCTGACAGGGTGGACCTCATAATGCTGGGGTGCTGTTCATTCCAGTTAGTCCAGAACATCAGGCTGCATCAGCAGTGAAAACAAAAACTATATTGAGACTTTCACAGAAGCAAACGGATGGGATGCATCTCCATTCAATATACTGCATTGTAAACATCCATCAACGTCTACACTGAATGATGTATTTCCATTCAAAAGAAACATGTTTCCAGGAAAAAGCGGATACACTTTTTTCTATCTCTATTTTCTAAAGATATGAACACGTTTCTATCCTCACATTCTAAAGCAAAATGATTTAGTCACATTTTTAAGACAGCCTCGTGTTCTTGTGAATGAAAGTAGAGGATAGAAGGGAGGCAAAGAAAACATAAAAGACATTAGGATCAGTAAGGAATGACGATAGAACACTTCTGACATTCCCCCAGAGCAGTTACAAACCTCATTCCCCTGATTGCAGAAGTTTTCAACAGATTTACTAACTCAGTACATAACACAACCCAGTATGAAAAATGTATGCACTCACTAACTGTAAGTCGCTCTGGATAAGAGCGTCTGCTAAATGACAAAAAATTTACAAATGTAAAAATATACCCAAGTGAACATCTACTGTAGGCCATTAAGGGCCTGTATAAGACATTAGGAGCAATGAAGGTTTAACACCTACTTCTGACACTCCTCCAGAGCCAGGTTATGTGGGTGGTCGTCCTCTGCCAGTGTGACCACAGCCTCTCTGGTGATGGCCCCGGGGAGCCTCTGGTCCAGGCTGTGCCTGCTGATGGTGGCTGTGGTCGAGCTGGTCCAGTAAAGCGAGTCCCAGGCTCCATGGTACGCTAGGCCCTCCACTGACCCCACATCTACACAGGAACAATAACACTGGTATAATTAAGCAATAAGGCACGAGGGGGTGTGGTATATGCCAATATACCATGGCTAAGGGCTGTTCTTAGGCACGATGTAACGCGGAGTGAGACGTGGTTAGCCGTGGTATATACAGTTGATTTCTTCAAACCAAGCTGCTTACCTATTGCAGATTCAGTCTTCCCAGCCTGGTGCACGTCTATAATTTTGTTTCTGGTGTCCTTTGACAGCTCTTTGGTCTTGGCCATAGTGGAGTTTGGAGTGTGACTGTTTGAGGTTGTGTACAGGTGTCTTTTATACTGATAACAAGTTCAAACAGGTGCCATTAATTCAGGTAACGAGTGGAGGACAGAGGAGCCTCTTAAAGAAAAAGTTACAGGTCTGTGAGAGCCAGAAATCTTGCTTGTTTGTAGGTGACCAAATACTTATTTTCCACCATAATTTGCAAATAAATTCATTAAAAATCCTACAATGTGATTTTCTGGATTTTTTTTCCTCAATTTGTCTGTCATAGTTGACGTGTACCTATGATGAAAATTACAGGCCTCTCTCATCTTATTAAGTGGGATAACTTGCACAATTGGTGGCTGACTAAATACTTTTTTCCCCCACTGTATATACAGTACAAGTCAAACGTTTGGACACACCTACTCATTCAAGGGTTTTTCTTTATTTTTACTATTTTCTACATTGTAGAATAATAGTGAAGACCTCAAAACTATGAAATAACACATATGGAATCATGTAGTAACCAAAAAAGTGTTAAACAAATCAAAATATATTTTAGATTTTTCAAAGTAGCCACCCTTTGCCTTCATGACAGCTTTGCACACTCTTGGCATTCTCTCATCCAGCTTCATGAAGGAGTTCCCACATATGCTGAGCACTTGTTGGCTGCTTTTCCTTCACTCCGCGGTCCAACTCATCCCAAACCATCTCAATAGGGTTGAGGTCGGGTTATTGTGGAGGCCAGGTCATCTGATGCAGCACACCATCACTCTCCTTCTTGGTCAAATAGCCCTTACACTCTCTGTGAATACTTTGATTTTAAACTGGTTGGGTCTGAATGTGGATAACCTTCATCGGGATACACCTGGATATCCCTGTGAATATATCCCATTATTTCACATTTTGCCGTACCGACCAGTAGTGTTTCTTCCTAAAAGATCAATCAATGCCAAACTCATTTGAACGGAACCTAACAAGCCTAGGCAGGTAGAAAGATGTCCCACTGTGCTAAGAGATGAGCAATAGAAGACTGCGGTGCCATGTAACAGCTGCTCACTGTTTTACATTCAGACAGGACAATAGCACAAACTAGGACATACAAATCAACATTCGCTACCAGTAAAAAAAGTAATATAAATAATTGAGAATACAGCCAGTATACAAACAGGCAACACCACTAAGAAATCTTTCAACAAACAACTGAAAAATAAAAATCATATTCTCTTCATCTGCCCAAATGTATTCAGAATAGATTCTGCAACTAGCGTAATATCACACACTTGTTTGAACATAGGCCTATATGGATGACAAAAATATTATTTTAGGAGATACTTAATTATCATATTCGTTAATCATTATTTTGTATGGGAATAGTGTTGGTGCTTTCTCCATGAGCTAGCCTCCTATAAGCACACCCATTATTCCCTTCCCTCTCCAACATCCAACCTCCTGAGTTATTTAGATGGATCTTCCTTCCACGTTTCTGGTCAGTCAGATGTATTTGAGCCAAGTCAGCATGGAGCCTAGCCTACTGTACAGAAGCTCCAGGGGCTATGGGGTGATGGGGATGTGCTGTCTATGTGCATTAGGGAACTTTACTGCAACACCTCCGAGGCCTCTGTGTCTGTGTGTTCAGCTGATTCTTCCTAAAACACTGTATCAGATGGACATACAGTAGAAATGTCATATTCATCTATTAGCATTGATATTCACTATATATCTATATAGGAAGAGAGTAAAGGCGTCCTTATGCTTCCCATCCAAAACAGTTGGGAACAGTTTGTGCATGCTGTATATTATGATGACATTTAGCGACTTGTTGTTCGTTTTGGTCTTCGGCTGTTCGTGCACACATTTTTTCTAGTCGAAGTCGGTAGCCGAAGTCTACGCTCCTTTGTCGGTGATTGGTCAACAGTACGGATTCTTCAAAGTGTTTGTTGTCATTCAATGAGAGACGACTCGTTCTCATGCACATTTTTTCATTGAGAAATACTGCACCAAACAACATGTAAAATTGTGCGACTAAGATCTGCTCGGGAAAAACTTCAAAATGAATGACAGATTCTGAGTTATCTTAGATTCATTCTGACTACAGCGTCTCAATATGGACAAACATTACTATTGCTGTTTTTTTCTCGTTTTTCAAACGAATGTCTTTCCAACGTTCGGTTCGCATATAGGCTCCAGCGTCATATAGTTATATAGTCATATAGGCTCCGTCATACGATGCCACCTTTCCAACAAGTCAGTTCGTCAAATTTCTGACCTGCTAGAGCTGCCCCGGTCAACTGTAAGTGCTGTTATTGTGAAGTGGAAAAGCCTTGGAGCAACAACGGCTCAGCTGTGAAGTGGAAGGCACACAAGCTCACAGAACGGGACCGCCAAGTGCTGAAGCGCGTAAAAATCGTCTGTCCTCGGTTGCTACACTCACTACTGAGTTACAAACTGCCCCTGGAAGCAACGTCAGCACAATAACTGTTCGTCGGGAGCTTCATGAAATGGGTCTCCATGGTCGAGCAGCTGCACACAAGCCTAAGATCACCATGTGCTATGCCAAGCATCGGCTGGAGTGCTGTAAAGCTCGCCGCCACTGGACTCTGGAGCAGTGGAAACGCGTTCTCTAGAGTGATGAATCACGCTTCACCATCTGGCAGTCCGACGGACAAATCTGGTATGCCAGGAGAACGCTACCTACCCGAATGCATAGTGCCAACTAAAGTTTGGTGGAGGAGGAATAATGGTCTGGGGCTGTTTTTCATAGTTCGGGCTAGGCCCCTTAGTTCCAGTGAAGGGAAATCTTAACGCTACAGCATACAATGACATTCTAGATGATTCTGTGCTTCCAACTTTGTGACAACAGAATGGGGCAGGCCCTTTCCTGTTTCAGCATGAAAATGTCCCCATGCACAAAGCAAGGTCCATACAGAAATGGTTTGTCGAGATCTGTGTGGAAGAACTTGACTGGCCTCCACAGAGCCCTGACCTCAACCCCATCGAACACCTTTGGGATGAATTGGAACGCTGACTGCAAGCCAGGCCTAATTGTCCAACATCAGTGCCCAACCTCACTAATGCTCTTGTGGCTGAATGGAAGCAAGTCCCCGCAGCAATTTTCCAACATCTAGTGCAAAGCCTTCCCAGAAGCGTGGAGGCTGTTATAGCGGCAAAGTGGGGACCAACTCCATATTAATGCCCATGATTTTGGAATGAGATGTCCGACGAGCAGATGTCCACATACTTTTGGTCATGTAGTGTATTTAATCACAGTATTTATCTGTCTGGGCTCAAACATTTTATAGAATAATAAGACTGTTTTCCTGTTGTTCTAGGTGTCATGGTTGTCTATTAATATGCTATTTTCATCTATTTCTCATGTTTGTACATCTGAAAGAAACAGAAATGAAATACATATATTTTGTCTTCTTTGATGATTGTTGGAAGGAATTTGCATTAGAAGGTCGGAAAAAAGCCAGAGGAAATGCCAGTAGTAGTCAACTGTCCCTGACAGTGTGAATAGATCAGGTAATATGTTATGGTGGAACTGATTGAACGTGTCTGTAGTGTTTGAAGTTTCTGTGGAGTGATTTACAGTGGGGACAGAAGGTGTCATCACATCACTTCCTGTTTGCCATCCATCACCTATTACAGTTGGCTGCAAACGAAGACGGATCAAAATGCCAATACCAACTAACACGCCCACTCCTCACAGCACAAGCCTCAGGCCAACCCTTTTATACACCTACACCAAATTCTGGTACTCTCTAGCTCAGTTGGTGGAGCATGGCACTTGCAACACCAGGATAGTGGGTTCGCTTCCCGGGACCACCCATACATAAAATGTATGCACGCATGACTAAGTCTTTGGATAAAAGTGTCTGCTAAATGGCATATACAATATTATTGTAACGACCCGGTATTGTGTTCTGTGTTCGTGGGTGTGTTATTGTTCTCATGGGTGCTAGAAGGGGTTAAATATACCAGGACAGATGGAAAGGTTGGGGGGGTATGATGGGTAAGGGTTTTGAAATGCATAAATAGGGGTTACTGTCTCGTCTCCCCCTCTTCTGTTCGGGACCCTTAACTTGACATGTTATATTTGTGTACGTTCGGGATTTAGCGGCGTGGGCTGTGGCCTGAACAATAGCCCATTTAGGAATAAACCTGTGTTCTGCCCTGTACACCTGGTGCCCGTCTTTCTTTTCCTTTATGACCCAGCTGGGTCATTACATTATTATATTAATACACCTAAAGCTTCTCTATATAGGATTCCTTTCATCATCTACAACTCCAGTAGAACTAGATAACATGTAATGTATCACTTCTAAAATCATTTCAACTGACATCTCATCTTGCTGTACAATGCAGTCTTTGATAGTTTTGCTACTTCTATCAGCAACAAAATGAAAGCAATAGAAATGGCAAAAGATCTGAGTTTCTGTCAGACGTACAAAAGAGGCTTGAGTCGGTCTCTAAATGTTGACATCAGTGGTACATGAAAGGCAGTGAGATTATGTGGGATCCCTCTGGTTTCACACTCCAAGTAACAGTTTGAGCTCTTGTCAATGGAAAGTTGAAGACCTTTGAAATTGTGGGAAAGAAATGTTCACTACTTGAAACAGCAGCTTTACTTGCTCATCAGTCTTCTCTCTCATCTTTCTAAAGGCAGGGAGGAAGCTAAGGTGCAGAAATAAAATAATGAACGCATTCAATGTGAAAGGAGGTGAGAAAAGGATGCACGTACATTCTACAGGGATTTCCACTTCCCCCGTTGAGTTTTGCTACAGATGTAGGATCTTAATTTGATCACTCTTTTGTTGCTGAGAATTTTCCTGCACAGCAATATTTGAGGTTTAAAAAGGCTTTAAAATTTTGTCATTTACACTTTGAAATTTCAGACTTGATTTGCCCTAACGAAAAATTTATTTTAACCCCTACAATATTATAATCCACATTATTATTCACATTTCCTGTTGCTGCATGATTATTTTCCTGCTGTAGGAAATTGGCTCAAATTAAGATCCTACATCTGTAGATATGATAAACAAAACGTTTTCAGCTTTTCTAACTCAGAGCTGTTAGTAATCCATTTAGTAATGGATAAATGAGCAGACAAACAAATACCACACTTTATCAAAGTGAACTTACTCTCAACGATCACTCTCCGTCCAGTCCAGTCATCATTGACAACCTGTATATTCCCAAAGTGAACGTCACTATAGAAAATCCGGTTGGTGCCTCCAGAGTTCTGTTGTTGGTGATGAAAGGCCAGCGCTATCACATTCTTGAAGTAGGCAGGGTTCTCATAGGGCCTGATGGGAGAGTTGAGGTCGCTGTCGTCTGATAGGTGGATGCTCCTCAGGACCGACCTCTCAGAGTAGAGAAGGTAGCCATCGTACTGGTGACAGTTGAGACCGTCTAATCAAATGACAATGATTATCTAATTGAACCCTTGAAACTGTGATTAATTGAAATAATAAACATTTGATGTGAAAAAAATTAAAAAATAAGATCAAACTTTAAAATGCATTTAAAATCGCTACACACTTAACAGTAAAACAATTATATAAATTAAAAGAATAAAAAGCAAACAAGAGGCAATAAAAGAGATGAATAAATGAACATAAACATACAAAAGATCACTGATTACCTTTAGCCAAGTAGCCGTGAGCACAGGAACACGTCCTCCTCCCACTGCCCTGGTGGAAACACAGCTGATGGCAGCCTCCGTTGTTCTGGCCGCACGGGTTGGTTCCTGTAGGGAAGTCAACAGCAGGGTCAAAGGTCAGAGGTCAACACAGGGTCAAGTCAGGTTCTCCACAGTCTCATTGGCTATCAATCTGAAATGTATTGTTTTGACCATAAGGAATAAGATTCCATTATGAAGTTGCAATGATATTGCAGTATCAATGTTAGTCAATATTCAGATATTAGGTTTCAATACCTTCACATTAAAGGGGCAATAAGCAGTTGCTGCATCCATTTTTGGACATTATTTGTACCTATTGATTCTTGAAGAATATAACCTATAAATAAATGCCTCATGAGCTTAGTTTAACTGTTGTACCCCAACAGAACCCAAAATATAAGCGTATTGTATTCCAATGTTTGTAAACGAAGTAAATGTAAACACACCATGGTTTAAACTATCATTTTGATATCATGGATGGTCAGTCCTTGCATCCATAGCTCTGTTTATGAATTTGAGAGTGATTACATTTTTCTAGCCCCATCCCTCAGCTTTTTACTGAAACAGATGATGATGATGTGATGGGAAGAACGTTGTTATTGTTTCAACAGCTGATTGGCCCTTTAATCTCAGGTCGATTCTAGAACACTTAACAACAGGTCCTGACAGCCTGGTAAGAAACATGAAATAATAAGGATGTGATAACGAAGTTGAAACCTCAACCTTTCTCCCGTCCTCGGTTAAAGACTTTGACATCGTTCAGGTTGACCCCCAGGCCACTCCTCAGAGTCATGGCTCCCTCTGTTGCATAACTCTTGACGCCTCGGCGAATGGAGCCGTTGGCATGAGCCCTACGCACGCACACATGCACACACACACACACAACAGGAAGAGGAGGGAGTTTGACACCAGGTAACAGGAAGTTTGACACGGGGATAATCAATGGCCCTCGACTAATTAAAACAGAATAACTCATTAAAATACACTAGACAGAAGCTAAAATATGCTAGACAGCTGGTCTGACAGAAGGTGACGGGACCTAGCTACCCTTGTGGACGACATTGAGGTAGGTACGCACAATTTAAATAGAGAGAAGGTGTCTTTTCACATTTTTCTGCCCTTTTCTCTGTCAATTATTATAGTATTTAAAGTGACCTTGTGGTGCAGGTGGTTAATCCAACAAGGGTAGAGCAGCTGACGAAGGCTTCTATGGAGCCTGTTTGGCGAGACTGTTCTGTACTGTAACATTTATGGAATAATAAATTACCTGTCAGCCCAGTATATGTAAGCCCCATAGACGGCCATTGAAAACAGATCTGCTGCATTGCTGGCTGAAGATGACAGTACTATCTCCCGGCCCTCTCCGCTCTCAAGGCTGATCCGCTCTATCTTGTCGGCGCGGGCATCGCACCAATATAATTTATTTTCCTAGAATACAATGTGGAGAAAATAAACTTGAGGTATATCACGGTGGGAGAGTATCCTTATAAAAAGATAACACAAAGCAGAGTGTAATGCCACTTCAGCCAGGAGGATCACAGGTAGGCTAAAGTACTGTGTGTGCACTCTGGGGGCCCAAAAAACACCTGGTCCTCCTGTTTGGCTCAGTGGGTAAGAGTGTGGAGCTAGCAACATCAACGTCATGGATTCGATTCCTGCTCGGGTCAGAACACTACAATGCCTGCACCCACTGATTGCCAATCATTTTGACACCTATCTTTTTAAGGAAAAAAATAAAAAAACTTGTTCAACAAAATGTATTTCTCTGAGCATCTGTATTACTTTGAAATAATAATAAAAAATACTAACAATTGAGCATATAATAAAGCTCGGTATTTGTATTATTTATTTTAAACAGTCTTTTTTGCTTATTTTTATCAAGGATGCCAATAACTTTGGAGATGACCGTATATAAGTTGTTTTGGATAAAAGCATCTGCTAAATGGCATTAATTATTCTATTTTATTATCTGGGTGGTTCGAGCCCTGAATGCTGATTGGCTGACAGCCGTGGTATATCAGACCGTATACCATGGGTATGACAAAAAATACTGTTTACTGTTCTAATTACGTTGGTAACCAGTTTATAATAGCAATAACGCACCTCAGGGAGTTTGTGATATATGGCCAATATACTGTACCACGATTAAGGGCTGTATCCAGGTACTCCGCGTTGCGTCATGCTTAAGAACAGCCCCTTGACTTTTTCCACATTTTGTTACGTTACAGCCTTAATCTAAAATGTATTAAATAAAAAACATTACTTAGCAATCTACACGCAATTCCCTATAATGACAAAGTGAAAACAGGTTTTTAGAAATTTTATTAAAAATAAAACAGAAATACCTTATTTACATAAATATTCAGACCCTTTGATATGAGACTCGAAGTTGAGCTCAGGTGCATCCTGTTTCCATTGATTATCCTTGAGAGGTTTCTACAACTTGATTGGAGTCCACCTGTGGTAAATTCAATTGATTGGACATGATTTGGAAAGGCCAATATACTGTACCACGATTAAGGGCTGTATCCAGGTACTCCGCGTTGACAGTGCATGTCAGAGCAAAATCCAAGCCATGAGGTCGAATGAATTGTCCGTAGAGCTCCAGGATTGTGTCGAGGCACAGATCTGGGGAAGAGTACCAAAAAAGCATTGAAGGTCCCCAAATGCACAGTGGCCTCTATCATTCTTCTGAGCAGTCGGGGGAGAAGGGGCTTGACCAGGAAGGTGACCAAGAACCCGATGGTCACTGACAGAGCTCTAGAGTTCCTCTGTGGAGATAGGAGAACCTTCCAGAAGGACAACCATCTCTGCAGCACTCCACCAATCAGGCCTTTATGGTAGAGAGGCCAGATGGAAGCCACTCCTCAGTAAAAAGGCACATGACAGCCCGCTTGGATTTTGCCAAAAGGCACCTAACGTCTCTCAGATCATGAGAAATAAGATTCTCTGGTCTAATGAAACCAAGATTGAACTCTTTGGCCTGAATGCCAAGCGTCACGTCTGGAGAAAACCTGGCACCATCCCAACGGTGAAGCATGGTGATGGTAGCAACATGCTGTGGGGATGTTTTTCAGCGGGAGGGACTGGGAGACTAGTCAGGATCGAGGGAAAGTTGAACAGAGCAAAGTACAGAGAGATCCTTGATGAAAATCTGCTCCAGAGCACTCAGGACCTCAGACTGGGGGCGAAGGTTCACCTTCCAACAGGACAACGACCCCAAGCACACAGCCAAGACAACACAGGAGTGGCTTCGGGACAAGTCTCTGAATGTCCTTGAGTGGCCCAGCCAGAGCCCAGACTTGAACCCGATCGAACATCTCTGGAGAGACCTGAAAATAGCTGTGCAGCAACGCTCCCCATCCAACCTGATCTGCAAAGAAGAATGGGAGAAACTCCCGAAATATAGGTGTGCCAAGCTTGTAGCATTATACCCAAGAAGACTCGATGCTGTAATCGCTGCTAAAGGTTCTTCAACAAAGTACTGAGTAAAGTGTCTGAATACATACATAAATGTATATTTCAGTTTTTTTATAATAAATTAGCAAACAATTCTAAAAACCAGTTTTTGCTCTGTCATTATGGGGTATTGTGTGTAGATTGATGAGAAAACAACAACAATTTAATCCATTTTAGAATAAGGCTGTAATGTAACAAAATGTAGAAAAAGTCAAGGTGTCTGAATACGTTACAAAGGCACTGTACAACACCCCCTCGGGCCTTATTGCTTAAATATACCTCATAGTCTATGGAGATCCCATTGGGCCATGCTATTCCAGAGTTGACAAGAATTACTTGGTCTGATCCGTCCAGCCGGGCCCGACCGATGCAGGGGCTTTGGCCCCATTCTGTCCAGAACAGAAACCTGGCCAAGAGGACAACAGAAGGGTAAGAAGAGTTCACAGCCACCACCAAACAATGTTCATACTTTACAGTCACCTCATACATTGACAGGAAATGCTTTGGGTTGATCTAATGTGAATTGTTCATAATCGGTAGACCATTTTTTTTTTGTCTAGTTGCGATAAAGATCTATTTTTCAAGAGAGAACTGTCAGGAGCATCAACACATCATTATTAGACACAGGCTCATGACGGAAATGACATCAATACAATAAGCAGCATGTCAGTAAGAAACATGTACACAGCACAAGCCAGAAAAACAGAGTGCAATACATCAAGCATCAGAGCTTGCAATAAATCACATGGCCATAACAGAATCAATGCATCAACTAAAGGTGGCTGAACTCAATGCTGGTATGGATGGACAGTGGAGTAGACATTTTCAACTCCCTTTCAGAATACTAATACTGAGGCGTGCAGCTGATCAATGTTCCGACGGTTATGACTTACTAACTGTGAACGCACCAATTATAAATTATAAAATATAACATGACAGTATGCCCTGGCTCCAATCTCCTCACACAAACTCTTATATCCATAGGGGGCCAGTTGTTGACATATTTCTATATTGGCTTTAATTTAAGCAATCAGAGTGATTGCCACATAAAGTTATCTCTCTCTACATGAGACCTCGGGGTAATGCATGCATACAATGCTATGAATAATAGGGGTTAGAGAGAGACAACATTAATTAGCCCGGCGCAGGTGAGGCACAAGCTGTGACAGTAGGCACACACACACACACACACACACACACACACACACACACACACACACACACACACACACACACACACACACACACACACACACACAGTGCCAGTAGACTCATCTCTATTCTCCTCAGCTGCTTATCCTGGTTCATTAGCATCTCTCATCAGGGGGAGGAATCAATAGGAAAGTGCCCTGCAGTCTAAGCTGATGTGGGAAAATGGACCTGTCATTTATTTTCCTCTTATTAATGATCGAGAAGCTGAACACATGAGACAGTGCTATCAGTTATGAATGCAGAGAGTGGGGAAATACTGTATTTATACTTTATAGTGTGCTTTGGATGAAGGGTGGAGTGTTTAGATTTTATTGGCTGGTAATTGCTTGATGTCATATGTACATTTTGTTGTGTTACAGCCTGAATTTAAAATGGATTAAATTGATATTTTGTGTCACTGATCTACACAACAATACCCCATAATGTCAAAGTAGAATATATACACTACTGTTCAAAAGACTGGGGTCACTTAGAAATGTCCTTGTTTTTGAAAGAAAAGCAATTTCTTTGTCCATTAAAATAACATCAAATTGATCAGAAATACATTGTAGACATTGTTAATATTATAAATGGCTATTGTAGCTGGAAATGGCTTATTTTTAATGGAATATCTACATAGGCGTACAGAGGCCCATTATCAGCAACCATCAGTCCACGTTGTGTTTGCTAATCCAAGTTTATCATTTTAAAAAGGCTAATTGATCATTAGAAAACCCTTTTGCAATTATGTTAGCACAGCTGAAAACTGTTGTGCTGATTTAAAGAAGCAATAAAACTGGCCTTGAGTATCTGGAGTTGAGTATCTGGAGCATTAGCAATTGTGGGTTCGATTACAGGCTCAAAATGGCCAGAAACAAATAACTTTCTTCTGAAACTCGTCAGTCTATTCTTGTTCTGAGAAATGAAGGCTATTTCATGCGAGAAATTGACAAGAAACTGAAGTTCTCGTACAACGATGTGTACTACTCCCTTCACAGAACAGCGCAAACTGGCTCTAACCAGAATAGAAAGAGGAGTGGGAGGCCCTGGTGCACAACTGAGCAAGAGGACAAATACATTAGAGTGTCTAATTTGAGAAACAGATGCCTCACAGGTCTCTACTGGCAGCTTCATTAAATAGTACCCGCAAAACACCAGTCTCAACGTCAACAGTGAAGAGGCGACTCCGGGATGCTGACCTTCTAGGCAGAGTTGCAAAGAAAAAGCCATATATCAGACTGGCCAATAAAAAGAAAAGATTAAGATGGGCAGTCTGAGATATGGCTGTTTCTTTGCATAAGTATTCAGACCCTTTACTCAGTAGTTTGTTGAAGCACCTTTGGCAGCGATTACAGCCTCAAGTCTTCTTGGGTATCACGCTACAAGCTTGGCACACCTGTGTTTGGGGAGTTTCTCCCATTCTTCTCTGCAGATCCTCTCAAGCTCTGTCAGGTTGGATGGGGAGCGTCGCTGCACAGCTATTTTCAGGTCTCTCCAGAGATGTTCGATCAGGTCTATGTCCTGGCTCTGGCTGGGCCACTCAAGGACATTCAGAGACTTGTCCCGAAGCCACTCCTGCGTTGTCTTGGCTGTGTGCTTAGAGTCGTTGTCCTGTTGGAAGGTGAACCTTCGCCCCAGTCTGAGGTCCTGAGTGCTCTGGAGCAGATTTTCATCAAGGATCTCTCTGTACTTTGTTCTGTTCCTCTTTCCCTTGATCCTGACTAGTCTCCCAATCCCTGCCGCTGAAAAACATCCCCACAGCATGATGCTGCCACCACCATGCTTCACCGTAGGGATGGTGCCAGGTTTCCTCCAGACGTGACGCTTGGCATTCAGGCCAAAGAATTCAATCTTGGTTTCATCAGACCAGAGAATCTTGTTTCTCATGGTCTGAGAGTCCTTTAAGTGCCTTTTGGCAAACTCCAAGCGGGCTGTCATGTGCCTTTTACTTAGGGCATTTCTAAAAACCTGTTTTCACTTTGTCATTATGGGGCATGGTGTGTCGATTGATGAGGAAAAACATATTTAATACATTTTAGAATAAGGCTGTAACGTACCAAAATGTGGAAAAAGTGAAGGGGTCTGAATACTTTCCGAATGCACTGCATATTAGTGTTTTATTATTCATGATTTGTATAAACGTTCAAATTTTTATTTTCTTCCACTTTGACATTAGAGTATTTTGTGTAGATTGTTGACAAAAAAATTACTATTAAATCCATTTTAATCCCACTTTGTAACATAACAAAACGTGGAAAAAATCAAGGGGTGAGAATACTTTCTAAAGGCACTGTAATTATATAATTCTACTACATATTCTTGTAATGATCATCTTATGACGTTCATTATTACAGGCTATCAAAATCAATTAAAACATTGGTTATTTGGTGGTCATTTCTAGGGAATACATTATGCAGATAGGATGTGTTCATTACATACCAAGTGGGTGGACTTTAAAGTGTTGACTGAAATGAAAGACTGTACACACCCTTTCACCGGGTGCACAGCAATGGCTTTGGGCTGGTCAAGTCCTTCAGCTATCACCACGGCTCGGTACAAGCCACTGAGTCGAGCAACCTCTATGATGTTGAAGCCATGGTCCGTCCAATAGATATTACCTAGTGAACAACACAAACAAACATGAATTTGTACAGTGTTAAACCATTGCATTACAAGTCAGTCAATTCATTACATTTTATGTATGTCTTACTTGAGAAGTATGTCCAATATATTTTACTTGCAGTCAAATATATTGGCACCCTTTCACTTTACAATGGAGCGCAATGGAGCAGAATGTTCTGTTTTCTATTTTTTTATGGTTGAACTGCTATTTTTACTCTGTAGCCACCTGAAACTTACCACAGGTAAGATGTTACACTGTAAACGAGAATCGCCTGCCTCCAACCAAATTAATTAGAATTCTGAATAATTTAGTCAACGCAGTTTTTTTTTTATACTTCGAAGTGAAAAATATGATTTTTATATTTTTTTCTTGGTCCTGTGCAGTTGTAAATCAAACAAATACCTGTGTGAAAAACTTTGTTTTAATTTCAAGTTATTTTAGAAGAAATAGTGAAACTTGCAAGGGTGCCTACGGAAAGTATTCAGACCCCTTTACTTTTTCCACATTTTGTTACGATACAGCCTTATTCTAAAATTGATTTTTTTTTTTTTATCCTCAGCAATCTACACACAATACCCCATAATGACAAAGCGAAAGCAGGTTTAGAAATGTTTGCAAATGTATTACAAATAAACAACAAAAATACCTTATTTACATAAGTATTCAGACCCTTTGCTATGAGACTCAAAATTGAGCTCAGGTGCATCCTGCTTCCATTGATCATCCTTGACATGTTTCTACAACTTGATTGGAGTCCACCTGTGGTAAATTCAATTGATTGGACATGATTTGGAAAGGCACACACCTGTCTATATAAGGTCCCACAGTTGACAGTGCATGTTGGAGCAAAAACCAAGCCATGATGTCGAAGGAATTGTCCGTAGAGCTCCGAGACAGGATTGTGTCGAGGCACAGATCTGGGGAAGGGTACCAAAACATTTCTGCAGCATTGAAGGTCCCCAAGAACACAGTGGCCTCCATCACTCTTAAATGGAAGAAGTTTGGAAACACCAAGACTTAGAGCTGGCAGCCCGGCCAAACTGAGCAATCGGGGGAGAAGGGCCTTGGTCAGGGAGGTGACCAAGAACCCGATGGTCACTCTGACAGAGCTCTAGATGTCACACCCTGATCTGTTTCACCTGTCTTTGTGATTGTCTCCACCCCTCTCCAGGTGTTGCCCATCTTCCCCATTATCCCCTGTGTATTTATACCAGTGTTCTCTGTTTGTTGCCAGTTTGTTTTGTTTCGTCAAGCCTACCAGCGTTTTTCCCCTTGCATCCGGTCTTTATTAAGTTTTCTAGTTTTCCCGGTTTTGACCATTCTGCCTGCCCTGACCCTGAGCCTGCCTGCCGTTCTGTACCTTGTCATACCACCCTGGATTATTGACCTCTGCCTGCCCTGACCCTGAGACTGCCTGCCGTTCTGGACCTTTTGGACTCTGACCTCTGCCTGCCCTCAACCTGTCGTTTGCCTGCCCCCTGTTTTTGAAATAAACTTGTATTACTTCGACACTGTCTGCATCTGGGTCTTCTCCTGAAACGTGACAGTACGAACTGGCCTGACTGACCCAGCAGACTCGGACCAGCTCCGCAACGCCATCTCCTCCCAAGGAGCCACCATTGGAAGACACAAGGAGTTGCTTTGTGGTCTCATGGAAGAGTTCCAGACCTTGGCCGAACGCCATGTCCGAGCATTTAACACATTGCTGGAGCAATTCCGCGGGTTGTCTCTTAGGCAGCCTACCACAACGGTAACCTCCCAGCCCCTCAGCAACCCGGCTTTTAGCAGGTGTGCCAAGCTTGTAGCGTCATACCCAAGAAGACTCGAAGGCTGAAATCGCTGCCAAAGGTGCTTCAACAACTACTGAGTAAAGGGTCTGCATACCTATGTAAAGGATCTGATTACTTATGTAACTGTTATTTTACATTTACATTTACGTCATTTAGCAGACGCTCTTATCCAGAGCGACTTACAAATTGGTGCATTCACCTTATAGCCAGTGGGTTAACCACTTTTTTTTTGTTATATTTCAGTTTTTTACAAAAACAATGTTATACATTTTAGAATAAGGCTGTAACCTAACAAAATGTGGAAAAAGTCAAGGGGTCTGAATACTTTCTGAAGGCACTGAATTTGACTGCAACTGTACTTGTATGTCCTACTTGGCACTTTACATTGTATTCTCTTATGTAAAGGTTTACTTTGAGAGCTCGGCTACTTACTTGCAATCCAGTCCACTGCAATCCCCTCCACGCGGCTGATACCACTAGTGACAATGTCCTCTCTCCACGTCTGATCTCGCTTGGCTCTGGATATTCTGTTCAAGCCCATGTCTGTCCAATATAACGTATCATTTCCTATGAGGAACACCAATTAATTGAAAAGGATTAATGTTCTCCCCCTCATTTGTTTTCTACAAACTATAATTAAAAATAACAATTAAAACATTGAAATTAGTGATTAATTTGCAATCCGAAGCAGGAAGAATAGTCCAAATAATCACAATAAAACAATGTCAATACACTCACCAGCATGGAAGTCAATCCCCACAGCCATCATAGAGCCGGTCACCGGCATCAAGGCTTCACTGTTATCACTGGGATCCAGGGATATCCCCCTGATGCCCTCATGAACCGAGTACATCAGGAAAGACCCTATGCCTTCAAGTTGAAACACAAAGCCAAACCAATCAACTATATGGCATCTACTGTACATGTACAATTAAATTCTAACCTTCACTTCACATCACATCAGGAAAGACCCTAGTCCTTCAAACACAAAAAAGCAACACTCATAGACAACACCATATGTCAAGGCCAATATGGGACCTGCATAGCATGTCAAATCAGATTCACATCATGGTTTAAATATACTGTGTTCCCTGTTCCCTGTACTCCCATGAGAAGCCGGTACAGTACCTTCACATGACATGCGATCAGAGTGGAGGTTGTAGCCCACGGCACAGGAACAGCTCCGTGTGCTCTCTGATGTCGGGAAGCAGAGCTGAGAGCAGCCACCATTGTTGACCTGACAGAGATTCCTCCCTGCACAGCAGTGGGACATGGTTAGGTTACATTGTACGTTACGCTGTAAACAAACAGTGTACATTAGACATTACATTGTACATTTAACACGTAGGCATGGTCATTGTATATGCTTGTGTATTCATTCAGGAAGCAACACAGTAATGACACAGTAGAACAACATGTTTTAATATTTAACTGAGCATTATGGGGGAAATAAGCAGAGTTAGACAGAGTACATCTGCATTGCATTACGTTCCGATTCTTTTCATGAGATTACAGTACTTCCAAGAAAGCATTAGCACTGCCATTGTGTGTGTGACAGAGAGAGAGAGAGAGAGGACGAGAGTGAGAGTGAGAGTGAGAGTGAGAGTGGGAGCGAGAGCGAGAAAGAGGAGAAGGGGAGAGAGAGAAGACTAATGAGACATGGCCATACTCCCATGTGGTCTGTGTCAAAAAGATAAATGAAGTAGCTAATCGGTCAGAGGAAGTTTGAGGAGGAAGTTTAAAGATTTACATTTAAGACACCTTCATTCCCATGTTTATTACTAACGGAGATCGAGAGCAATCCTTATATTGGACATGTCAATAAAATGGATGATACTGCCAATGACTCACAAAACTGCTACAAGGAATCCTAGTGTTATTTCAATAAAGCTGTGCCTCAATGAAGAACCATTTTTTTTGGTCAGTTGGATTCAAAAATGACAATTTCTGCTGAAACATACATATACAGTTGGAGTCATTAAAACTTGTTTTTCAACCAGTCCACACATTTCTTGTTAACAAACTATAGTATTGGCAAGTCGGTTAGGACATCTACTTTGTGCATGACACAAGTAATTTTTCCAACAATTGTTTACAGACAGATTATTTCACTTATAATTCACTGTATCACAATTCCAGTGGGTCAGAAGTTTACACACACTAAGTTGACTGTGCCTTTAAACAGCTTGGGAAATTCCAGAAAATGATGTCATGGCTTTAGAAGCTTCTGATAGGCTAATTGACATAATTTGAGTCAATTGGAGGTGTACCTTTCGATGTATTTCAAGGCGTACCTTCAAACTCAGTGGCTCTTCGCTTGACATCATGGGAAAATCAAAAGAAATCAGCCAAGACCTCAGGAAAAATAATCGTAGACCCCCACAAGTCTGGTTCATCCTTGGGAATATTTTCCAAACGCCTGAAGGTACCATGTTCATCGGTACAAACAATAGTACGCAAGTATAAACACCATGGGACCACACAGCCGTCATACTGCTCAGGAAGGAGACGCGTTCTGACTCCTAGAGATGAACGTACTTTGGTGCAAAAAGTGCAAATCAATCCCAAAACAGCAGCAAAGGACTTTGTGAAGATGCTGGAGGAAACAGGTACAAAAGTATCTATATCCACAGTAAAACGAGTCCTATATCGACATAACCTGAAAGGCTGCTCAGCAAGGAAGAAGCCACCGCTCCAAAACCGCCATAAAAAAGCCAGACTACGGTTTGCAACTGCACATGGGGACAAAGATCGTACTTTTCGGAGAAATGTCCTCTGGTCTGATGAAACAAAAAAAGAACTGTTTGGCCATAATGACCATTGTTATGTTTGGAGGAAAAAGGGGGATGCTTGCAAGCCGAAGAACACCATCCCAACCGTGAAGCACGGGGGTGGCAGCATCATGCTGTGGGAGTGCTTTGCTGCAGGAGGGACTGGTGCACTTCACAAAATAGATGGCATCATGAGGAAGTAAAATTATGTGGATATATTGAAGCAACATCTCAAGACATCAGTCAGGAAGTTAAAGCTTGGTCGCAAATGGGGTCTTCCAAATGGACAATGACCCCAAGCATACTTCCAATGTTGTGGCAAAATGGCTTAAGGACAAACAAAGTCAAGGTATTGAAGTGGCCATCACAAAGCCCTGACCTCAATCCTATAGAAAATGTGTGGGCAGAACTGAAAAAGTGTGTGCCTACAAACCTGACTCAGTTACACCAGCTCTGTCAGGAGGAATGGGCCAAAATTCACCCAATTTATTGTGGGAAGCTTGTGGAAGGCTACCCAAAACGTTTGACCCAAGTTAAACAATTTAAAGGCAATGCTACCAAATAATAATTGAGTGTATGTAAACTTCTGACCCACTGGGAATGTAATGAAATAAATAAAAGCTGAAATAAATCATTCTCTCTGCTATTATTCTGACATTTCACATTCTTAAAATGAAGTGGTGATCCTAACTGACCTAAGACAGGGAATTTTTACTAGGATTAAATGTCAGGAATTGTGAAAAACTGAGTTTAAATCTATTTGCCTAAGGTGTATGTAAACTTCCAAACTGTATACCAATAATAAACAATGTTAGTGCATTTACATGTTAGTCTTACAGTTGCGAGCGCATACATTGTTATACTTTATTTCATACTGGTCCCCCGTGGGAATCAAACTCACAACCCTTGCGTTGCAAGCGCCATGCTCTACCAACTGAGCTACACAGGACTGCACTCTCAATGGAGGATAAATACGTATTTATTTCTAGTCAAAAGGCTCCAACAAAGCTTTAAAAGGAGGTAGGACATCATCTGAGTAAAAGCATTGAGTAGCAGTCATACTCATTGCATTACCTGTCTGGCTGTCTTTGTCATACATCTTCATATGAACAATCCCTGTGGTCTTGTTGCGTAAAACCACCATGTCCAGCCCACCTCTCTTACTGATGGTCCCCAACTGGGCCAAGTTGTCATCAGCCCACCACAACTTGGCACCTGAAGACAGAAAATCAATGATTGTTCATGACTAAATTGACAAGTATATTGATAAATAATAGCTATTCAACAGTCCATAAATACTGTACAGTAGCAATAGGGGTTCTGTGCTGTCTGTGAGTAACCCTTCAATAAAAAGCTAACAGCACATTTGTTCATAAATAGTAGGCTATACAGCATGTTCACAGAATACTATAAATATCACTGGACCCAAATAACACATTGAATGATTGCTTTCCTAGGAATTGTAACATACAACTGTAACTGAACTGAATACATTCTAGGAATGGTATAATACTGTATTATCCATAAGGTATGTATAGCTCTCACTGTACAGTATGCCCAGGCTGACTCCTGGGATTGTTGTAAAATAAGGTACAAGGAGGGAGCTTTGTAAAGGAGGACTTTCAGATGTCTTCCTCTGAGAATTGGGTGATATGAGACAGAGAGACAGGATCTTAAATTCATTCCTCTACCCATAAGTCTCAGGGGCACAGGTCCAGGGAGGAAACAGAGGAACTGGGCCATGTGACATTTTGTTTAGATATTTTTTTCTTATAATATGAGCCCATGTACTGTACTTGCACCCTTGACCGAAAATGAACAAAAATGTTTATGCAGTTCCAGCAAAACAGGCAACACTGAGATACAGTCAGCCCAGCACAACAGACATAGGACAGCAGCCCAGCAGTCAGAAAACCTCTGAAGCAAGACCAATCCTGTGCCTGTAGGCTGTAGACAGGGAACTTCAATTTATCTTCTTTTTTTTACCTGTCTGCAAGCTTGAATGGGGAACAGTACAGTGGGCTTAAGCCAGACCATTCTTGGCTTTTGGCCTGCTGGACTACAGCTATCAACAAAGAACAGAATCTCCTCGAACGATGGGAGGATTGGAGAGCATACAAAAAGACGCTGTGTTAAAACCACAGAGGAAAATATATATATTTCTATGGTTAAAACACCCATACGATTTACATAAACAGCAGTCCCTCTGCAGGTGAATTACATCAGAATCAAACAGTAGTCCCCACAGAATGACACCAGACCGTAGATAGATAGATAGATAGTACTTCAATATCCCAGAGGCCATTTCAATATCCCAAGCAGATAAGAGGTAATATAAACTAAGGAATCATAACAAAAACCAGAGCGAGAAGCCCATCAATTATCATGTATCTCTCGTCTAGCTCCCTGTAGCATTACTCATGGGGAATAACCACTATAAGGAGGTTAATGCAGATCTGATATTTAAAAAATTAATACAACCATCCAATCAATATGAAAAAGAATGATTCCACCATGATAATAGTATCATGATCAACTTTCTTGTAGAGCGTGGAGAGAAACTCCCCCTCAATGATCTGTACTATTAAAACAGTACAATCACCATTACAGCTACAAGTAAACCTGGAACAGACAGTCAGTGAGCAGGATGGATAGAAAGCCCAGGTTGCCCATCACTACGTCAGAACGCCTGGTTACTGTTTTCTGTTTCTGTAGCGTGAGGCAGCTTGATGCAAAGGTACATCTCCTGGACTGTCGCCCATCACTGTAGAGGCCAAACAAGTCCTACTGAAGTCAAAGAAACTTCCCTAATGCATTCTGTCTGGATTAGGCATTTTATCAGATGGGATGCAATTTTAAACATGAATTAGAATAGTTTCAGAGACATAAACAGAAATGGGGAAACAGCAAATAATACAATGCAAGAAGACAGCAAAGGTTCATCACTGTCAAAACCCCTTTTACTCATGTACTCCAGATCAAAAACAACCCCAAATAAATGTACTAGTATTTAAAACAAGATACAATTTGGGCAGCAAATACTTTTCTGAGCTGGAAGAGCACAGCATATTTATATTAGACACTTTCTAAGACAAAAAATATCCACAAAGAGTCTCAGGGTAGTAGTGCTCATTCATAGAATCATGCTCTAAAAGGCAAAACTGATCCTAGATCAGCACTCCTACTCTGAGACACTTTATGAACATGGGCCCATGCGCTAAACTCTCGTCACTCACCCATAACAGCTAGAGCCGTGGCTTTGACCAGCTCTTTCTTCATGGTCTCCAGCACTTCCAGACCACTACCGTCCAGACTACACCTGTTGATGGTGGCATTGCCTGCACTGATCCAATACAGCTTATCTGATGTGTAGTCTATCGACAGCCCTAGAGGAGACATCATCGATTAGAGTCATTGATTTATATATTATGGGGTTGCTGTTCTACCGATCATCTCACTCAATATTGCAATGTTGTTTGTTACCAGATAGTACTAATGTTATCATGCAATATAAAATTGCAGAAGATAAATTGTACTGGCCACTAAATGTGGATGTTATTGTACTTAGAACAAATATTCAGAATTGTACACGTGACATTTACCAACAGGCTCTCTCTGGTTCTGGTGAATGATCTTGCTATTGCTTCCATCCATGTTGGCCATGTTTATTGCATTGCCATCTGTCCAATACATTTTCCTGGGAGGTAAAAACTCAATAAGAAAACAACATTTTCCATACAGAACACCAACACAAAAGTGAATCATTGATCATATCATGTAACTAGCATTAATTTGACAATATAACATCAGTTCCACTGGATATCTTGTTATACCTAATCAATATCAGATATTGAACTGTATAAAAGTATACACACAAATCAAATACAAATATTACCCTTTAGACGGATGTACAATGAGACACTTAGGCTTCTCAATCCCATGAACCACAGAAGTTTTCAGCGACCCGTCTAGCCTTGCCACGTTTATCTGTGTCTCGTCGCTTTCTGAACTAATCCAATACAGGTTCCTGGAGAGCCAGTCCAGGGCCAGCCCTCTTCCATTAACAATACCTGCAAACAATCATATGCAGAAGACAACATCAATATGTTAAACTCAAATCAAATAATGTACTGAGTCTATCGCTTGAACAACCTGACAAGTGCACTATTAAAATTAGAATGGGTACCTATCAAAAGGACATCAAATGGATGCAAAACAGTGTGACAGTCTCATAATACATTTATAAAAAAACGTTTCGTTTTATTACGTAAGTGTCAGAAAACCGATCCATTTAAAAACACAGAGGTGAACATCTTTCTCTACCTCCGGATATGATTGTCTCTATTGCGGTTCCGTTGATGGAGGACCGTTTGATGGTTTGTGTTTTGACGTCAGTCCAGTAGATTCGTTCCTCTGATGCATCGTAGTCCACTGACGTGACCTCATCTATATCTGGGACCGTCAGGGCCGTGATGAGGTTCAGGTAAGGGTTGTCAACGTCCACGCCACGGATCTCTGTTCGCCTCACATACAGCAGAAATCTCTTCAGTGCTGTTGAAGGACAAGAGAAACAAATTATACATTGACATTGCTTTGTATAGCCTGCTTTCAAAATTCTGAATCAAGCTGGTGTTATTGGTGGCCTTGCCATTCAACACTCAAACCACCTGAGAATGTCTCTTTCAGGGTTATGAGTTTGAAATCGCATGCTCTTTCAAAGTCATTGTAGTGTGAACATAATCACAGTCTGTGTCAGATAACTTTTTCACTTTTCTTCTCAAAACAACAGTAGAAACCTACTGTGTTTTGAAATGACTCACTTTTGAAGGACATGCACTATAGTGTATGAATGTGGAGGATTGCATGAATGAATGGCTGGACAGATGGAGCGATGGATGGACAGAGAGACTGATGTAAGGACGGACGGACTGACAAACGGATGAAGGGGTGAGGTTCACTCACTTAAGCAAGTAAAGTTGTCTGCAGATATCTTCATGAGGTGAGGGCAGGTACAGGACGCGGTGCGGTTGTAGTTGATAAGGCACAGATGGGAGCAGGGTCCACGACCGCCACTCGCCTCGCAGGGATTGGAGGCTATCGCCGAGAGAGGGAGAGAGGGGGAAGTTGTTCAATAATCAACAACGTGGTTTCAATAATCAACTAGTCTGGTTTATTTTAATACAAGATTCTGATATCCTCCTGGAAGGAAAAGTATTTGATTTGTGAAAGGCAGAGTCCTGTAAATGAACCCTACTGCCAAAAGTCCAGACAGAGAAAATGAAGCCAGATGAACCAATTCATGGGTTGCACGTTTCATCACAATACACGATTCATCCAATGGCACTGAGGAGTATACCACCTCAGTCACCGGCTTCATCAATAAGTGCATCGACGACGTCGTCCCCACAGTGACCGTACGTACATATCCCAACCAGAAGCCATGGATTACAGGTAACATCCGCACCGAGCTATAGGCTAGAGCTGCCGCTTTCAAGGAGCAGGACACTAATTCGGACGCTTATAAGAAATCCCGCTATGCCCTCAGACGAACCATCAAACACTGTTTATTTTCCATGCATAGTCACTTTACCCCTACCTACATGTACAAATTACCTCGACTAACCTGTACATTTACGTCATTTAGCAGACGCTCTTATCCAGAGCGACTTACAAATAGGTCCATTCACCTTATAGCCAGTGGGATAACCACTATACAATGTTTTATTTATTTTTTATTTATTTTTATCGTTTCGTTATTTCATTTATTTATTTTTTTATCTTTTTTTAAAAATTTGGGGGGGGGGGGGGGGGGGGTTGGAGTAAAGGGGGGGGTGGGGGTAGAAGGATTACTTTATCCTATCCCAGGTATTCCTTAAAGAGGTGGGGTTTCAAATGTCTCCGGAAGGTGGTGAGTGACTCCGCTATCCTGGCGTCGTGAGGGAGCTTGTTCCACCATTGGGGTGCCAGAGCAGCGAACAGTTTTGACTGGGCTGAGCGGGAACTATGCTTCCGCAGAGGTAGGGGAGCCAGCAGGCCAGAGGTGGATGAACGCAGTGCCCTCGTTTGGGTGTAGGGACTGATCAGAGCCTGAAGGTACGGAGGTGCCGTAGGCAAGCACCATGGTCTTGTAGCAGATGCGAGCTTCAACTGGAAGCCAGTGGAGTGTGCAGAGGAGCGGGGTGACGTGAGAGAACTTGGGAAGGTTGAACACCAGACGGGCTGCGGCATTCTGGATGAGTTGTAGGGGTTTAATGGCACAGGCAGGGAACCCAGCCAACAGCGAGTACCCCCGCACATTGACTCGGTACCGATACCCCCTGTATATAGCCTCATTATTCTTATTTTATTGTGTTACTTTTTTTTTCTTTAGTTTATTTAGTAAATATTTTCTTAACTCTATTTTCTTAAAACTGCATTGTTGATTTTAATATTGTTTTGAACGTTCGTTTTGGACTGATGCCCGACTGAGCATTCTACTCAATGCATCGTCAGTGAACGCTGATGAAGATTTCATCAAAAGTGCATTACAGGGGCTTGGAAATCCAATAACATTCAAAAGGTGACAAATAATTAGTCTGAAAAACTTTTGTTATCATTTTGATGTTGCCAGATTGACTTTAGATGCAGTATAACGTTAGCTAGCTAGCTAAGATTGAGGGGAGGCCACCAGATTTTAGCTCGCTAACATTAGCATTGCTAGCTATTTTTGACTAACTTTGTTAGCTAATGACAACATTGCCATCTGTCTAAAGTAAATTTGATGACATGATAATGCTGGCAAAGTTGATTCCTACTAAATATTTGACTACTTTAGCAACGTCATCGTATTTCCAGGCACTATAGTGCAATTTAGACTCAGCAGTAGTTAGCCTCCTTCCAGAATAACTGGGCTTATCACCACTTTAGGGCACCACTATGGTGCTGACGATAGAGGGTGGCTTGAGAACTTTCATAACAATGGCATGACGCGACCGAGTGATGGAGGTGCAACCGATGAATAGTGACAGTTGTTAAGATGTTTTCTTTCCAGCATTAAGACAGACAATATCATATCTTTTGACAAACTAGAGCAGATGTCTTAATAACTCTCAGAGAACTTTGGATATAGAAAGTGAAAAGTATTTTGTTAGACGCAACAGAAGTAACCAACATTTTTTACGCAACAGATGTTACCAAAATCTAAACGCAACAGATCTAATCAACCATACAATAAATGATTAATTCTGATCTAACAAAACAAAACTCTTCAACCTTTCCAGGTGGACTGAGGGTTAAGACTGAGAAGGTTGTCTTTAATTCAAAACATCCACTCTCTTTTCAACCTTGTCATCTTAATGTTTGAGATATTGCGGTAGCCTACCTTGTGGTTGTCTGCTGGGGTGGTATATCTGAAGGTCAAATGGCTGGGCGCTGGTCTTCTGGATGACTGTCACATTGGCCCCTGTCCACTTGTTAGCCCTGGCCAGAGTGTTGGTCCTCCAGTCAGTCCAGTAGACACTACCCCCATAGAGACAGACAGCGAAGGGATGTGACAGGTACTCATGTCCCCTTAGAATCTCTATCATACCAGTCCCATCGTACTGAGCAGAGAATATGGCATCAGCCCTGTTGAGATGAAGATAGATGTTTAACCATTAGAATAATTTTTCACATGATTCCATCAGCAGGGTTGGGGTGAATTCCAACTCAATTCAACCAATTCAGGAAGTCAATTGGAATTCTCACAAAATTGGAATTTCAGTTGACTTCCTGAATCGAAATAGAATTGATGGGGAAATGACCCCATGCAGACAGGTACAGGCATGTAACCCACCTGGCGTCGGTCCACACGACCCTCTTCTCCATAAGGTCCAGAGTAAGACCATTAGGCCAGGCTCCTATCTCCATGTCTCTGAAGACAACATGGCGTCCTCCTCCGCTCATAGAAGCAGCCTCGATCCGAGGGAAGGAAGCATCCCAGTCTGTCCAGAAAATAATTCTAAACCACAAAATAATGTAATAAGAATATCTCTCTCTCTCTCTCACTCTCTCTCTCTCATTATAAGATAACTAACCCCTGCTCAGGATCCAGAGCGATGGCTCGTGGATGCTCCATCCCTCCAGCGATCAGTGTGGTCCGGAGCTCCCCGTTTAGTTTGGCCACCTCTATCTGATCTAAGTTGCTGTCAATCCAATACAGGTTCCCTGCTATCCAATCAACAGCCAGACCCTCTGGAGTAGCCAATCCATGTTGGACCACCACTTCAATCCCTGTCACACCTGTAAGGAACCAATGACAGTAAAGGACCAACACACTGACACATAAGAGGGCAAGAGGATGTGCTGAAACACAGGTAAAATAGGCTTTGGTTTGGGAAGTCTTCAAAAAAGGGTCACCTCTGGAGTCAAAGCACAGACTATTAGGCCAGTGGAGCTGAGAGGAGAACAAAATATAGCCGATACAACACTTTCCCCATGACCTCAATTAAACATCAACAACTCAGCTTATCCAAAAAGAAAAACACATGTCCAACCAAATACTATGTGTTCCTACCAGCAGAGTCTAGCAGCTTCCCTCTGTATATCTTATCCTCAACCACATCGGTCCAGTAGAGTCGACTCTGATTGAAGTGGAAGTCTAAGGCGATGGTGTTCCTCAAACCAGGAACTAGAAGACTGTAGTCTCGTCTGTGGAGATCTATCCTCCTGATCTCATGGCGGATGGAGAAGATGAGGAAAGCCTCAAAGGGATCTGAGGAAGGAAACAATAAATAACTCAAGAAAAACATTTTTGATAATAAATATTGCATACTAATACAACAGATTCTCACACACATACACAAATAACTGTCATGTTTGTTTGCTCAGCAGCATTCCAACTCGTGTTAGTTTTGTTTGTGAATAAGATTATATTGAAATCAATACTCACGAAATCATCATTTTATTAACAAAGTTATCTTTCATTTTCATATCACATGATCTCGTTTAGCTCATCTTGTCATAAAATGAGTACAGAAACCTTTGGAGGATTCATCTCCAATTGAAAGTGTAACAATTTAAATAAAAAATAAAAAAAGCTTATTCAATACAATTACCCGAGAAATTGATTAAGAGAAAAAACTGCCTATAAATCTACTGGCATATAAATGGCCAATATTCTAATGGATACTGTTTCCGAGGGTATTTAAATGGAATGTCCCAAATAACTGCTTTAGAATTTGGAATAGAATATACAATTAGGAATATAACCAATTGATCACATTGCTTCTTATCTGTTGGATTCAAGGCACTAGGGTAAAAGGTGGCTGTCCCATAGAATATAATAATAAATATGCCATTTTGCATCTTTATCCAAAGTGACTTACAGTCATGCGTGCATACATTTTACGTATGGGTGCTCCCAGCAGGTCAAACCCATGACCCTTTGCGTTGCAAGCACCATGCTCTACTGACTGAGACACACAGGACCACAGAAATAGAACCGGAATTCTCATTTCTATGGGCAGGTATGTGTCAGAAAGACTTATCAGCCATATCACACTGAGCTTAACACCAGCTACCTGTACTCTGGCAGCTGTCCCCATCTAGTTCCAGCCTCCAGCCTGGGTAGCAGGAACACTTGACGGTTGTTTTGTACTGCTCACACACTTGGCTGCACTTGAGGTGCCTGGAGCAGTAGTCCAGGGTTTGGCAGGTCTTGTTGTTTGGGCTAAGACTGAGCCCCGCCGGGCAGGAGCACGCCACGCCCCTCCCAGGAGCCACTGCACACTGGTGGCTACAGCCACCATTACCCAAAATGCAGTCGTCTGAGATGGTGAGAGAAGACGACGAAGAGAGCAGATTGATTCAGAGAGCACAGACAGATGGAACAAAAGTCAGAGAGCAGTGTTGAATGGAGACCGATGTACTGTACGTCCTTGTTGGCTAGTGGCATAAAGGCTCAATACCCCACAAGAAAGTGAACACATATCTTTCCTGACATTTGTCTTCGCATCTTTTTTTCTATGGACAAAGTGTTGTGTGGTAATCCCTGGGCAAGTCATTCATGTGAACATAAGGCATTCATCTGGACTAACCCCATCAACATTGCCTAAGCCTGACCCCACTGCTATGATCATCTAGCCCATGTGGTTCAAACAAAAGGCTTGTCTCCGTTTTAACCATAATCCCCTTCACTATTAATATGTCTCCCCTGTCTCTTCCCTGCCGTATTTGGAGTGTTTCCAGACAAAACTAAGGATCTTGGTCAGCAAGAGTTATATGATCTTCGGTTTTAACAGCTTGTTCTCCCCGATATTCTCCCTGAGTTCAGTGGGGAATAAGAGGACAGATGGACGATGCCAAAGTAAGCACTGCTGCTGATTTTCAACAGCTCAACACTGTCTGTCAACATACATTTGCTGGTCAGGCTAGCGGAGGGAGACAAAGGAAATATGTAATTAAGTGAAAAAAAATAGAACGATATTTAATAATTAATTGAAGTGGGGACCAAGAGAATTGACGCAAGTGAGAGAAATAGGACCAAGACAATTGGTTAGAAGTGATTTGAACAAAAGGTCATACCACAGAAGTGTCCCTCATCAGAGTGGTCAGAGCAGTCGTATCTCCCATTGCAGATGCTCTCAGGCGGCAGGCAGACAGAGGTGTCGTTGGCACAGGGGTATCTGGGGGGCTTACAGGGGGACATCTCACAGCCTTCCTCATCGGACAGATCCTCACAGTCCTGGTCCCCGTCACACACCCAGCTCTTACTGATGCACTGGCCTGTGTGGGGAGAAACGGAGAGCGATGAGGTGATGAGGCAAGGGACAAAATGGCAAAAATCTAATAATTTTGTCCTTATAAGAGATATTGTGAATGATTACAAAACCCACATTTCAACCGTAAATACAGAAATAAGAATTGATTGTCAATTTTCTTGGAGAGAACGGAAACGCTCAGAGAAAAACAGAGAAAATGGTCATAGTGATACCTAAGCCTAAACTGTCAATACAATCAAATTAAGCAATTCTGCTGATTCTAGGTAGTTGGTCAAATGTTTCTATCAAAAGTGACTGGAAATAGAAGATTTTTGAAACAATTGCAGGAAACAGGAAGCAATTATTGGAAGCAGCGAGGTAAAAAGCACAGTCTCAGAGGAATCCTGAAAAGCTGAGGAATAAAAGCACTATAGGCATCAGAAGAAAGTAGTGTATGGTGCTAGCAAAGAGGCAGCCCACCTCAGCTTTAATCTGTGTTATTGATGAGTAAACCCTGGAATAAATCCTGTTTATTTGGTTTGCAATGAGGCCTCACGAAAGGCTATGTCCGTGTCCCAAATGGCACCCTATTCCCTATACAGTGCACTACTTTTGACCATGACCCATAGGGCGCTGGTCAAAAGTAGTGCAGTATATAGGGAATAGGGTGCCATTTGGGACGCCTCCTATATATTTTCAAAGGATATAGTTTGTCAGCCTCAGCGTAAGGCAGTCAGCTTAGTCTGGACAGACACAGTGAATACAGATCAGAGCTGAGTCTGCCAATTATTTCAATTCAAACAACAGTGTGTTGATCTATTGTTGGAGGTATATTCTTTCTGTTCGCTTTTATTTTGGAGTGTTTTGAAGTGTTTTACAAAATACTGAGAATCCAAGCAGGCATCCTAATGAAGCTGTTTCAGAATCCACGCTGACAGACCTATTTTAACAAACCTAACGCAATGGTCAATCTTAGCGCTGGCGGTAATAATCCGTTATAGCCAAGTTCGTTAAATAGCCTGCTCCGTATTTGCTAAATATGTTGAACATTTTTGCAGTCCACATTGTTCTATTTGCATTGCTTCAATATGGAAATACATTGTTAAACATTTTTTATAGCATTCGCACTGATATAGGGGCTAGCCCTACTGTAAATTGCAGTCTGGACATGCCAAACATAGTCAATAAGCAAGATTTAATTCACTAGGCTATTGATAAATCCTGAAAAGAAAGTGTATAATTCTTATCAAATTCTAATAAAAATTAAACAAGAACTTGTTTTAAATAGGCTATGCCTAAATACAATTACAGGCACAATAACTGCTCCCAGTGGGCATATAATTCAGACAAGGCAATTTAGACGGTTTTACGCACGTCCAAACCTTTCACAGGAGCTGGATAAAGATCCAATATAAAGAGAAAGGGGGACTGTCCACTTACTGTTATACTGCTCACAAATGTAATGTTTTATAATGTCATGGGACCATCTTAGAGATCATATTTGCACTTCTCCAGAAATAGACGAAATTGCATTGCATTCAGTCATGTACATTCTCACCATAAACCCATGGACAGTGAATCTTTCTAATAAGTTTTGTTTTTAATCAAATTAAACGATCTGTTTTTAAACCAATATTTCTAAATAGGATGGGGTCAGATGCATTATATTATAAATCGCTTCTCTCGTTCCATGGCACTGTGTGCACACTTAGGCCTAAAAGTCTTTAAGCATAACATTCGCACGTCTATACAAAATACTAGGCTCTTGTCAATTGTATCGTTGCTTATCTGCGAAGAAGATTCTCAACAAAAATCTAGACCATTTAAACCCACTTTATTCATAGGCTACTTGGCTAATGGCCATGCTAAAAAAGACGCACCTATGCGATGCTGCTAAACCAGCCTTGAGTAGTGGGAGGGTAGGTTATGCTTGGTTTTTAATCAAATTAAACAAAAAATGGGGAGAAACTAATAGATTCTAAATACGAGATTCACCACCACAAAAGGCACATCTCTCTTCTATTGGCACTGTGCGTCATGGCTGGACGCTTCCGCTCTCAAAAGCCATGCCATTTTCAACTGCGTTACCGTTAAGCTTTTTGTGGATCTTAAAACTCCTTATGACATTTTATAAAATGTTGCATGGTAAGTGAATGATGTGTATTAAGCCTTTTAAAACCATGAGATCAGTGAACTAAGCAAGAGGCTTTTCTCATGTGAATTCTCCACTTTAAGACCAATTATATATAATGCAGTGCACTGTGCAGATGATTCCTATCAACTCCACTGAACTATTGCCCCAATTATATGATCTTATATATACACACCTCATTCAACTTACTTTGGGAAATCTGAAACTCCTAGGCCGATTTGATTTACCACAACCATGTGGAACTGTTTTAGGAGTCACATAAAGTACCCCAAGTGTTCCCATTTTACTGTCATGCCTACAGCATAAAGTGTAGGAGAAGTCTACAAGATGCACTGCAGGTATCATAAAACGCTCACATTTTAGAGAAGGACATGAAAGGCGCTCTGGATTTTTCTCACGATTGTGTGTGAATGTTAACCCCACAAGGACACAAATTAAGACCATTTGAGGGTAATAACCAGAGATAAATCAAATAAATGTATGTCTATGGTAATAACTCTGAGAGGTCGACATTAAAAACATGGCCGCTCTGGTTCATTTTGGGGACATAGAGTACAGTGCTGTATGCAGAGTACACGTAAAGGAGTTTAGCATGACACAAAACATCTGGAGATGTAGCTGCAGTACCTGAGATTTTACAGGTGAGCTTGGTGTGTGGGTCACAGAAGCTACAGTCCAGATGAAATCTTGATGAAGGCAGCATAGCTGTCTACAGTTAAACATGGGTCTTTAATGATACAGTATGCACTGCATTAGAGCCACAGATTGTGAAGCTTTCTTTTTCTAAATGTTTTCACAGTAGCTTCAGTACTGTACCTGAGGTTTGACAGGTGAACTTTGCGTGTGGGTCGCACATTCTGCTGGTGCCTTCACAGTCTGCCTCGTCACTCCCGTCCTCGCAGTCCTTGTCCCCGTCACACCTCCAGCGCTCGGGGATACAGGTGCCACCGTCGTCACGGCAATGGAACTCATCTCCGCTGCAGTCATCAGCTGATACAGAGGCTATAGGAGAGACAGAGGTAAACATACATTTACAAATTTAGAGTTCAGGTATGGCTCAGCACTTCAGCAAATAAAGTAATTTTTTCTTGGGTAAGGAATATTTTTTACAAAGACAGATATTGTATATCTCAAACCCATATTCCTAAACGCATCCCCTGAAGTGTGATGAATAGCATCCCCATTTCAAAGACTATATTGGGCATATTCCCCGACTCCATTATTCCTTCACAGATCTAAGACTTGAATCCAAAGGGGGCATGTCCCGTAAGGCAGATAGAAGAGTGAGAAGTTAGTGTGTTCTTCCTCACCTGTCCCAGAGCAGGTGGTGTTCTCATCACTGTTGTCCCCACAGTCATCGTCCCCGTCACAGGCCCAGTGGTCAGGGATACACTTCCCACTGGTACACTGGAACTGGGCACTGGAACAGGCATGGACACAACCCACCTCATCACTACCATCCCCACAGTCATCATCTGGGGGAGGTGGAAAAGGGAAAAGGACAGAAGAGAGGGAAAGGATGGAAGAGAGGGGGAAAGGATGGAAGAGAGGGGGAAAGGATGGAAGAGAGAGGGAAAGGATGGAAGAGAGAGGGAAAGGATGGAAGAGAGGGGGAAAGGATGGAAGAGAGGGGGAAAGGATGGAAGAGAGGGGGAAAGGATGGAAGAGAGGGGGAAAGGATGGAAGAGAGAGGGAAAGGATAGAAGAGAGGGGGAACGGACATAAGAGAGATTAAGAAACAGTGCTTCTTGAGAGTGCAGTTCCATCCCATAGCATTTTCCCAGTAGGGAAAACTGGTTGAAATGATGTTGTTGCAACCAGATTACAACCAATTCTAGTTGTACACTGGTTGTTGTAATGATGCCATTTTAAATCAGGCAGTTTTTTCCACTGGGGGTAGAAAATTGAACTGTAAAAAGAGAGTGTTCACAGAAAAATAACACTTACCAGAGTCACAGTGCCATTTCACACTAATGCACCTTCCATTGGAACAGCTGAGCTGTGTGAGGGGCTCACATGTGGGGAAATCTGTCAAGAAAGAAAGAAGAAAAAACTGTGTTATTGTTGTAATACAAGAGTTTTTGGACTTTTCTAACAAAGCACTTTTGATGACAGGAATTGATCAATTATGACTGTCCAGAATCACATAGGCCAATAATGTACAGACTGAATGCCCTGAAAACCTCTGAAACAGTGTGAAACAATCTGTTATTATTACACATTAGATGCAGGAGACATTGGCACAGTTGTGTGTGTTGGCGTTGCCTTTGAATTTTTAAGCTACAAAAATGAGAGTGAGCAAAGTGTTTTTCAGCGCAGGCTTGAATTAGATTTAAGGAAGCCAAGCAGAAACTGTAATTACTGTGAACACTGTCTGTCTCTGTTTGTACTTGTGAAGTGAAGCAGTTTATAAGTAGCACCAGAGGTAACAGAAAAGTTAAATTCACAGCTATATTTTCTAACAGAAGGTTCAAATTGTTCTTACTGATTGTTTTGCAGACTGTGTTCTACTGCCTGTCTTTCATCTAAAACAAGTGTAGAAGGTGAGATCAGATACTGACTTTACTTTGCTTTAAAAACTCTGTGGTGATGGTGATATACAGTACTGTTAGATGTATCCTTGCCAGAAGAGGGTGTATTTACACTGTGGGATACTTGACCTGGGGAAAGGTCATTTGGGGTTCATGCGCATGTGTCGTGGCTGTCTTTGAACCTGTTTGAACTTGCATTTGTGTCTTCACTGACATTTCCAACCTCTCCCTGACCCAGTCTGCAAAACCTACATGTGTCAAGCAGACCACCATAGCCCCTGTGCCCAAGAACGCCATGGTAACCTTCCTAAATGACTACCACCCCGTAGCACTCACATCTGTAGCCATGAAATGCTTTGAAAGGCTGGTCATGGTTCACATCAACACCATCCTCCCAGAGAAAAATTTGCAGTTATACAGCTAATTTCCTGCACTTCTACACATTTTGCCATAGGATGGAGAGAAATGTTTTCAGTTTTTAATATGATATCTGAGTGAGAGTGACTAACAAAACCAATGGGGGCCCTCCGGTCGGTAATTTGACCATGATTACTACAACTTACCAATATCAAAAATGTTAGCTGAGACGGCTTGATCCAGTTACCAATTCCTTATATACATCTTTGAAAACCCATGCATGCTATTGTTTAAGAGAAGGAAGACAAAATTATCCCTCATGACAGGGAGAGTCCCAGCTATTTCACATTTTAAATATTAAAAGCCTTTGTCTGAGCTGTCTGCTCCAGAGTATGTCAGAGCATGCCCGGAGGTTAGCCTACATGCTAAATTGAATTAACATGATGGGTAGGTAAGACAGAAAAAGATCTGAGAAAAAAGACAATCCTTACACTGGAATGATATAATGCAAAGACAGAAAAAGTTTCAAAAACATTGCGAAGGATTTCTGAAATGTTAGGCTAATGTTGATTTCAATTTAAGTCAACCTATCTAAGTGGAAGGAACCAAAGGAGGAAACAAATTGATTTGTCATAGCTGGAGTGTTAAGAAAAAGCTGGGCTATGCTCCAACGCCCATGCTAACATATCACTAAGAATGCCTTGCCCAATGGATTGTTTCATTCTAAGTAGTATGCCAGTATGAATATCTTTATTTTACCAGGTAGGTTGACTGAGAACACATGCTCATTTACAGCAACGACCTGGGGAATAGTTACAGGGGAGAGGAGGAGGGATGAATAAGCCAATTGGAAACTTGTCCAGAAGCTCACCACAAGAGGCGGTCTCATCAGAGCGGTCCCCACAGTCGTCATCCCTGTCACAGCGCCAGGACTCTGGGATGCATCTCCCGTTGTCACAGGAAAACTGGTCAGCTTGGCATGACCCCGCTGAAAACATCAATAGTAATAGTCAGCATTTTATGACATTATTTTATTACACTGAAGTTCCCTCTATAAAAGTTACGTTTTTCTAATCTATTATGCAACATTTACATTGTGTTTTTCATTAGCATTATGATCTCAATAAGTACTTTACAAAAGTGCATTGACTAGGCCTAGGCTATTTCAGTGAGTGAATCCACACCATAATAGTATGGGAAGCTTTCAAGTAATGTCTGATATTTTTCATTTACTGTTCACGTTCTTTGTTTTGTAACAGCAGACCATGTGTGTTGGATGTATTTTCTTTAGTGCTAAAGGGTTCTCACAGGAAAACTGGTCAGCTTGGCATGACCCCGCTGAAAACATCAATTGTAATAATATTCAGCATATTATTACATTATTTTAGTGCTAAAGGGTGATCACATCTGGATTTGGTTTCTCCGTGACTGGTCGTCCTAGAGAATTGGCTCGCTATCTATTCACAGTAATCTACTTCTCCACAGAGATCAAAAAGTGAACGTGAAAACGTGAAACAAGGATATCGTTCATATAAATCGCCATTGTCTTATGGAATCATCCTATGCATGTTCAGGATCGGCATTGTGTAAACATCTGGCAACTGAAAATACTTTTTAAGGATGCAGTGAAACCAAACTTTTCTCATCTACATCCCCTAACAAAACCCCCATGTCCCCCAGAGGGTCAAGTCTTCTGGATGGAGAAGATGATGAATTATCCCAGTATATAGATACATTAATGATGTGCAGTAGCACAGAGGCCATTGGGAATCTATGACATACGCGTCCCCCACCAACACAGGAAATCATGCAGAAATGCAAGTCTTGTAAGAGTTCTCTCCTCCTCTCTTCGCTCTGAGTATTCTCCAATGGCCTCTGCTCTGACAGAACCTCTCCCAAATGAGTATCTTGTTGGAGAAACTTGGAGATCATCCAAGTTTGTTCTACAACATGGAATCTGTCGGCCGCATCCTGGTCCATATGAGCTAGAAGGGCCTATTAGTAGAGCAGACAGTAGCATACCAGAGCAGGTGAAGTTGGACTCGTCCTCGTTGTTCCCACAGTCATTGGTCCCGTCACAGAGCCACCTCTTGGGGATGCAGCGGTTGTTCAGACACTTGAACTGATCCGCTGGGCAACTACGATTATCTGTAATGATGGGCAAAATTGCTTTGATATTTAGTCTTTGACGTGAACTGTCATCAAATCAAATTATATTGATCACATACACATATTTAGCAGATGTTATTGCGGGTGTAGTGAAATGCTTGAGTTCCAACAGTGCAGTACTATCTAACAATATAATGCATTCATATTAACGTATTCATCATAGATACTGGATAGATAGCTAGAAAGTATGACAGAAAAAGTCAGCCTAGCAACTTCATTCTTGCATAGATGATGTGTGTTGTTAATGTCAACTTAATTCATAAATAAATCTGTCTCTGGGACATGTCCTATTCTTCATAACTGCAAAATGATACAGTATATGTTTTCTAACATGCAGAATAAGACCTACAGCAGATGTACGGTTCCTCATCACTTCCGTCCAAACAGTCATGGTCCCCATCACATTTCCAGGAGGCCTGGATACAACGCTGGTTCCTACACTGGAACTCTTCATTCCTACATCTCTGTGGCTCCCCATGGTCCCCTGAATCTCCCAATGTGGCTGCAAGCACACACACATACACACAAGTCCACTTGCTGGCTCACCTTCATACTCTGCAGAACATATTCCTCAAAAGAGCCACAACTGAGGAAACGTTTATTTAATGTTATATGCTGGCATTGAAAATCAATACCGGCATATTGAGTTCGACATGACCATATCTTATCTGCAGTCATTATTACTATTGATTGCCTTGGTTATTGATGTGGAGTGCCAGGCTGAACAGGCCTTTTATGTTTGAGATAAGAGTGTATTTGACATTACTTACAGGAGCAGGTGAGGTTATTCTTGTCCAGGTACTGGTTGTCAGCGCAGGCACACACTCTGCCATCGGGAATGGCCAGACACAGGCTACCGCAGCCACCATTGTTAACCCGACATGCATTGTCACCTAAAGATCAATTAGATAAACCAAAGTAGGCTAAATCAGATAATTCTTGGCAGCTGCAGCCTTTATAATGCAACATATTAGGAAGACAATAACATAACTCATAACTGTAATGCTAGCAGATACACTGCATTCGGAAAGTATTCAGACCCCTTGACTTTTTCCACATTTTGTTACGTTACAGCCTTATTCTAAAATGGATTAAATAAAAACAATTTCTCATCAAGCTACACACAATATCCCATAATGACAAAGCAAAAACAGGTTTTTAGAAATGTTTGCAAATTTATAATAAAATTAACAACAGAAATACCTTATTTACATAATGTCACGCCCTGGCTCTGGGGACTCTAGTATGTTGAGCCAGGGTGTGAGTTTTCATGTGTTTTCCATTCTAGTTTAAGTATTTCTATGTTGGCCAGTGTGGTTCTCAATCAGAGGCAACGAGTGTCAGCTGTTGCTGGTTGTCTCTGATTGGGAACCACATTTAGACAGGCTGTTTTCCCACAGTGGTTGTGGGATCTTGTTCCAGTGTGGTTTGTGTTAGACCGTGGACGTCACGTTATCGTTTGTTGTTTTGTTCGTGAAATCACTAATAAAGAAGTATGTTTGCCTTCAACGCTGCGCCTTGGTCCTCCTCCTTCGACGATCGTGACACATAAGTATTTAGACCCTTTGCTATGAGACTCGAAATTGAGCTCAGGTGCATCCTGTTTCCATTGATCATCCTTGAGATATTTCTACAACTTGATTGGAGTCCACCTGTGGTATTTTCAATTGATTGGACATGATTTGGAAAGGCACACACCTGTCTATTTTTGATCCCACAGTTGACAGTGCATGTCAGAGCAAAAACCAAGCCATGAGGTTGAAGGAATTGTCCGTAGAGCTCCGAGACAGGATTGTGTCGAGGCACAGATCTGGGGAAGGGTACCAAAACATTTCTGCAGCATTGAAGGTCCCCAAGAACACAGTGGCCTCCATCATTATTAAATGGAAGAAGTTTGGAACCACCAAGACTCTTCTTAGAGCTGGCTGCAAGGCCAAACTGAGCAATCGGGAGAAGGGTCTTGGTCATGGAGGTGACCAAGAAACCGATGGTCACTCTGACAGAGCTCCAGAGTTCATCTGTGGAGATGGGAGAACGTTCTGCAGCACTCAACCAATCAGGCCTTTATGGAAGAGTGGCCAGATGGAAGCCACTCCTCAGTAAAAGGCACATGACAGCCCGCTTGGAGTTTGCCAAAAGACACCTAAAGACTCTCAGACCATGAGAAACAAAATTCTCTGGTCTGATGAAACCAAGTTTGAACTCTTTGGCCTGAATGCCAAATGTCACGTCTGGAGGACACCTGGCACCATCCCTATGGTGAAGCATGGTGGTGACAGCATCATGCTGTGGGGATGTTTTTCAGCGGCAGGGACTGGGAGACTAGTCAGGATTGAGGGAAAGATGGAAAGAGCAAAGTACAGAGAGATCCTTGATGAAAACCTGCTACAGAGCGCTCAGGACCTCAGACTGGGGCGAAGGTTCACCTTTCAACAGGACAATGACCCTCAGTACACAGCTAAGACAATGCAGGAGTGGCTTTGGGACAAGTCTCTGAATGTCGTTGAGTGGCCCAGCCAGAGCCCGGAATTGAACCCGATCGAACATCTCTGGAGAGACCTGACAGAGCTTGAGAGGATCTGCAGAGAAGAATGGGAGAAACTCCCCAAATACAGATGTGACAAGCTTGTAGCGTCATACCCAAGAAGATTTGAGGCTGTAATCGCTGCCAAAGGTGCTTCAACAATGTACTGAGTAAAGGGTCTGAATACTTATGTAAATGTGATATTTCCGTTTTTTGTTTTTAATACATTTGCAAAAGTTACTACGAACCTGTTTTTGCTTTGTCATTATAGGGTATTGTGTATAGATTGATGAGGGAAAAAAATACAATTTAATCAATTTTAGAATAAGGCTGTAACGTAACAAAATGTGGAAAAAGTCAAAGGGTTTGAATACTTTCCGAATGCACTGTATATGATTCTAGTTACAATGACGCTATTATACCAAATACTTTATTCAAAACTTTCATAAAACGGCTTTATGTCTGTATTCCTATTCGCATGCCAGTCAGAGAGACTGTTTACATGACTCAGCCAAAGGCAGAATCATCCAAACCCCGCTGCTATTAAAAGTCTGAGCGACAACATCAACAGATGAAAACGGAACACTGTGTCTGACGGATCGTTTGGCGTCCTCCTTGAAGTAGATGAAACTTTATTTGGAGTGGAGGGATACGAAGAGCGGTAAAAAGGCATGATGAAGTCTGAGGTGAAATAAGGCATATGAAGAAGTTGTGAAGGCTGAGGTAAGTGGCACCCAGCTGAGTTCAGCGTTCCTTTTGGGGTATTGAGAGACAGGACAGACAGGTGCTTCCCTGTGCCAACCAATGACTGTTATCATGACAACCCCAGTGCAGCTGAGTCTGAAAGCATGGCCTGGGGTAACTATAAGTAGCTGTTAAAGGATTAGAGTCGGTGTACATTTGAGGACATCCTCAGCTTAAAATTCTCATTGAGTCAATCATCTCTTTGTTTATGACTCGTCCTCCATGGCTATGAGGTTTGGCTGTTAGAGAAGGGTTGCACCAGACAGACTAAAATATGCCTGACCCCCTACTGTAAGGAGCCTGAGTGCCAGAGTTGTGGCATATAAAATATGCTAAAAGGGAGAAATCTAAAGAGAATCTTATGACTTATTAACTGTCATGCATTTCAAACCCCCTGGCTGGAGCAAAGCCCAAGTTTAGCACTTCAGCCATTTTCAGTGTTGTAATTTCATCCAAGGTCCCCTCAGCTCACCATCTCATCAGGTTTGATGAAAAAAACTGGTTTCACAGGGTTGAGAGACACAGGGATCCTGTACTGTACATAATGATTATTATATATCCACTAGTCTCTGATATATTTATATTCCAAAAAGTGAGCCAGTCTTGTATTTAAATAGTTTTGGTGCATGACAATGATATAGTGTGATTGTGTATTTACCTTGCTGCCTTTGAGCATCGTACACAGATAGCCCAAAAAGAGGGGGTTTCTCACTTCTCATAAGAGCAACCTGCCCTGACTGCAAGTCCAGTTGGAAAATAGAGGCGTTCATGTAATCGGTCCAGAAAACAGAATTCTGGTGCAGGGAAATTCCAAAGGGATGGTTTAATTCTTTGCCGTTATACACCACCTTTGGATAAAAGAAACAAAGAACATGTTAGACAATAATTCACAGTTAAAAGCAACTTTTTTGATGGAGCCATGTATTTGCAAACATATAAATATTGAAAATAAATGTACATATTCAAATGTAACTACCGGTATACATATTTGTTGATGGTATAGTCTTAATCAGTAGAAAAGAACACTCACTCATTTACTAACCGTTCTGTGGGTGCCATCGAGGGAGATTTTCTCTATGTGGTCATAATAAGCATCGCACCAGTACATGTTACTGGAGCCATGGTCTAGAGTGAGTCCGTTAGGCCACAGTATGTCTGAAGTGACAAAGTCCTGCCGGTGGGATCCATCCATCCAGGCTTTCACTATCCTGCCAACACTATCGTTCACCTCATCCTCCTCCCAGTCTGTCCAGTACATCCAGCTGAAAACCAGAAAAAATGAATTATCAATACGATGGTTTAGCATAGAGAGGTAGATCATTTAGCCCAAATATACACAGAGTATACAAAACATTATGAACACCTGCTCTTTCCATGACATAGGCTGACCAGGTGAATCCAGGTGAAAGCTATGATCCCTTATTGATGTCACTTGTTAAATCCACTTCAAATCAGTGTAGATGAAGGGCAGGAGACAAGTTAAAGAAGGATTTCTAAGCCTTGAGACATGGATTGTATACGTCTGCCATTCAGAGGGTGAATGTGCCTTTGAACGCGGTATGTTAGTAGGTGCCAGGCGCACCGGTTTGTGTCAAGAACTGCAACGCTGCTGGGTTTTTCACGCTCAACAGTTTCCCATGTGTATCAAGAATCATCCACCACCCAAAGGACATCCAGCCAATTTGACACAACTGTGGGAAGCATTGGAGTCAACATGGACCAGCATCCCTGTGGAACGCTTTCTACACCTTGTAGAGTCCATGTCCAGACGAATTGAGGCTGTTCTGAGGGCAAAAAGGTAGGGAGGGGTGGGGTGTAACTCAAACCTGTTTGGTATACTCAGTGTATATACTGTATATTTTTTAAGACATGATACCAAATGTGTGAAAATCAAATCAAATCACTCTAAAGTTCACGAAAAGCAGCAGACACTCTAGGCTGCTCTGACACTGTTAAGCCTGTTATACCAGAGAGCAACACACTACTTACATTTTTTGCCAGAGCAGCAATTCACAGCATTTCAGTCTCCATCTCACCTCTAAGCTCATTCTTATAATTAACTAACCGAAAAGTGTCCAACCTCAGCTCCTTTCCTCAGATGGAGATGTAGGCCGCGATTTAATCCAATCGCGCTTTGTCGGCTATGCACATTTTAAAGGCAATGTTTCAGCATTTGTGGAGACCGCATTCAGGTAAACACTGCATATGTCGTCTCAAGTGAAAATTACCTTTAAATGTCAAGCGTGCTAAAATGTGGATCTACCACTGATAGGATTGAATCCCGGCCAGAGTCAATTTACTCAAAACAGTACCAAAATTGGGTCCTAACATCTTATGTCCAAACCAATATCTACTGAAACGTCACTACATGAGGAGGCCTTATCAGGGTGTCAACTGTAAAATACATTTTCACCTGTGCAGAGGGTCCACCACGATCGCTCTGGGGTGAGACATATCTCCCTCTAACAGAGTTCTCCTGGTTTGTGCAGCTTTCTCCAATCTGGCAACGCTGATTGTTTTCCTGTAGCCGTCATTTGTCCAGTACAAGTTGTTCCCTATCCAGTCCACTGAGATCCCCTCTACGTTATCAAGGTCTAGGTCAGGATGTGAGGGGGAAAAAAAAGAGAATTAAATGCATACAGTACCCTGCTGTTATCCTCTACTTGATTATCCCTGCAGGAGCGTAATCTATCACTGTCTCCAGATCGTCGTTAACGGAATCGAAACCCCAAAGCATTGTTCTAGAATCTACTGTAGCAGATATATTAATCATACACAACACAACAGCCATGCAAAAATAATGCTGCTTACACAGAACGCTTTTGGGTATTAGAGATTGACCTAATTCGGGGACACAACTTTAAGACCTTTCAAAGTATGAATAACATATGATTCATTTGTGTACAGAGGTGTACAGGTACATGCAAGGTATGTAAAGAAGACGTAGGACTCCTATCCTCACATAATCTCAGAACTAAAATCTTGCGTAACTGCGTCAGATGTTCGATTATGTTCTGGGGGAGATGTATGAGGAAATATACTAACAAGACTAAGTTTCCACCCCCTCTAAATGAAAACTCTCAACCAAAGCATGGGCCAAATGTACCCTACCCTTCCGAAATTTGAAAGATGCGAACACCTGTGAAATTGTGATTTGTCCAAAATATCTGCGCACCGGAACAGAGTTCCTCGTTAGTCGTCGCATCTCACAGTCTGTTGACGGATGCTATGATACAATCCTATGTTACCTGCGTCTGTCCACATGAGTTTAATCCTCACATAACTTGGTTGGCATGATTCTCAATTCATTAACTTAAAGGTGCTATTTTTTGTCAACATCTGGAATATCTCATCTAAAGGTTACTTGAAGTTTTTACCTAACAACCAGAACCATCTGAATGCACTGACCATCTTTGAGGATCGTTTTTCGATTGGTCCCATCCAGTCTTTGTCGGCCAATCAGAAAGCTGGTTGTGTCGGCAAAGTATATGTGACTGGTCTCTGCATGGAAGCCGATCGCCCGTGGGTTTACAAGATTGTCAATCTGTACCATGTGCTCAGCCTCCGACTTGCTATTCAGGTCCAGGCCTCGGATGACACCAGGTCTCCCTCGTCCGTAGAACAGGAATACCTCATTCACAGGCTCTGCAGAGGGAGGTTATAATGCATTATGAAGAGGGTGCTCATAGGAAGTGTTATGAAGATGACATAAATAAACCATCAACTACTAATCTTCTTTACCCTGCCAGTGTGTAATTAAATTGACTTGATTAGCTTTTCTTCCATCCAACACAGGAAATTAAACCATTTGACAAAACGTATCCTATCTAAGACGAGGAGAATAAGCTAATTCCAATTACCTAAATTAAAGCAAGAATTAGTTATGCTGATTAGACCTTGTCAAATCAATCAATCAATCCCTTTCTCCAAAACCAGTCTGTGCTAAAGCAATGCTTGAGACAAAGTTAACGGGAAGCATTGAAGCTGACCAAAACGAAGTCATTAGTAACATGCAGAGAATGAGATGTTGTTTGGGTTGACTAGATGTGATGTTCAGTAGACCTGACAGAGGAACGCACTAGAACAAAGTTGCAGGCATTTGGTTTGTGGGGCGCTGTCACTAATTTTAGAAGTTACTTTGCCCCTGACTGACACTATGACTGTCAAGACATGACATAATATGTCCTAATATGAACTTACTCTTGCAGGATTTGCTGTCACTTCTCAGTACAAAGCCTGTTCGACAGCGACAGGATCTGGATTTGTAACTTCCACTGAGCAGACACATGTGCGAGCATCCTCCTTTTCTTCCAGACGGATCGGGATCACACGCATGAGTCCTGACTGCAGAGAGAGATAGGACATGAGGGTGGATACCACACACGACACACACACACACGCACACACACACACGCACAAACACAGTCTTGCGCAGCTAACCTTGTGGGGACATACAATTCAGTCCCATCCAAAATCCTATTTTCCCTAACCCGTACCTTTACCCTAACCTTAACCCAAAAACCTAACCCTAACCCTAACCCTATCTCCTAACCCTAACCCTAATTCTAACCCTAACACTAACTTTAATCCTAAACCCCCTAGAAATAGCATTTTACCTTGTGGGGACCAACAAAATGTCCCCAGTTGGTCAAATTTTTCTTGGTTTACTATTCTTGTGGGGAATTCTGGTCCCCACAAGTATAGTTAATATGTCCACACACACACACACACACACACACACACACACACACACACACACACACACACACACACACACACACACACACACACACACACACACACACACACACACACACACACAGCTATCTTCTAAACATGCAAGAAACACTATATTTTGCTTTTTACCTGTTGGTTGGGTGAGTTTTTGGTAAACACGTATTCCCACAGAATTCTCAACCGTGGTTACAATTTGAACATCTGTGACGTTAAATCGATTTATCTGTAAAATGTCCGCTTTTGTTCCTTTAGAGGGCTCGGTGCGAGTTGCAAACAAATAATCTTCAAAGAGTGATAATCCGTGGAGGTGCTCCAACTGGAAGACAAAGAGAGCAGTAGTGACAAGAGGAAGGAGGAGCACAGTTCTATAGAGCAACGATAGGCTATTTTGATGTTTCATTCATCTCAACTTAATCCCCAGGTAAACACATTTGCCCCCAGCTAGCACATAACGTTTCTTAGTGCTTGGTGAGAGGGTGGTTGTCCTATGGTTAATTTACATACAATATTCCAACCACAGGAGGTTGGTGGCACCTTAATTGGGGAAGACGGGCTCGTGGTAATGGCTAGAGCAGAATGAGTGGAATGGTATCAAATACTGTTCCATGTGTTTGATGCTATTCCATTTACTCCATTCCAGCCATTATTATGTGCCGTCCTCCCCTCAGCAGCCTCCACTGATTCCAACAACATTCTTGAAATGGTGCAGGATACCCAGCTAGCACATAACGTTCTGAGAACCATATGTTTCTTAGGTGGGAATTTCTGTACATCAGCATACATTTCCTCATAGTTCTATTTAAAGTAATGTTCTCAAATTGTTCAGAGAATGTGAACAAACAATGTTTTTCTGTGGGAATTTCAATACTTCAGCATAACGTTTTCTACAGGTTTCCTCATGGTTCTATTTAAAGTAATGTTCTCAGAACATTAAGAAAACTTTCCATAAAAACCACAAGAAAACATTAGTAACGTTCAAAGAACGTTCTGAGAATGTTATTTAACATATACATTCCGTTCTCAGCGTCAACAAAACTCTCTATCCTCTATCTTGTTAAGTGTGTTCAGGTGTGTAATTGGCCACACCTGATCTTAATGAGTGCTTGTTTCCTTTGAAATGGGGTCTGTTTGAATAGACTAAAATGAACAGCTTCATATGAGTTAAAAAAACATGGCATGCTAGCTCCATCCTGCTCGCACAGTGGAATAATTCCATGGATAGAGAACAGAAGATCATAGGTTTGAATGTCACTTATGCCGTGCCACAATAAAAAATAAATGTTTTTGTATGATTAATGCCTAAGCAAATACATTTCCATGTGTCCTATCTGTGCTTGGAGTTCAAAACAGTTAACCCAAACTAAGCTAGCAGTGTTATTAAAAGTCTTTTTGAAACATGTTCTCAGAACGTTATTTAATAACCTTCAAATAACCTATAATTTACGTTCTCAAAACGTTAATAAAACCTCCCAGGAAAACTTTTAGGGAACCATAGTAAAATGTTCTCAGAACCTTTCTGCAACCTAAAAATGTACGTTCCCAGAAGAGGCACAATTTTCACTTATGGCTTCGTTCCCAGAACCAATGGGAAACCAAAAATGTCTGTTCCCACAACTTCCAAGGAACCAAATGTGCTAGCTGGGCCTGCTCTTCCGCTCCATTCTAATCCATTGGAAAATGCTGTGGCAAGGGGATACAGCAGCAGTATCAGGAATGTACAGTACCATTGGATGCGTCTTTCTCAACCCTATTCCCTCTGTAGTGCACCCCTTTTGACCAGAATAGGATGCCATTTGGGATGTAACCATTGTCTCTACGTAAGCGTTCTAGCACACACAGCTAGATGGCTTCTTCACTTCAAACCCCTGGCAGGTATCCAGGGTCAGCACTACATAGTGAACAATCCCAAGAGGGAGGGTGAGAGAAAGTCCACACTCAGCAGAGTATCCACTCCACTCCTTAACAAAAGCGTAGTTCATTTGGACTATCTTATTGAACCCTCACAAAGTACCACTAAAGTGAGACCAACTGGCATGCCCTTTGATAAAATAGTATATGGTTTCTCTGAAACAAAGAATTATTGAACATTGGAAATGGGAAGATCATAGGAGAACAACTGTCACACGCTGTACTTACAGAGCTTTCATGGATAACAGTGTGCCGGTTGCTCCCATTGTAATCCACCACATCGATATAGTCCAGGCCAGCATCTGCCCAGTAGACCAGCTTTCTAACCAGGTCTAGAGTAACAGCTGTGGGCTTCTCTATTCTGTTCTCCACTATCCTGGTTCTGTTGGTGCCGTCCATATTGCACTGTTCCAACTTGGCCGTACCCCCCAAATCCGTAAAGAACATTTTCCTGAAAAGCAAGTTGAATCCCAGTGTATAAAACAGTTTTTACAGAATCAAACCACAATTGAGAATCAATGTACAGTAGGCCTACATTTTTGACTACAGATGGAAATTAGCTTTGTTGCTAGCTCCGATACTTTAACATTGTTGAACCTGAAACATTGAGTAATGTGCACTGTCCCATAAACAGTAGGGAAAAGGTGTTGTGGAGAAATCAACTGTGGAATCACAATAGAAACGGTCCCTCCTTGTGATTCTTATTTCACACGCCAGTCACCTACAGAATTTGTCACATGCAATGTTGTGCTGCAAATTAGTGGTTTTCGTTCAACTATATTTGAAAGCTCATTCGAACAGTTAAGTAGTGTTTTGTAATTAAAGAAATCAATACCACCAATCAGAAAGCTATTCTAGATGCAGTCAACCAAATGCACCATGCCAATGACTTATTTCAGCATCAAGGCTCTTTTCAACATTGAGCTTCAGAACAGAAGTATGTCTGCATGCAGAGTTTACCTTCACCCTTCACTTGTTTTTGATAAGATCCAGTATGATTAATCTATTAAAAATGTATCAACCCTAAAATTACTAATTTGAAACATTTGATTGGTCTATGCAAAACAAATGTATCAGATCAAATCAGACTGAGACAATACCTCTATTCGCTTTTCATTAATTTCTACAATCCAACTCCATTTTAGCACAGCACTATAACACTTAACTACTGTAAGTGAAACCCATTTAAAATACATTAAATCCTTAGATAGTACTCGTCTAAATTCCCTTTGTCAGATGTCATCTGACAGATATCATGGGAGTAGAAGGGAGTCATTTTCTCCCGAAGGAGAACTAATGTCTTGCAGATGATATCGCATCAATAATTCAACACATTGCTCCTGGAATATTACCCCATCTCACTTTGATGTTGTGAAAGCAGCTTTGTTGCGTGTGAGTGCAGTGAGTGGCTCAGGAGGATAACACATTCTCCTAACAGCAACTGACTGCTAAGGTGTAGGAGCCACTTAAATCCAAGTCAGGAATATCACGGGTTTGGAAGTCTACGCCTTAAAATAGACTGTCTCAAACAGCATCATATTCCCTATACAGTGCACCATTTTTTACTAAGGCCCATAGGGCTCTAGTCAAAAGTAGTGCACTATATACTGTAGAGAATAGAGTGCCAGTTGGGACGCACACAAAGTTTCTTTATCAGCTGGAGGTGGCACTCAGTTTTGACAACTGGTACAGCGCTGCATCACATACGAATACAGGTCTGCTAAAATTGAGTTGTCAAATGTTGTGAGCAGAGTCAGTTTGATTTAAAGTAAAAAAAAATAAAAAAAAATAAAGACATTCTGTAGAATGTGAAAGTAAATATAGTGGTGTCTGTTGCTGCTTTTAGAAAATGAAAATATATCATCTGGTTCCACTACAATGAACCTTAAATCAAACGAAAAAAGAGTGTTGGTACCAGTACAGCAGCTGATGGCAAGCTGAGGCATATTTAAAGACTGAAAAACCTTGCACAAAAGACATTTCTCAATTTCTCAACTTACCCCATCAATGAATCCAGAGCAATTCCGCCAGGGTTTTGAAGATCGAGATCGACTATTGTGACACATGTGTCGTCTTGTTCATTGCAGACATATATTCTTTCACTTACTCTATCCACAAAGTAAATGTTTCTTGTGAGCCAGTCTATGGCAAAATGTTCCACATCTACAACCAAAATAACAAAAAAGCACATAATAACAAAGACATTGTGACAAGAGCAAACATTTTTGTTGGGGCAGCAACATCCAAACCCTTATGAGAAATATTTCTACATAATTTAGAATGAAACTTACTCTCTAGATTCTCTCCTATCCTTACTCTTCGCATCTGTGAAAACTCTTTTAACTTTGTCATGGTGGCACACCAAAGCTGACCGTTGGAGTTTGTAGAGGAGATCCAACATAATGATTCCTCCTTGTAATAGAAATCCAATGTGTGAATCGTCTGATTAGTATCCAATGGCTTTAGGTTGGGTAGAGAAGACCCATTGAGGTGTGTCACTGTGATATGTTCTGTACTTGCAATCAGCAACACAGGTGGTCTGTCCCCAGGATCTGAGAAAGAGAGAGACTGAAATTAGTATCCATACATAAATTATTAAAGGATACTTATAATAAGTACTTGCTTGCTGCTAATGACCCATCAGGTAAAAATTAATTTGTTTCCAAAAATCTCTGATTAATTCTCTATAACAAGTTGTTATAGACAAGCTTTTACAGATGTCTATGTAGCTTCGGCCATTACTGTGCAAGCAGCATGTTAAAATGCTAGCATTCCACTATTCAGCTAGTTTGGGACGTTGAATTTACTGCCGCTTTCACAATTACTGCTAATGTCCAGTCACTGTTTAGGTTCCATTGTTTATGGACTATTTCAAAAGGGAAAGACAACTACTGTAAATCTCTTACTAAGGGATAGCCCACTACTGTAGATCCAGCAGGAAAGCAAACAAAGGATTGTCACCGGGTGTTTTACAACTGTTATTGACCTGGGAGACATACAGTATGGGAAATGTAAGGAGGTGTGTGTGTGTGTGTGTGTGTGTGTGTGTGTGTGTGTGTGTGTGTGTGTGTGTGTGTGTGTGTGTGTGTGTGTGTGTGTGTGTGTGTGTGTGTGTGTGTGTGTGTGTGTGTGTGTGTGTGTGTGTTTGTGTGTGTGTGAGTGAGTGTGCATGCACTGGACTTCTATTCACCCATGAAGAGTGTGATTTACCACTCTAAGGAAAGTTTAGCTCACACGGTACTTGAGTAATGGAAGTAATGCAAGTCATAAATCAGGGTTCCCTCTCTTGTTAAATCCTTTCCTTCAAAGATTATGTCTTAAAGGGATGCTTTAGGATTTTGTCAATGAAGCCCTTTATCTTCTTCCCCAGAGTCAGATTAACTCGTGGATACCATTTTTATGTCTCTGTGTGCAGTTTGAAGTAAGTTACTAACTAATGTTAACACAATTGCAAACTAGTGTTAGCGCAATGACTGGAAGTCTATTGTAACTGCTAGCATGCTATCAGATGCCACAGACGTCCATACGTTCATACTGAATTCTTGAGACATAAAAATGGTATCCATGAGTTCATCTGACTCTGGGGAAGTAGATCACGGGTTTCATTGTCAAAATCCTGAAGTATCCCTTTAACAACCCTCTTGTATTTTCTGCAACAATTGTAAAGTTACCTGGTTGAATCATCACATTATGTTGGCCCTAAAGGGCAAAGTACCACAGAACAGCAAAGACATGTAGACATTAAATAGCTCAGGCCATGTTACAGGTCGGCTATACTTAAAACTTAAATTCATATTCATACAGTCATGGCCAAAATTGTTGGCACCCCTGAAATTTTTCCAGAAAATGAAGTATTTCTCACAGAAAAGTATTGAAATTACACATGTTTTGCTATGCACATGTTTATTTCCTTTGTGTGTATTGGAATAACACAAAAAAAAACAGGAAAAAAGCAAATTTGACATAATTTCACACAAAACTAAAAAAATGGGCCGGACAAAGTTATTGGCACCCTTTCAAAATTGTGGATAAATAAGTTTGTTCCAAGCATGTGATCCTCCTTTAAACTCACCTGGGGCAAGTAACAGGTGTGGGCAATCTAAAAATCACACCTGAAAGCAGATAAAAAGGAGAGAAGTTGACTCAGTCTTTGCATTGTGTTTCTGTGTGTGCCACACTAAGCATGGAGAACAGAAAGAGGAAAAGAGAACTGTCTGAGGACTTGAGAACCAAAATTGTGGAAAAATATCAACAATCTCAAGGTTACAAGTCCATCTCCAGAGATCTAGATGTTCCTTTGTCCACAGTGCGCAACATGATCAAGAAGTTTGCAACCCATGGCACTGTAGCTAATCTCCCTGGACGTGGACGGAAGAGAAAAATGGATGAAAGGTTGCAACGCAGGATAGTCCGGATGGTGGATAAGCAGCCCCAAACAAGTTCCAAAGAAATTCAAGCTGTCCTGCAGGCTCAGGGTGCATCAGTGTCAGCGCGAACTATACGTCGAAATTTGAATGAAATGAAACGCTATGGCAGGAGACCCAGGAGGACCCCACTGCTGACACAGAGACATAAAAAAGCAAGACTACAGTTTGCCAAAATGTACATGAGTAAGCCAAATTCCTTCTGGGAGAACGTCTTATGGACAGATGAGACCAAGATAGAGCTTTTTGGTAAAGCACATCGTTCTACTGTTTACCGAAAATGTAATGAAGCCTTCAAAGAAAAGAACACAGTACCTACAGTCAAATATGGTGGAGGTTCAAAGATGTTTTGGGGTTGTTTTGCTGCCTCTGGCACTGGGTGCCTTGACTGTGTGCAAGGCATCATGAAATCTGAGGATTACCAAAGGATTTTGGGTCGCAATGTAGGGCCCAGTGTCAGAAAGCTGGGTTTGCGTCCGAGATCATGGGTCTTCCAGCAGGACAATGACCCCAAACATACTTCAAAAAGCACCCAGAAATGGATGGCAACAAAGCGCTGGAGAGTTCTGAAGTGGCCAGCAATGAGTCCAGATCTTAATCCCATTGAACACCTGTGGAGAGATCTTAAAATTGCTGTTGGGAAAAGGCACCCATCCAATATGAGAGACCTGGAGCAGTTTGCAAAAGAAGAGTGGTCCAAAATTCCGGGTGAGAGGTGTAAGAAGCTTATTGATGGTTATAGGAAGCGACTGATTTCAGTTATTTTTTCCAAAGGGTGTGCAACTAAATATTAAGTTAAGGGTGCCAATCATTTTGTCCGGCCCATTTTTTGAGTTTTGTGTGAAATTATGTCAAATTTGCTTTTTTCCTGTTTTTTTTGTGTTATTCCAATACACACAAAGGAAAATATAGTTCCCGCTCAGCCCAGTCAAAACTGTTCGCTGCTCTGGCACCCCAATGGTGGAACAAGCTCCCTCACGACGCCAGGACAGCGGAGTCACTCACCACCTTCCGGAGACATTTGAAACCCCACCTCTTTAAGGAATACCTGGGATAGGATAAAGTAATCCTTCTACCCCCCCCTTACCCCCCCCCCCCCAAAAAAATAAAAAAATACAATAAAAAATAAAAACATTGTAAAGTGGTTATCCCACTGGCTATAAGGTGAATGCACCTATTTGTAAGTCGCTCTGGATAAGATCGTCTGCTAAATGACGTAAATGTAAAATGTAATATTGATTAGATGGAAACCCTTCATAGATGGAAACCCTTGGTACAACACATTCTAGAGATGAAATCTCTGCATCAAAGACATGCTGCATATTAAAGCCATGATACATCATTTATCTTACCGGTCTTGGCTTTGCAGGACCTTCTGTTGGGTTGTAGGATGTATCCATCTGTGCAGCTACATCTATATGATCCATAGGTGTTCATACAGGTCTGGCTACATGTATCATATACTGTGCAGTCGTCGTGATCTACAGTGAGGGGTGCAAGAAGTTGTTCCAAACTAAGTGCAGTTCAAACATGACCTAAATACATAAACCTAGTTTAATGTGGCCCCAAAAAAACACCTTAAAAGTGCCACCTTCACACATACAGTTTACAATATATGTGCGTCCATGTAGCAGCTATTCCAGAATGATCCAAATATTACTTACTGTGTTGTCGAACTTAATAGAGCTACCATTCTATTTTTGTCATCAGTTTGTCAATATCTGCCACCCATCCCTTTGATTTAGATGAATACCCTTGTTGGCTGTCAGTCCTTACCTCTGCAGGCTCGACCATCCTGCTCCACCTCGAAGCCGTCTGCACAGAAGCAGAACGTCACGTTTCTCATAATGACGCAGCCATACTGACAAAACAACTCTTGGCACTTTGGCTGGAGTTCTGGAAGGTAAAGTAAAAAACCCATGAACGTACATTGCATGTTGTAAAAAAAGATACCCTTTTTGTGGTGAATAGGTGGTTGACATTGCCATAGAAATGGTAATAACAGGTGTTATGTCATGTTAATGGAAGCATACATCACTAATGTCTCCTTTTCTTTCTTACTGCAGAAGCGGAAGAGGTGTGAAAGATTTGAACGCCCCAAATGAGGTCATAGAACACCATTTTAAATAAATTACTCCCATCTCTTTGTTAGCTGTTTGTCATTTGGTGTGCATGATTTACTTCACAGCGATTTCAGAAAGTTAATTGCTGTTTAAAAGCTGCTTATGTTGATACATTTCTCCGAATTAGACGCCAACTCAAGGTTGCTGTCAACAGGAAAGCAGTTAAGTAGAAATGTAAGGTCCATTGTATGAAATTCATCACTTCCTCCAACAGCAATAACTGCTCATAATCACATGCATCAGTCAGAGAGCTGTCCAAGGCTGCGTTTCAAAAGGCACCCTATACCCAATTCCCTATATATTGTATTGCACTACTTTTGACCAGAGCCCTGGTCAAAAGTAGTACACTATATAGGGAATAGGGTGTCATTGGGATACACAAAAGGCTTCCTGCTGTTCTGTCAGCGTCTCTCTACACCTACCTTGTATTTATTGATTCACAAATTGGATGAAGAATTTCAGTGATTTATATGTGATTTTTATGCTTGCACAACATGCGCAACACTGCCACAAATTGCAGGGCGGCAGGTAGCTTAGTGGTTAAGAGCGTTGTGCCAGTAACCGAAAGGTCGCTGGTTCTAATCCCCGAGCTGACTAGGTGAAAAATCTGTCGATGTGCTCTTGAGCAAGGCACTTAACCCTAATTGCTCCTGTAAGTCGCTCTGGATAAGAGCGTCTGCTAAATGACCAATTATAATACCCAAAATATAATTCAAAAGTGTTTATTTCCTCATAAACGTGTCAGTGGGTAACCTTGGGAGTGTGAAGCAGAGTTCTATCTATTTATGTAGAGCAGGCTAGAACGCTAGAGCCATCACACACAGCATTTATAAATCAATTACAGTCAGTGAACTTCACTTTAAGTTACATGCATTCACTTTGATACAAGTCTAGCTTTTAAACACACTCCTTTCTGTACTGAAACACTTCCAGGCCAGCTCCATCCCATCTCCCACTGATTACAAACAGCCTCATCATTCTCCCATAATGCCTCACCAGGACACCACCACTAGGGAGTCGACCAGAACTCATAACAACTTTTCCTTATGCGAAAAGTAATATGGCTGTTCTGGTGGTGTTTGAGTAATATGCCTGTCCCCCAATTCCCATTGTCTGTACTCCCCACAGAGATGGTGATGGTCCCCCACATGGGTGGACATGGATGTGGCTCAGGGCTCCACTGCTGTGAGGAATTGTATGGGGGCTTGTGGAGACTGGGGAGCTTTTGCTCAGAGTGTTGTTGTAAAGGTACAGTAGATCATAGTGACCCCCTCCTGGTGGTGAGATGGATCACCTCAGCGGGCCAGTGTCCCAGACCTCAGCCCCACAGCAGCCCCATCAACCCCAGGCAGACCCGACAGCTCTATATCTTGTTTACTGATTCCCATAGCAAACACCTGTGTCTGGTCCTGTGTCTGGTCTCTGGTTAGTGGGGCACGACGGTGGTGGAATCACCTTGAGGATTCACTGTGTGAGTTATGTGGCTGTAAATTTACCACAGCGCCATGGCAGCGGAGCGCAGGGGAGGCTCACACACTGTCAGGTGTCTTGTTTAATGGCCTGTTTCACAGCCAAACTACATTATCAGGAATCAGAGAGGCAAAAATAATGCCTAGTGTTACTTGGCTTTTAACTATATTTTCACTTAAGATTAATTTCTCTACTTCTTCCAGAACATAATCTGTAAATCTAAACTTGTCCAGATTTTTTGTATATGTTGGTTAGAGCGCCAACACACCACAACTATCTAAACTAACATTAGGGTGGTGAGATATTCCCAGTGCATTGTAATTGTAACCGGTGTGAAATGGCTAGCTAGTTAGCGGTGCGTGCTAGTAATAATAATAATAAGCCATTTAGCAGACGGTTTTAACCAAAGCGACTTACAGTCATGTGTGCATACATTTTTACGTATGGGTGGTCCCGGGGATCGAACCCACTACCCTGGCGTTACAAGTGCCATGCTCTACCAATTGAGCTACAGAGGACCACAATCGGTGATTTCACTCGTTCCGAGACCTGGAAGTAGTTGTTTCCCTTGCTCTGCAAGGGCCGCGGCTATTGTGGAGCGATGGGTAACGATGCTTCGAGGGTGACTGTTTTCGTGTGTGCAGAGGATCCCTGGTTCAAGCCCAGGTAGGGGCGAGGTGAGGGACGGAAGCAACACTGTTACATAATGTCTCATGTTTCCTTGGAAAAGTGCATTGCATCTCTTCCGCTTTGCCTCTCATTGAGAGTGCATGGCTGTACTCTTGAATAAACCCTCTTAACTCACTCACTGATCTCTTATGATTAGTTGCTAATGTCCCATCTGCTATTGTTATCCTCAGACCATAAATAAGCCACTCATGCCAACAGAAACGACCCAAGATGAGGAGCTGAGTGGAGCTAATGCACTTTTGTATCCAATCACAGATAAATCACAGTGTTTGTACAGTATGCTCTTTTTAGAGACTACGTAGGGCCCATAGACTTCAGGAGCAACTTAAACACAATGCATCTCCATCCCTTTACAGAAGTCACAATTAGGCCTATTGGCCATTATTCACATCATAGCAGATAATTGGTCAATCTGGATGTATTCGCTATAATGTCTTCTGCTCTAATGATACAGCATAAAGCATCTTGTCATCTTTCTTCTATTTGTCATGCATTAACAAGATAGATGTAGTTATTTTCCTTCGGCTCACTTCTCTACACGACAGGATCCATTAAGTGCTCTGTCTGTAGCCTCACTGACTCTTTAAATTGGTAGTTTATTCTGTCTTTTTATAAAATGGCAGTTTATTCTGTCTTTGTACATTCCTATTCTTAACTCTATTCTGTGAATGCAGTATTTATTCAACTGCTTTGTATTCATCAGGGGAGAAACCGGGTGAGAAAACAGGGAAAAGTGAGCAGAGCAGAATACTGTAGTTGATTATTTCCACTGGGAGACGAAAGAGTTCACAGCGAGGCTTTTTATAAATCCCTTTTCTGCAACACCTGCAATATTCTTTTGTTGTGTTTTAAGTGTTTCACAGAACAAGTAAAACATATGGCAGCATTCAAGGTTAAGTTGTAAAACGTTGTATACTTTGTAGGCTTTGTACAATAGCCATAACTGTTTATGAAACATTTATCATAGTTTCCTGCAATTATTGCATCATTCTGCTTAACAAAGTCAGTGTGAGATCTCGCTAAAGACATTTCCTTGAAAGAAGTAGCCTAGTCCTAGCTAAAAATAGTCCTCAGTATCATGAATATGGTAATGTGATTGCAGTGTTATAGCACATGATGAATCATTCAAACGATCAAAGACGCCGTTCAGGTTTGAAGAACAGTCTTTTACACTAAGGTTGATTGAGGACTCTTTAGCCTTGTTCAAATCAGTTTTGGAATACTGACTGTGCAAACAGCAAGTTACAAGTGACCAAATCGGATTTGTGTGTGTTCAGACAGCAGTCAATTGCTGACTTGACTATGCTAGTTGTCATAGTTATTAGGGGTGTGTGCACAGTGGTGTAGGCTGATTGGCGGTGGAGCTTGTGCTTCCTATCACTCAGAAGTTATGTAGCAAGCTAAGGTGAAACAATGACTGCCATGGACCAGTTACTTTAAATGTTCAACATCATAGTGTAAGAACACTTTTAAAGCCTGAAAGGACAGCAGTCAACCAGCTAGCTAGGTAGCTGTTTAGCTTTCTAGCACATTCACAAATGTGTTTGTAACCAATAAACAAGCTAGTTAGCTACCACATGTTCTTGTCAAACTGTCAACAGAGTAGCTAGCAAGCAACAAGATATGCCAAATAACAGTCTAAAAACCACTTGAGGGCAAATAAATCAGATTTGACCATTCAGACACAAGTCGCATGGCTAGGAATCAGATTTGCCTTGAAATATTCAATTCCATGTGCTTTTTGGCTGTTCAGAGTGCAGGAAAAGAACATATTTCAATTGGATATGCAAAAAAAATGGTTTTGAATCACTTAAACTGACAGTATGAACAAGGCTTTATTGTAATGACGGAATTCAATTCAGATGCAAAATGTTTGCTGCAATAAATAGATATTTAAAAATTATGATTGATTCATAATGGAGACTTATTGTGAACATACATGAACTATACAAAATAAAGAATCAAGAAATGATGTGGACAAAATAAAAGTTGTTCTTTGTCCCTCTTGAGCCACCGTAGCAACAACATAACCAGAAACACTTCCTCAAAATTGGGAGTCCCATAGGGCGCGCACAATTGGCCCAGTGTCGTCCGGGTTTGGCCAGGGTAGGCCGTCATTGTAAATACGAATTTCTTCTTAACTGACTTGCCTTGTTAAAATAAAGGTTAAATAAAATAAAAACATCTAAAATAAACACAGAATTAATCTAAAATACACACTGCATTCGGAAAGTATTCAGACCCCTTGACTTTTCCACATTTTGTTAAGTTACAGCCTTATTCTAAAATGGATTTTAAAAAATCCCCCTCATCAATCTAAACACAATACCACATAATGACAAAGCAAAAACAGGTTTTTAGATTTTTTTGCTAACTTAAATATCACATTTACATAAGAATTCAGACCCTTATTCAGTACTTTGTTGAAGCCCCGTCGGCAGCGATTACAGCATCGAGTCTTCTTTGGTATGACGCTACAAGCTTGGCACACCTGTATTTGGGGAGTTTCTCCCATTCATCTCAGCAGATGCTCTTAAGCTCTGTCAGGTTGGAGGGGGAGCGTTGCTGCACAGCTATTTTCAGGTCTCTCCAGAGATATTAGATCGGGTTCAA